GTGAGTGAGTGAGTGAGTGAGTGAGTGAGTGAGTGAGTGAGTGAGTGAGTGAGTATGAGTGTGAGTGTGAGTGTGAGTCGTGTAGGATGTCAAAGTTGCTTTAAAATCATATCTTTCTACTGCTAATTCTTTTGCGCTTTTCGGATTCTTCAAAAGAAAAAAAAAAAAATTATTTTTTTTCTTCTTTATTGCATATTTAGTGATTTGCGTTGCTTTGTCGTTTCTCGAGTTCCGTCGGACAGTATGAGAGAAACACTTTTTGTCCTACTTTCTCAAAGAGTAGGGTCGTGTGCAAAGGGATAACAAATATTTGGATTATTTGGTCTTACTTTAAAAAGGCAAGTATTACGAACAGACAAATGTCATATTAGAAGTGGCATTTTGAAGGCGCTAACAACTTGAAATAGATGTGAAATAGCTCTATTTCTCTTTACCCTCAGTGAAAGTGCATGCGACAAGAAAGAATATATCCAGAGCCTTTTTGTACGATTATGACTATTTATGAACTACTCCCTTTCTTTTCTGACTTCTTTCCCACTTGGTACAAAGACAATCAAAGTAAAAGCGAGACAGACAAAAACAAAAAAAAGAAAAAAAAGTTCGTAAGTGAGTATCAATTGGGGTGGGTTCGATATAACGAAGATCTTTGGAAAATTAGAGCAAGAAAAATTTATATATTTTGGCAACAACTAAAGAACACACTTGGACAGCTTTACTCAGACCATACCCTTACTGGCAGTGTTGTCTTCATTTAGATTGATACGACCTTAGTCTTCCATTTTTTTTTTTTTTTTTTAACTACACCAATCATGACTAAAGAATCTTCATCCACAGCAAAGAGAAAGAGACATACAAATTCTAAATTGGGATGTGCAAACTGCAAACGGAAAAAGATTAGGTGTGATGAGAGCTTACCACTGTGTGAAAACTGCTTAAAGGGAAAAAAAGAGACTTGCTCATACTTGTTCTTGTCCCAGGAAGAAGTTGAAAGGATCAAATTGACTCACTCGTTGAGAAAGAGTCAAAACAAATTATTGAATTCAAATTATCGATTACCAGCAACAAACATCGCCACTTCGTCAAGAGCTGGATCTTTAGAGCCATCAAACAAGAATTACAAGAAGATGAAAGCACTCAGCCCTGCATTAAGTGGCAGTGCGTTGGAATTCAAATTTGAACTTGCTGATCTACCGATTCCTATACCTTCAATCGTGTATCCACCATTGCAATACAACAACCTTTGCATGCAGGACTTCTCCAACGAATTCAAGGTGATGAATGATTTTGACAGCGACGATTACACAGCAGGATCGCCGACAGGGTCGGCACAGAACGACATGTTGCCCAATGGGTTTGAGCACCAAATTACATTCAACGTTATCAATCCAAAAGTTTTCAAACGTGTCAATTCAGCTCACAGTGTCATTACAACACCAGTTGTGTCCGATTATAGTTTACACTTGTTCATTGGCAAAAATACCTTGTTAGATTATATGAGTGATTCGTTTATGAAGAGAATGTCTTTTGATATGGAATTGAGTTTAGCAGTGCAAACTTTGGGCGAGGCTATACATTTGAACCACTTGAAATCGAAACCAATTTCGTTGAGGGAGGATACCGACAAACAACTTATAGAACGTCTTGATGATCGGGTCAACAGTTCATTTGTGAAATGCTTTGAAGTTTTGAAAGCAAAAGTTGAAAAAATTCAACAAAAAAAGTGTCTGAATTACAGGTCGAGCGAAGCTGGCAACGACCTAGAGATGGTGGCGTATGCTGGAAATTTCTTGACTTTTACTTCAATTATGCTGAAACAGGGTGTCAAACTACATTCCAAGGCTTTGGAGTTGCCACTACTCGCATACAATACATATGCAAAATTACACGAAACGATATCAAACAAGACATTGGAGGTTGTGTCGTTGTTGAAAAAGAATTTGCAGTACAATGTCATTAGCGTCAATGTACCCTCATACAATCCACAATTCTTATTTGAGATCGAATCAAACTTGAGAAGTCTCGAGTTTATATTCACTGCGCAGTCATTATTCAATACAAAAACTGACCTATCCATTCGCTCGGAATTTGAAACTTTGAAAGCACAATATTCAGCATTAATGAAGTTTCTCAGGGACAAGGTATTGAATATTGTGTTTGCTTTGCGTGATGAGACTAGTCTTTCAGTATACCCTATTGATGCATTATTCGACATCTTGAAAACTTGGCATGCAATGTGCCCACCACAGGCTCTAGTATCCAAGTCCAAGATCAATTCTGCATTTTACGACGAATCAGTGTTTTTAAAAGACTTGTCAACTACGTTGTACACATACTATAGTGCGATTGCTGCTGCTTTGGATGCTGTTTTTCCCGCATGCAAGTATTTTTTCAGTTTAAGTTTCATACTTCCTGTGAGCCAGTGCTATAGTGGCAAGGAGACTTTGACGGTAACAAAATATAACCCATATACCAGGTCCTTTTTCAGTCACAAGATTGACATTTTGCTACAGCGTCACATCATTTACGCATCAAGACTATACGCCTTTTTCAAAAGAAGATTTGTGTTTTATCACAACAATATCAAATGGTCAAATTATTACGACAATGTCACTTTGCGTGAAAATAGATTAAAGAGCAGGAAGTTGTTCAATGCGACCGAGGTGGCAATCAAGAGCTTCAACACAACGTTGATACGACCGGAGCACTATCCAATCAGGGACAAATCTCTTGAGGTATCCAACTGCGTCAACAACTATGTCAGTTTCACTCGTGAGGACGATCCTTTGGTCAAGAACTTGTATGCTAGAAATATTGAGACGTTGAATATTTTCGATGAGAGCTCGATTTTGCAATTTGATTACGAGAGTATGTTGTTGCTCAAGGATTATAGATCTTTTGACGATGAGAGTGAAGTTAGTCGAGAGGTTCTAAGCGTGAAGGATATTCGTAACCATTACGAAGACCGATTTGCCATATTAGATGTTGTGAGTAGGGACTGGGAAGAATAAATGTATATGAATTGTAGCAAGAAGCACAGCATCCATCGCTTTAATTTTAATTCTTTTTTTTTTTTTTTTTTTTGGACAAACAATCTAATCTCATCTTAAGTACAACTAGTCTACACACGATCATGTCATCTATAATACTACCTGGAGACTCACTTCCAATAGAGCCCGCATCATCAACCAAGACCAAAATTGGTCCTGGCATCTACAAAGAACCCAAGTCGCAAAATCTAATTCCTTCCACTGCTGGCATTCTACACGTCAATCAGAACCAGCAACAACACTCACAACTTGTATACATAGAGTCCAACACCAAGCGATACATTCCTCACAACAATGATTTCGTTATTGGAACAGTAGTTGGGTCCATTGGTGACTACTACAAAGTATCATTACAAGACTACTCGGCGCCTGTCTTGTTATCATTTATGGCTTTCCCCAACGCCAGTCGCAAGAATCGACCAAACTTAACCACGGGGCAAGTTGTATACGCAAGAGTGGTTAATGATGATAACGACTCAACTTTTGAAACTGAGTTGGAGTGCTTTGATGCGTCAAACAATCGGGAAACTGGTGGGTTTGGTGTATTGGACGATTCTGGATACGTGTTTGACGTGCCGTTGAATTTCGCTCGTGAATTGTTATTCAATCCTAAACTGCCGGTATTGGAATTCTTGGCTAGCCGGGTCCAATTTGAAATTGCTGTGGGGATCAATGGGAAAATTTGGTTAAAGTGCAGTGAGGGTTTGCAAAGTGGACAGGAGCAACATCAGCAGCAGCAACAACAACAACTAGCTCGTGGTGATGGTGGTGAAGACGGCGATGGTGAAGATGCTCGAATGAGAGGTCTAAATGAAGCTGGAGATGATGCAGAAAGTTTGAAGGCTAGGAATGTCAAAAACTTGAAAGCAACGTTGTGGGCAGTTGAGTATTTGAAACGGAGCCAAAGTAGTCCAACAAGTTGATAGCTTTATAGGGCTATAGCTATATAGGTTTATATAAGTCTATAGTTTATACACAATCACTTCCTAGTTCATTTATCAAATTGTTCCTCACCTCACATTTTCAGAGGACAATAGGAGTCAATTCCTACGCATAGCATGTAATGCAAAATCAGGATCTTTTGTTAGTACACCCTCCCTCCATTTCGTTCCTATATTTAGGATTGTGACCTCGCCTATCCCAAGGACGATAAACTAGCTTGTAACATAAAAATTTTATTGATTCCGGTATTGCTCTCATGAATGCGGGTGGCGTTTCGTCTGAATTCGGAAATTCGTTGTGGCATAGCCATACTTCACGTAACTTTGCATGCTGTGTGCCAAACACACCATGTCCAATCAATGCAAAATCAAAAGTCTCCAACACATTATGTTGAAGTATGGTAATTCAAGGAATCTAACAAAAGGAACTTCTTCTGTATTCTTGTGGTGGAGAAGTCACGTGTGTGTGAAAGTTTTCTTAGGAATGTGGGGATGTGCTGTACGCGTTACATGACAACCAGTGTATATAAAGATAAAAAAGATCTTTTTTTTTTTTTCTTGTCATGTCTTCACCCAACTCGTTATCTCAACAGACTGCTGCTTCAGAGGTTCCCTCGACTCCTTACAACACCATCTTGATCAATTTATAGTCATGTTTATATTTGTTGCGGTAATAAGATCTAAGATCGTATAAAGTAGAGGAAATTGCAAATTTGTCGACGACGATGCGTTCATATTTTTTTGCTCTTCGCCAAACAAAGGTAGCGCCAGATACCCCCTTTTTGTGTTGTATTCTTGCAGAGATGACCATCTGCAAAAAAAAAAAAAGCACATAGAGGTAGAAAGACACAGAGATAAGAAGATAAGGAGGACTCTTTTTACTTGAGTAAACATGCCAACCACAATAAAACAGCATACGATCCCTGGTCAGACATCTAAGCAGCTGCAGCAGAAGCGGAAAGAGAAAGATCAAAGACGGAAGCATTACGATGATCAACAAGTCCAAGGTACAAACAATTCGTCAATTGTATCTAAACGTAGTGTTGAGAAATTGTACTTCCCAAAGGTTCAGCCGGAGTTGGGGACTTGGTTTAGTCATTTTGTACCATCTCTGAAGAAGGACAGACGGTCGCCTGCTATTAATCGTGGGTACTGGATACGTATGGAGAGTATACGTCGTACTGTTTATAAGATTATTGAAAAAAGTTGGCGTGAGGGAGGAGAATGCAGTGCTGCGAAGCAGAGGGTTGTTAATGTTGTCAATTTGGGGTGTGGGTTTGATCCGTTGCCTTTTCAGATGTTGAGTATGAGAAATGGGGAAGATTGCGCTTGGGGAAATGGTTGTGATTTCAATTTTTTCGATATTGATTATCCTGATTTAGTTGATGAGAAGCTTTCATTGATTAAAAAATCAAATGAGATTGAGCAATTGATTGGAGATGGAGTGCAGAAGGATTCAATGTATAAATTAAACACAAACAATTATAAATTAATTGGATGTGATTTGAAAAACTTGAGCCAGTATCAACACATTGTTGATCAATTATTCTCAAAGAGTAAAGACTCAAATGGCAAAGCATTGACAATATTCATTGCTGAAGTTTCATTAGCGTATATGAAACCCGAATTTGCCAACCCCGTGATTGAGATTTCCTCCAAAGTCGCCAACTCGAATTTTATAATTTTGGAGCAAATCATGCCCGATGGAGCAAACAATGCATTTGCAACAAAGATGTTGTACCATTTTGCCCATTTGAGAAGTCCGATCCAGTGTGTTGAGCTGTATCCTACCAAACTGCAGCAATTGCAACGATTCAAACAATACTACAACTTTGCTGAAGTGAGGAATCTTTTTGAGAATTGGAAATGGCTAATCGATGGAAGTGAGAGCGACGATGACAATGAGGGTGTTGGGATGAAGCAGAAATTGATGCAGGTGGAGGAGTTTGATGAATGGGAAGAGTTTATCCTATTTTGTCAGCATTATATCGTGCTTCATGCCACCAATGATGCAAAACAGTTGGTGTATGATGATAAATTGGTACCCGATTTCCTGGTTGATACTGGAAATGAACAAAAGCAAAAAAATGACGTTTTTGAAGTTGATGATGAGGTAAAGTTTAGCATTGATGAACGATTTGAAACGAACCTTGATCTTTTGCAAGTCAAATTTCCTGCGTGTGACTCTTTGAATGGTAAGGTTTATGTGCAAGGCGGGTTGAAACAAACAAGAACTAATGAGACTGTGGTTGTTGATTATGCAGCTGGGACAATTGGGAGGCAGCAAATAAAGGATGAACATAACCTTCCACAACCGCGAATGTGTCACTCTTTAACCAATGTGTGTGGTGACTTGATCCTTGTCGGTGGAAGAACTAGACCAAATGATGTTAACAACGACGTTTACAAATTTGATGGTCGAGATTCGACTAGAATAGGTCAAGATTGGACTAGAATAGGTCAAGATTCACCAAGGCAAAGGCACGCAGCAGTGGCTGTGCGCTGTGATCAAGTACTACTATTTGGTGGGCTATTGGAACCGTCACATACTACTGATCTATTTGCTTTATTCAACACCACCACAAACAAGATCCAACCACTTGAAATACGAGGCGACTATATTGGAAATTTGTACAGTGCAGCCATGGTTTACAATCAAGACAAAAATGAAGGATATATTTATGGTGGATTCCATGAGTGCCAAGAACCGAAAGTCAATGATCGCTTGTACAAATTCACAATTGATTATGAAAATTTCCAAATTAGACTTGATGTTGTGGGGCAACACTTGATGTTTGCAAGAATTGGAAGTCAAGGACAACTTATTCACAATGGGACCAAGTTGTTGATTGTTGGCGGTGTATGCTCAGAAACCATCTTGACTCACAGAACAAACATTGTCACTTTGCAATTGGACAACAATCCTGCTGCATCAACTTTCAAAAGCGTTGATATCCCACTTGGCGTTAGCTTGAAACATCCTCCAATTTTGATTGGATTTGGATTAGCACCCATCAGTGAGCATTTGAGTTTGATTGTTGGTGGTGGTGCCGTTTGTTATTCGTTTGGTAGTTGTTACAATTGTGTATATAGATTGGAGTATTAAAAACTAGAATCGATACCGGACACCTGTTTACAAATGGGCGTGGGAAAGAGGAAACTGTATGTCATTATATTTAAGTTTGGCAACTGTTCAAAGACATGATTGACACGACACAAGTATAACTTGAAAGCGTGCGTTATAAGCTGGGTTGATATCTCGTAACAATCTCTATCTTATGACATTCCTAGTTATCAGTCGACAGCCCAGACACAAGTACTGGTTACGATTATGGTCACATCACTGGACTTGCAGAAGAGACAATGTTTGGTGTTTTGGCGTGAGCGCGTAACACAATCTTGAAATTAATTTCGTTTCCTCTTTTGGGGACTTTTTTCGGTTGAGGCATTTGTCAGCTGTGGAGTTCCGAGATCATTGTGGATTCTTGCTGTAGACAACATTTCTGATAAACTAATTCCCCGTGTCCATGTGAGCTTAATCTGGGCCAGTTCTGAAAGCAAAACTATGTGATACGATACTACCTGTTTACACCTTGAGTGGAGAGATTCTATTTTTGCAGTTGACGAAGTCGGAACGGTTATTTTTTTTCTTTATGTCCGGCATATGTTGCAAATCACCAGCACGAGAATAAATTGCCGCTTGAACCAGATGATCTGCGTATGTGCGTGCGTGTGTGTGCACACAAAAGAAACAAGCGACACACAAACACACAACCACACACACACACAAAGTGAAGATGCGAAAAAAAAAAACATACGATGTGTTTTTTGTATCCAGAGAAGCTTTTGCGAGGCACCACATTGGCCATTCAGGAACAATAGTACATGTGATAGAGTAAGCCTTTAATGCTATTTGAAAGTAGTGTCACTCCTCTAAATCTCAACAAATATGCGTGCGGGTGCTATCTGCGTATGGTTAGATTCCAAGTACTACAAGTACATACAGAGATGTACTTGTGATGCATATCCGTTTTTGCCCCCCCCTTTTTTTTTTTTTTGCAATTCACTCTACTACTTCTGAGGGTTGAAGCAGAAGTTATGCTGTTTACATTGCTACTGCTCACCCCGTAACAAATGCATTTCCACATTGCTACTGCTAACACGAGTGATATTGCTTCACGATTTATGCACTATGTGATATACGCCACGAATAGGTTTTCAATGGGTGTTTTGTACTTATCCTTCCAATGTGTTAAAGTTTTTAATTTTTTTTTTTTTTCTGTTGGGTCCCCATGGGGGTAGTCCAGACAAGCCATCACCCCGTAACCTTTAAAGTTCAGACAGTCTTTCCTCTCCCCGCCTAGTCTAATTCTTAAAGTAACCCCAACTATGGAAAGAGCATTATAAAAAATTTAAACTTTTTGAAGTTATACGTCTCCTCGCATACACAGGGGGAGGGGGAGGGGGAGGGGGAGGGAGAATTGTAGCGCATGTGTATGTGTGTGCATATTTGTTTTTACGTACGAGTATGAGTTGTGATAAAGTGAGGAGTGAATGAATGAGAATTGCGATGGATTATATGTAGACTTGTGCTTATTACAGAGTCATCTACTACATGTGAATAGATTGTATCAAATTATGTCACCTTTACTTAATGTGTAAGTACTAGTGTATAAAATGGTATTGCTACAATGTACAAACTAATGAATAATTCACTTTTGTCAACAAGTACACTACCCTTTCTTCTCCATACACAAATACGTCACATACATATTACACATAAATATAGATATATAATACATTAAATTGTATCATATCATTTTCATAACAACTATATATATATATCCGTAGATCATTCAATAGATCAAATACAGAACTCACTCTCACCCCAGTCACACTTACCAGCACACTTTGCTTATATCACCATTTCACATTCGATCTTCATCACTAAGCACAACACAATCTACAATTTCCAAACACAAAGTTGTCATTCCCAGTATCTCCGAAAAAAAATAAAAAAAAAGATTACAATTTTCCTCCTTGCTAACAACCCCCCCCCCCTCTATACTTTTTTTTTTTTTGTTTTCCCTCCAGACACATATACACCTTGTATACTAAGTACAAGTCCATTTCCGAGGACAGCTGGCATTTCTGAGTGGGTGGGAGAGTCATAGCATAAGCTTCGCGGTATTGCTTTTATAGATCAACAAACAGGAAGATGGCCACAGCTCACTCTGCATACACAAGGAGTAGTCAGAGCCACTTAGGTGATACCCATAGCAATGACAAGTCTCCAGCCTCCACTTCTGCATCCATTTCACCACAGCTACAACCAGCAACAACATCACATTCAAAATCCATAGGCGACACAGCTGCCTATCCAACCACTGCACCACCACCTTCCAGTTCCCGAGAAGAAGCGACTCCTCGAGGCCGGCAGAGATCATTCACTTATGAAGCCGCGTCACCACATGACGATGACAGTTCAGAAGCTTTGCCTTCGTCACCAACACCACTTTCCATGGCATTTATGCATAAACCCTCGAGATCGCAGAGCTTTTTTACCCAGTCCAATGATAGAACCAGGGAAAATAGCATATTCAACAAAAATTTGTCCTCATACTCAACATCGTCCCTGTCCTCGCCAAAACAACATTCGCAAAACCAGCAGCAACAAGTATCGGACACAAGAAGTACTACTCGCTCATCAGACACTGTTTCTTCGTCTCCTTCCTCCTCCTCCTCCGCCGACTCGTCTGCTTCTACCTCACAACTGGATAAATCACCCTCCGGAAGTCCATTAATTTCACCTTCTTTGGTGAAGTCTCCTCCGCCTCCTCCTCCTTCACAATCACCAACTTTGGATGATCAAAATGAACACACTTCGCACACTGCTCATACCGAGTCACCAGATTACTTTAATCACAAGTCTGCACTCAAATCAGTAAAGAGATCGAAATCATTACCATCAACACCTACTTTTAAAGTCCATTTCGGCAATTCAGATATCCGGTATTTCAAGAAAAAGGATACTCCAAGAACTATATCGGCTAGTAACTCGCCAACTTTTGGCCCACAAGCGGGATTATCGGATGACGATGATGAAGATGTCGATGACGATGATGACGATGAAGATGATGGTGATGGTGATGGGTACTACGACAATGATGATTACGGCACGTTTGGAACTAGCTCCAATTACGGATATAGATACAGTGACGAAGATGATGTTGATGATGATGTAAAAAGAATTAGTTTGCGAGGTGGTGGCGCACATAGGCTAGGCGGACACAAGCATGACCATGATTTGCATGATTTTAGCTTGGGTAATACCAAGTACCCCAAACCAGCTGCATCTTCTGAGATTCAATGGGACTTGCAGTTATTGAATTTTGAACCGTTATCATATATGAAGAGAATTGAGGCTGGAACTCCAGTTTTCCTTGAGAGACTATTCATTTCTGCTGATAAAAAGTACCTTTTGGGTCATATTGCCGTGAGAAACCTTGCTTTTGAAAAGTACTTGACTGTGAGGTACTCGGTTGATAACTGGATGACGATTATCGAGATCCCCACGACGTACACTGCGGATAGAGCCGATGTCTTGGAGAAGAATAATTATGATCGATTTGTGTTTAAGATACCCCTTGAGAACTTGTTCAATACTTTTAAAATGTCGAAGAACTCATCAACTGATTCCTTAAGTGAAGATAGCAGTAGCAGCTACAATAGTGGTGATGTTTTCAGGGGATCAAGCTATGGCGACTACCAAAAGGAAAGACGATACCAGCTTTGCATTAAGTACTGTGCCCAGGGGCATGAGTATTGGGATAATAATCGATTCCGAAATTATTTAGTCAAGTTGGTCAAGTCGAGAGTGAGTCATCATCAACCTCCACTTGCTCCACAACAAAAGCATCATTTCTATAATTTGGAGAACAAGGATTCGCAATTGCAAGATCATAATAGGAGACCAAGATACTCGAGCAGTTACTTGAAGCGAGTTGAATCAGACTCTGGCATCAATTATAATAATCCTGGCGTGGACGAGTCTAGGGATGGCGGTATAGACGAGGAAGATAATGATGATAGTGATACTATCACCATGGATGTGAGTGGAGGTAGTTCCACTATTAGGGAGAATATTGAAGAGTTGTTGAAAAACACCGGAGACGCACAAATCAAGCTGAACGGCAGCAGCAGCAGCAGCAATAACAACAAGAGGAACCAAAATAGTACAGGCTCCTCATCGAAGCCCTCACAACCAAGAACGGGCATCACCAACGACCCTGAAAAAAGCAGCGCAAACCTTCAAGTTGATCTTGATCTTGACTCACTAGACACCGTAACGACAACTACTCCCAAATACAAGTCGAAGTTCATTACAAACCAATTCAACTTGAATTCCAACTCTACGGCCAAGTCAAAGGGCAATTTATCTACTGGTAGGTCGAATGCCTTCAATAGCGATTTGAAGAGTAAGTCGTACAAGGAGATTCTCGATTCGTATTGTTTTTTCAAGTCTAATCCTGCCAATGCCAATGGCAGTGGCAATGGCAGTGGTGGAAGTGGAAGTGACTGAGTGGGTTAGTTGTGTGTGTGTGTGTGTGTGTGTGTGCATAAAACCAGTTTGGCTTTTGTAGTCATTGCTGAAGAGGTTAGGTTGGGATTGTGTATCCCACACGCTGGATTAGTTACTACGTATATAAAGTTCTACAAATGAATCCCTTAACAAAGATCAATCAATGTAAGTACATAACAAAAGATTTACAGACACATAGTTTCTCTCTCCACCTCTAGTCAAAGCAGTACATCTTGACTTCACCATTCTCCAAACCCAGCACAAACTTTGAATCACTCAAAGCTACACAAGACACACTAGCGGCATTACCAAATGTATGCAAGCATTTCCCATTCTGGAGATCCCACACTTTAATCATTCGATCATGGGCACCACTAATGATTCTAAATGTGTCAGCGGCAATGGACCATACTCCTTCAATGTGGCCAAATTGGGTTCGGATGCATTTCCCGGTGGCCACGTCCCATAGTTTGATGGTGTTGTCGAGGGAGGAGCTGAGGATGTGGGTGGGGAAGGAGTTTGTAGCTGGGACCAAGTTCCGTATTGGTTGTGAAGGTGAGGAGGACGTGGAGGAGGGCGTGGTGGTTTGAGGTTGCGAATGTTGGTGAGCTTGCAGATGTGTTTGTGACTGCGATTGTGTTCGACTATCATTACCGCTCTGCTTATTCTCATGCTCACTTTCACCGTCACTTGCGTCCTCAATCAACTCATCTTTATAAGTCAATGGAATCACAGATTGAACTTGGCCTATATGTCCATTATTCTCCATTCCACCGAAAATCTTGAGACATTGATTAGTATTCATATCCCACATCCGAATAGTCGTGTCGTCACTAGCACTGAAGATTGTGTTTGAGCCGGGATGAATCTTGACACAATTGACCCAATCAGTATGGCCACGTAATGTATAGCATGTTCTTGAATCAACGTGCCACACGCGAACTGTACTATCAGCAGACCCCGAGACTATGGACTTGTTGGAGAAATCAACCGAAACAACAGCATCATCGTGTCCTCTATAGGTGGCAATACATTGGCCAGTATGATAATTCCATACTTTGATTGTTGAATCTAACCCGCCAGTGATTAATTTCTGATTATCAAATACTAATGATCGTACTCCCTTTGTGTGTCCGCTTAGTGTCTTGACACATTCACCAGTTTCAATTTTCCAAATCTTGATTGTCGAGTCGTATGATCCAGTCATTAAATATTTACGATTGAATTGTAGACATGTAATACCATCCTGGTGGCCAATGAAGGACTTCAACTTGTAAGCCCCCTTTCGCCAGTTTTTTTCCAACTTGAACCTTTCCGAATAGACTGATTTCCAAGGGCGTTTTTTGAGTACAGGTGGTGTAGTGGCTGGTTTTGAATCTAGTTTGAGTTTCTTACAATCGGGTTCATCACTAGAGCGCTGTGGTTGCTGTTGTGGTTGCGGTTGCGGTTGCGGTTGCTGCTGTTGTTGTGTGACCACATCTGCTGTCTCACGTACAGCATCCTCGTTCCTCTTAATTGGTTTGATCTCCTCCTCAGTCATATCTCTTGCTCGCTTCATATGCATCAAGGGAAGTCCCCATCCACAGTTTGGGCATTTACGATCGATATGCTGTTCACACATGTGATGCCAAACACGATCATCATCAGCCAATGTTTTCCATTTACGTGAAACTTGTGCAGCATTACAAAGACTATTGCAATCCAAGTAACAAAGAATTCGCAAGGCAATTTCTTGTGGCAACGTTGAAATAAAATCAATTTTGATCAATGAGGCCACTTCTTGGGAAACAAATGACAATTGTGGAAAGCAACATTGGGTCAATATTCCTTGAAGAATCAATTTGCGATGATGTTCGGGTGCGGCACTAAAAATAGACCAAACGTGACTTATAGCTTCTTGGTCTCTATTGGGTAGATTTTCCAACTTCTCCTGCAATTTCTTCATTTTCACTTCATCGGTTCGCTTGTTGCATGTTATATCTGGGTTATGGCGATAACAATACTTGTGAAAATTATCCTTTGGTATAAGATTTTGATCACTAATGTGTTTCACCAAGAACGGCGTGACAACGGAAACATCTTGAGGGGGACTGCCAGAGGAGGACGGTATTGCAGAAGTTGACTCTGCCGAAGCTGCCATTGCTGATTCTGTTAAATGATCTGGTGGTTGTAGCTGTGGTGAATTCGATGCTGGAGAAGGTGGTAACTCAAGTGTTTGCGTTCGCAAATCATTTGGTGCAGAGTCTGTAACTATAGTTGACTTGATGGACGAGTGGGGAGGTAGTAGTGAAGGAGATCCTTGTCTCGAGTAGGAAGGCGTGGCGTGTCTTGAGCCTGTTCTGGACCCTGTTGCATCTCCATTTGAAGATGACGATGCGGTTGAGTTGATGATATTGCTAAAGTTGTTTGTAGTGGCGTGAGAAGAGACCTGCTCGTCAGATGCACAGTTGTTTTGCAAGTTCATAAAGGTGACGTGGGAATGGTAGGTGAGAATGAAGATGTCTTCTCTTGAATGTGTGGTTGTAAAAAATTAAGTAAGTTTTTCTTTTTTTTTTTGTAGATCACACAAGTTGTGGCTTCTTGTCTATTTCAGTGACTGTACAGTTTGTGTTGTTGTGGGACTGAAGTAGTACGTGTTATAAGAAGTGTAGTATATAAGGTGGTCGAAGAAAAAGACAAGATACTATTCTGTAGAAGAAGATGAAGAAGAAATAAGTATTGTGTGTTGTTATATAGTAGTTATAACTGTCCTCTTAAAAACAAAGTGTGGGTTTTTTTGAAGTAGTGCAAAAGTGCAAATGTGTAGAAGGAAAAAAAAAAACAAAAACAGAAAAAGAAATTTTTATTCTTTAGTAAATAATTACATACTTTGTTTTAAAGTGTGTTTTGCGTAATTGTGTAATTGGATTCTCTTTCTACTGCATTATATAAATATGTGTGTGTGTGTGTTTGTGGTTTCATTTTGTCACGTGTACATGCAATTTTTTTCACTTACTAAAAATAGAGACAATAAGATTGTGTATGCGGTTATTTTTTCTTTTCATTTATTTGTACTCATCGGCTCGGGACGACAGGATTTAATGGGCGCATCAGTCATCTTCACTAATTCGTGAATAGACCAGTTGTCATAACATATAGAAAGAGTATTTCGGTGGTAGTAAGGATACACAATACATCAGTTACGTACTTCAATGTAAACCAACTGCCTTATAGAAGCACTACTGATTGCGAATATAGTGACGGGCTGCGTGCCAGCATGTCATTTATTCACGTGACTTTACATATCATAACCCTTCAGCGATGCGGCACAAAAAGATAACAAGAACATGTGCGAATATGATTGTGCACAACGGGCAAAATTGGCCAAGAGAAAAAAAAAAAAAAAAAGACCAAAAAGACAAAAAAAAAAGCCAAAAAAGTGGTGGCTCAACTCTAGAGACAATCTCCACAGCTGGAAATACGCAATATCATTTTTGAAGAAGGACCTTGAAGCTCCGAAACTAAAGATAAGAGAAACGGAGAAACGGTTACAGAGTCTGATAGCTAATGATAAGCAAACTCCAGATAAACTTAATTGATAATCATCGCTTCCGGTATAGCTTTGAAATGCAACAATCCATAGTGTGAGGCTGCTTCGACATCTCTAATATCAGAGTAGCATTACAACCACATTACAACTAGATGTCTCTGTGAATCTCGGCTAAGAGTCTCTCAGACCTATTTGCTTTTTTTGTTTGAAGCCTCGATTTTGATCACGTGTATGGAGAATGAAGTCCGCGCCATATATTTCGTTGCAGGATCAAAAGCCACTTCCCATCACGTCCTTGCAAAGTGTATCAGCTTGCCAACCCTCACAACAGACTTGAAGCTTTATCTTTGACATTACCCCACTCGTCAAACTCTTTCTGCAATACATCAAATAGCTTCTCCAGATCATTCTAGAAGCTTCCACCCTAATCTGCCAAATTTGCAGCATATCATCTCATCAGAAGAAAAAAAAAAAAAAAAAAAACAAAATTAAAAAGATTTTACTAATATAACGTGGATTCACTTGATGATGGACAACCTTGACGACCACATAGATAAAAAACAACGAGTCCTGATGCCACAAGAGACAAACAGCAACAATAATAACAACAATCACAACCAGGATGCATTTGCCAATGTTGGAGATCAAGCTCAAAGTGTTGACACCACGGTTAGACAAACAGGTGCAGCCGATGCTGAGGGACACCCAGTGCAAGAAGTCGAATCATTGTGTATGAACTGTCACGAAAACGGTACTACCAGAATGCTTTTAACAAGAATTCCATTTTTCAGAGAGATCATCATAATGTCATTCGAGTGTCCTCATTGTGGTTTCAAAAATAGTGAAATCCAACCAGCTGCACAAGTGGCGGAAAAGGGAGCTAGATATGTTTTCAAGGTTGAAGATAAGAAAGACTTCAATAGACAAGTTGTTAAATCAGAAACCGCAACCGTTAAATTCCAAGAGTTGGATATCGAAATCCCACCCAAGAGGGGCCAGTTGATCAACATTGAAGGTATCTTGCAAGAAATAATTACTGATTTAGAATCTGATCAAGAGGAAAGACAAAAAGTACAACCAGAATTGTATGAAAGGATTCAACAAGTAATAGACAAGATCAATCTGTACATCAATGCCGAACCAGGTACTTTGCCTTTGACTGTTAGGATCGATGATCCAGCAGGAAATTCATGGATCGAGTACGTACCTGGGGAGCCACAACACAAGTGGGCCATGTATGAGTACAGTAGAACTGCTGAACAAAATGTATTTTTGGGCCTCGTATCAGCTGACGACGTTGCCAAGCACAGACAAGAGGAACTAGAGAAGAAGAAACAAGCCACAGACGCCAACGTTTCATCGAATTTGGACAAGGGGGGAAAAGAACCACCAGCATCACAAGTAGCAGGGTTGTCCGATGCCACCGAAATTGAAAACCTCAACAATGAAGTACAAACTTTTGACGCAACGTGCTCAGCTTGTTACAAGCCTTGTTCAACGCACATGAAATCAGTCAATATCCCCCATTTCAAAGATGTCATCATCATGTCTACCGTGTGTGACCATTGTGGATATAAATCAAACGAAGTGAAAACCGGTGGCGAAATCTCAGCAAGGGGCAAGAAGATTGTGTTGAAAATCACCGATCCTGAAGATTTAGCAAGAGACATTTTGAAATCTGAAACTTGTGGATTGGAAATTCCCGAATTGAGTTTGGACTTGACTCCAGGAACATTGGGCGGCAGGTTCACCACTATTGAAGGATTATTGAATCAAGTTTCAACCGAGTTGCACACTCGTGTGTTTACCCAAACTTCAGATTCAATGGACGAGGAAACTAAAGCGAGATGGGTTGCGTTTTTCGCCAAGTTGCAAGATGCCATTGATGGTAAGATTGGATTCACGATTGTTATGGTTGATCCTTTGGCGGCGTCTTATATCCAAAATGTCTATGCACCCGACAACGATCCAAACATGACTATTGAAGAGTTTGATAGAAGTTTTGATCAAAATGAGAGTTTGGGATTGAATGATATAAAAACGGACTAATATATATATATATATATATGTGTGTGTGTGTTGTATATTAATGTACTTCGGAATTAGTACTCTATAATTTCTCAAATGCACAATTGTAAAGTGTAACATGTAGAATTCATCAATTCTTTTTGAATTTGCTTGTCAAATTCCCTAAGGTATCTCTCCACTTGGACGTTTCAATCATTTCATCCCACGAGTCCCTCTCGTCATCGTAGGCAGCTGCAGCGTTATCACCAAATGGTGAAAACGTGATATCATCATCAACCAACCTAACCTCCTCCAAGTTATTGCGGGGGATGTTGATTGATAGGTTTGGTCTTTTGGATTTCGACCTTGTTGGAGATGGCGACCGCATTTGACTTGACGTGTGGAAGATTGGTGAGTTTGGATAATAGACACCGCTTGAGATTCCTGGTTCGGCAAAGCCCATGGAACTTTGTCCAAGTGGGTGTTGGCTATCAACATCACCATCGCCATCACCATCGTCATTATCAGGCTCTGAACCACTCGGATCAGACTTTTCATCGGGGACTTTATCTCGAGGAAATTCGTTATTGATCAGCAACTCCTCATTTGCCAAGTAACTTGCCCTTCGTAACCTCGTGTCAAAAGCAATATTGCTATCGCGTATACCCATCCTCTTGTTCTTGAGATACTTCCATCTACATGCATACGCCGCAATGATCTCATAGACTCTTCTTGTGTGGATTTTCTTGACAACTTTGCTCACCAACAATTGACGCTCCAAGTAGTCGATAAGATTAAAACATTTCCCAGTATCAAATGTCGTGTATAGTGGTATTTGCAAGATGATTCGGGTGAAGGAAATTCCAGGATCATTATTGATTTCCATTGTCAACAACGCCTCTTCAATAAACATGTCAAATGCTTTTCTTCGCTCTCTAATCTTTGGCATATCCATTCGACTCATTGTTTCAGCAATGCCGTCATAATCAACCGTGACATCGTAAGGATCATTCGGATTGTTTCTCTTGATCCATCTCCGACAAAGCTTCTTGATCTCCAATTCACCACTATACGACCGAAATGAAAGGGCTCCTTCCAACGAATGTAGCAATTTAGGCAAGTCAATTGGCTTGATGTATCCACTTCCCTGTGGGTCGAATTTCTGCCAAGCTCGCTTAAACTTTCGAATCTCTTCACGTTGAATCAATTCACTGTAATCGGTTTTTTGGTTAATGTAATCAAAACTGTCCAAAATTAATGATATGAACATATTGAGGAAAATGTACATTGATATCAAATTCCAAGCAATAAATAAAATGTACGCATATTGTTTGCTACCACAATCATTTCGATCTGATTTACCATCTGATGAGCAAAATGGTGACGACACGGTATAGTCATGCATGATATAATTCCAACCTTCACCAAAACTGCATCTGAATAGCAAAATCAAGGTCTTGGGAACCGATCGCAAGTTTATATTGCCACTCCCATTGGGCCCAATACGAGTCAATCCGAAAATTTGATTCATGGCAATTGCAAACACCAAAAACACAATGATCCAAGTATACAACAAGGAGATCAACACTGGCAACGACGCTGACGCAAACCGCAACAATTGACTCAATCGATTGCTTCTAGGAATGATGAATAACAAAATTGCAACAAGGAATAACTTATTGAAGTTCATGAATGGGGAGTTGTCATCTACTGGGTACGCGATGATGGTTGTCAAGACTGCTCCGCAAGATACAAACAAGTTGAAAATGTTCCATCTGTAGCGCAAATACGTTTTCAATCCTTGCGCTATTGCCAACATGACTGCATTTACCATAAATAATATCGACGCAATAGTGTAGATCACAGTTCTGAAAACGTTGAGACCATATGACGATGGGAAACATTCAAGGAGCAAAGCCAATGCATGGAATGCCAAAAAGAAGTTCAAGATTCTGTGCCAAATGGGGTTTCTCTCAACCGTCATTTTATAACAAAATCTCCTAAACGCTGACAATTGATGATAATCTTTCCGTTTGGATGGACGAACCTGCACCAAGATTTTCTTAATCTGATACCATGAGATTTGATCGGTGGTCATATATGCTCTTCCTGTGGTTCTTGAATAGTTGCTGATAATAACTGAAATGAACAATGTCAAGATAAAAATGGTACTGATAAAATTGAACAAAACAACGAAAAACCCATTGAATGGGGACGCATTCTTTTCAGGAACTGTGCCCACTCCTGTACTCTTCATCACATTCGCCAACAAATCAATCCAACCTTCAAACGATACAATTTCGTACAATGTTGCAAATGACGTCACAAATCTGTTGAACTCCAATTGTGGGTTGGTGTATACGTTGGGACTGACAATATTCCAATTAAACACTTCATTCTGGTATTCATTGACGCATGCACTCTCTGGCGACTCCTCATCGATGCAGTATCCCAACCGGCCATTGAAGATATTCAACCCCCAAATAGAAAAAGGAAACAACAAACAAAGAGAAATGATTGCCGCGTTGATGATTTTCCCAAACCCGGCAATCATTGTGTTGTGAAAATTGGACTTGGCCGTCTCGCTAATGGTCAAAAGCCTCAATGCTCTCAAAGCCTTCAAACCCCTCACGATTCGTGACAAATTACCATCGTTTCGAAGATACGCAATCGATTCAATCCACAATGAGATCAATACAATCAAATCGATCAAGTTCCAGGACGATCGGCAATATGCATTGGGTGTGAATATTAACCCATCAGCCACGACTTTGATAATAAACTCAACGGTGAATATCAATGCAAACACATATTCGGACCAAAAGATCCAACCGGCACTGTGATTTTCCATCCTGAAAATGGGCGTCATGTAACATGCAAGAACCACCAAGGCAACAGTTGCGAAAAAAGTGAAAACCACAATACTTTCAGATACTGGTCTATAGGGTGCAACACCGTCGATTCTATCACCATGACTACTTTTCACCATTCTTTGGCATAATCGTCTCAACTTGTGTCTGGGGCCAATAATGTAAAACACATAGTTGTACCTTGGGTTAGCTTCCAAAAACTTACTCTGCTGATTAAGCAATGCATTTCTTTCCTTGATGATGTTGTTTGCAAATGACGATGGATTGAAAGTTTCAAGTTTAAACTTTGGTTTCTTCTTTTGCTTTGTGAAATGGAAAGGGTTGCTAAAAGTATTGGCCACTCGTGCTGCATTGATATGCAACCACCTTTTCCATTTGTTTGAGGGTAAAGTCCTCATCAGGTCGTTTGCGTCGTCTTCCTCCTCTACTTCTTCATCTGTATCACCATTTGAATCACGATTCAAAAATTCTTGCACTGCAGTTCCACTAAGTAATAGGTTGACCACCGCTTTTTCCATTTCGTCATGGGCCCCATTCCGCTTAAACAACTTTGCCTTGACTTTCTTCAACAAACCAGACTCCTCTTGAACTCTTTGCAATTTTCGTGTCATAACTTCAATAAATTGCAAAAGCTGACGCTTTCTTTTGCCCTCTTCGGACACCTGCAAGGTGTTTGAAATAACGGCAATGAAAATGTTTAATATAATCATATTGGACAAAATAAACCACATAACCAAGAAAATAGACCCAAATGATCTTGAAGAAGTGGTGTGCGCATACTGCTGCAACGAGTACATAATTTCAGTCCAGTTCTCAGTCGACGTGATGATGTATAACGAAATAAACGACGAAGGCAAGGTGTTCATGGGCCAGTCAACGTCATCAAGAGCATCTTGGGGGATAGTACCTTCAAAGTACCTTGCCAAAATGATGCTGACCAAGTACAACAAAATAAAGTAAAACAATGCCAAATCGAATATGATTCGAATGTTTTTCATAATTTTGAGCCACAAATTCCTCGTTATTGAAGTAGCCAACACCACTCTATAGAACCGCATTAGCTGAAACACAGTGAGCCAGTAGTACGCTTGGCCTAACTTGTCCTTTACAGGATCTATGATGATGACAACAGTGATTATTGCCAAAAAAAGATCAAACAGGTTTCTCTTGGAAAGGAAAAATAACCGCCATTGAGGGAAATGGAGTATGAATCTGGAAACTATCTCGGCCAAGAAAACAGCAGTGAAACTTACTTCAAACCGGTAAAGCAAGTGGCGGCGATGGTCTGACATGCCGTGAGATCGGAAACATTGAACAAACAAATCGACAGCAATAATGATGACAAAGACAACCTCAAACTTGCGGTAGAGTTTAAGAAATCGATTTCTCAGCTCCAACTCCTTGACTCGCTGATCATAGTCTTTGCCTTCTTCATTGTATTTTTTTAGAAATTTCCAGCCTGAAGCTCCTTGAGTCTTTTGTTGAACAGCAGCCTCCATTCTGGTAACATTAAAAGAGGCAACAATAACGGCAATGAAAACGTTGAGTAGCCACACAGTCATCACAAAGATACAAGCGATAAAGAATATGCACGCAGCCATATTATCAGTGTCCATAGTGTGGTACATGATATCGGTGAATGTGTTTGCACTCATTACAACAAAGACCATTTGCAATGATTGCAATATGTTATCAAAACTTATTGTGCCATTGTATGGGTTATCACCGGATATACATTGGGAATACTTGGGACAGCGGAAACCTTTGATCACACCAGAGGGTAACCCATCACGTGACAAGTAAGATCGCTTCAGACCATCCAAACCAATGAATGAGCCACAATACAGGTCAGAATTGACAAAAGTGTCAGTAGGATCATCTGGATTTGTCCACACACAATGTCGCGTGAGCGACGACTTGAACGATTGAACCCCAATTATGCCAAAGAACAACCAAAAGAAGGAGATAAAGATGGAAACATCAATGAGCTGTGGTAACGCAATCTTACAAGCTGTAAGGATGGTGTTTGTACCTGCTGTCAAGTTGCACAACCTCAAAATCCTTAAACAACTCAAGGCCCTAAAAAGCATTATATGGTGTTTGGCGTCGTACCGGTTAATGGATAACAAAAGGGAAACCCAAAAGCAAATCAGTGATATAAAATCAAGTCTCTGCCAACTTTTCCGAAGAAACGCTCTCTTTACTTGCGGATCAAGTTTCCTTTTCTCCATACCTTTGAAAAACGTGTTTGTTGATTTCAACTTGTAGCCATCTGGTGCTGTCCCAGTTCGATGTGTTTCTGCACCACTATCGTCGCCATCGTCATGAAACAGGTTGAATTCGTATTTGTTTTGCAAGTTGTAGTCTATTGATGTTGTTGAATCTAAAAGTCTTTCAAAAGAAAGCTCTCGTTCACCACTCACGCCAGGGTTTCTGTAATTAGGTTGGTCGTCGTCGCCGCTGGAATCATCATTTTGTTCTTGCATTTCGCGTTTTGTCTTTTCGGCTCTCTTGGCCTCCCTTTTGAACTTGTACGGATGGATAAACCTTTTGATGAAGAATGTGGCACGACGTAGTTGCAAACCTGTATAGTCAAAGAGGTCAGGTGGGTGTTCTATTCCCAACTCCTCAAACACAGCGCTGTCGTTAACGAGACCATATGCAATCACTTGTGCTGCAATTTCCACAGTGTAGATCACATTGATTAAGATCAATAAGTAATCTGCCCAGTTGTATCCAGAAAGATAGTAGCCACCCAACTCATGTGGATTCCATTGACGGTAGCTCAAAAGCACCACTTGAAGCACCAAAATGAGCAACAAGAATAGCGTTGTTAACTGGTTTCTCAAAACAATATGGCACATTCGTCTTATTTTGGAGGTGGGCGAGAAAATTCCAAGCGATTTTCCAAATAGCACTTGCTTACGAGACTTTATTGATCCGTCCATTTGACTCGTTTGGATTGAAGGAGGTTTTTGATGAAGAAGGGATCCCTGAGAGGTGGCGTCCTGCACCAGAGCACTTTCTGCTAAATTCAAATCACTCGAACTATGCAAATAGACACCTAATCCATGGGAAATTGTAGTCTTGTTATGTGCTGAATCTTCTTTATCGGTGGTGATGGTAAACTCCGGTAGTTTTTTCGACTCTTTTCCTGGGCTTGACTGAGAGAAAGGCTCCCCTGTTTCGAAAAATGATGGATATTCTTTGACTGGAGTTTTGATATGTGAGCTAGCGCGCGATTTTACCGGTGTAAGTTGATCGTTATCAGATTGGTCGTCTCTTTTGTCACCCGTGCCGGCAACACGATTCGATATTCTTGCAATTGCGTCAGTAAATTTAGATGATGAATGGGCTGGCAGCTCCTTGGGTTGTAGGTTCTGGTTGAAACGGCCAGTTTCTAGATAGTCCATATTGGGCTCCGGGCCCTTGGTGGGTGATGTGTTGCTGCTGTAATTGGTAAATGGTGATGGTGGATGACTAGATACATTTCCTTCTCCAGAACGGGACGCTTGTAGTAGACTGAAATCTTGAAGGGGTATGCTTGTTGTGTAGTTGGCATCTGCACTTGCATTGTCTTCTGGCTTCTTTGGGGGAAACTTTGGAGGTTCCTCCTTTGACGGAGTCGCTACAGGGAACCATTTTGCATTTTCGTTACTTGTACCCAATGCCGATTTCAACCCTTCTCGTAAATCTTTGAGATCGTTGTCATCTAGTGAACCCTGAATGATTGGTGAATGTTGGAAGAAATCGCCAAGATTTTTTTGCCCTCTCTCATCCTGAGTTGTAGTAAACCTTTCGCCACGAAACGGATTGCTGTTTGAAAAAGTTGAAGTGTGCAGCAGTTTGCGACGGGGTATGCGTACAGTTGTTTGGAACGGGTTTTCACTATTGGTAGGAGGCACTTGTGGACTCGTTCTATGAGGGCTCCTTGTGTATGATTTATTTGGATCAAACTCTTCATCATATGAGACAGATTCTTGGGTACTTTGCGCTACAAGACGAGGGTGGCTCTCGTCCGCATCCACCTCTGTATCCTCTGCCTGCGAGATGACAAAGTTTGGTGTGATTGTGAATTTCCTCTCCATCTAATTTTCTTTGACAAGAGTTATTCTGTGGTGAAAGTGGAACATGTATGTCCCCTTTGGTATGCAGCGATGGTGTTGCCGATGCCTAATTTGTAGTAAAACCTCTCTATCTATGTGTGAAAAACGATAAGTGAAATTTGTGAAATGAGATTTACAAATCGAAAAATCCTTTGGTGCAATTATTTTCTCTCGCTCTCTCTCTCTCTTCCTCTTTAATTTTTAGAAGCTAGTCAGTGAAGTATAACGCTGTTATGTGATTTACGACAAGTCAAAGGAGAGTAAAACTCACCATTAAGCAGTAGGAGAAGCTACTGCTGTGTAATACTGATCAACTCAGCAGCACGCAACTACTCCATGCATCTCGTTTTTAATGACAGAGGCGAAGTCAGTTTCCCTTTTTTTTTTTTTTTTTTTATCTTTGTACTCTTTTAAATCGTTAGCATACGCGCATTTGCATCACAGTGTGTGTGTGTGTGTGTTCTATGGAATGTTGGCTACTACGTGCCAATCTTTTCTCGTAGAGGACGTTCGTGAAGAACGCATTTTAGTGAATGATCTTGAGAAGAGAGAATCAATGACGTGTTGGAGGTTTTCGATTTTGAGTTGGACAAGGAAGATGAAGACGAAATTACAAAGGTCGGTAAGGAAAAGACTGTTAGACAATTTTCAAAGGAGTACTCCAAGTACGACTAAGTGGAGATTCAGACGTGTTAGATGTGTGATTTGTTGCTTCTACATACTTTCGTTGTAGAGAATAGTATTTGTTCTTTTTATACTTGAACCGCACTCTAGTAACTCGTGCGCTTCTCGTTGTTCTTGAGCGTTGTCCCTTTATAGGACACTCACTCTACGTAGAGTTGCGCTTTTCTTTTGATATCTTTGTGATCATTACATTATAAAACGCAACAAATTGTTAGACCGACTGACGATGTATTGCTCGACTTGAGCGCTGTTCTGTATTTGTCGATGTGCAGTATGCTTAGTTTCAACTTTTTTAGTACAATTTGTGATGTATTCTGTGGTATCGGTTGCTTTATTTTTGTATTTGAAGCTAGTGATGGCGGCACTCAGTTCCAATTGCTGGGCTTTAGGTCCTTTCTAAGACCAGAGTCGGGATGATTGACAAAACTCTTTTTCAATAGCATCATTCACTTTGTACCTTCCATCGTTTCGACTTCCCGCACAATTCAACATGCGTTGTCAACTCCTTATCCGTTCCACTTTGTCTTGATAGCACACACCCACCTCCCCTTCACTCCATCACTCCATCACCCCAATTCCTCTGCAATTATGCTCTGCAAAATGCTGCCATCATTTTCTTGAAACTTTTCAAATTCCTGCTTTAGCACTGCCGTTAGAGCTCTGGCAAAATCATCATTGAAATTGTATTTTACGCAATACTTCAATTTAACAAACTCGTCGGCAATTTCTTCCTGGTGATTATCCATCAACTGGTCATTCACCACAACTATCAACTTCTTTTGACTGCGCAATGTGTCAATAATCGAGCCAGTTCCTGCGTGAGATATAACAATGTCAGCTTGTTGAATGTAGTCTTGTATTTGAGGTGAGAATGGGAATGCAGTTACTTCAAGACCAGTCCCCGTTATCCTCATTGTGTCTGTAGTAGCATTGCTTTCCACTGTGAACCCAAACTCCTCCACGATCTTGCTCTTTTTTAATTGATTTTGAAAGAATTGACGACTTATATGTTGTGATCCCTTTACTTCGTTGCCGTATTGTATGAATAGCCTCGATACTCCCAAATCTATCAAAGAGTTAATAAATTTGGAACAAACCACTGTTTCAATCAACTGTCTAAATGTGACAGTGGCACCTGTGGTGACCAATATTGTAGACATATTGATGCACTGTACCGATTTTCGTTCCGGAAGTTCGTTTATTTCTCGCGTCAGAAATGATTTTTTCTTTTTCTTTTTCTTTTTCTTTTTCTTTTTCTTTTTCTTCCACATCTTCTTTTCTAAACACTTCAGATATGAAGGTACTATTCTATGGGTTGATTCCAATCGCCCTTTATGCCTTATTCAATCACTTGTTCTACACTTGGCTTCCAACAAACTATAAATTTGACAAAGTGGTGTTACAAAATCTTGTCCAGGATGTATTAAAAAACCATCCTGATGGGAATGCCACTGCCATTATGATTGATTTGACTCCAAGAATCCAGCAAGAGTACCCAGGTCTCATTAATGACTTGAATTTTGACGATTGGGTTTACAATAATGCCGGTGGGGCCATGGGACAAATGATCATCTTGCATGCCTCGATATCGGAATACTTGATCTTTTTCGGCACAGCGGTTGGAACCGAGGGCCATACTGGAGTCCATTTTGCTGACGATTACTTTACTATATTGAGTGGCGAACAAAGAGCAGCTTATCCCGGTCACTTGGAACCAGAAATCTACAAACCTGGCGATCAACATCATTTGCCCAAGGGCCATGTTAAACAATATGCTATGCCAGGTGGAGCCTACGCTTTGGAATTGGCACAAGGTTGGATCCCGGCAATGTTGCCCTTTGGATTCTTGGACACAGTGAGCTCGACATTGGATTTCCATACTTTTTACTTGACAACGTATTTCACTGCCAAAGATATGATCAAGAATTTATTGAATGGAAAATTTTGAACGGCGCTACCTGAAACTGGATGTTGCAAAAAAAAAAAAATGCAGGAAATTCAAAGTATTAAAGAATTGTATAAAGACTGTATTTAACTATAAAGTGGATAGATTGTTACAACGTTATGAAATGAAAGTGTTTAGAGTTAACTTTTTTGGTTCTGGTGGGCCTCTTTTACATTCTGTGGCCACCCAATTGTAATAATGATTTGGCCACACTGAAGCTGTTAGGGGTCCCCAAATTGTTATGGAAAGGTGATGATGTTAAAACTGTCTTTTTCTCTTCTTCCTGTTCGTCGTTGTCAGAGTCATCTTCGTCGTCCTGGATTTTGGTTTCGTCGTTATCCTTGCTAATTATGGTTGACTGATCAATGGTACTGTTGTGGATGGTGGTATTTTGCAACATTGTCATATCGTTATCTTCGTCAATGGTGTCATCCACAGTTGTAGGCATTCTTGAGGCCATGACGGTAGGCGCTGCATTGTTGAACGATTGTTGAAACCTCAATGACCTCGAGAGACTAGCGCGTTTTATTGGGGTTTTCAAAATATTGTTAATTGGGGGCAATTGAGTGTCAGGTTTGCGATTTACAGTGATTGCTGGTAACGCAGTGGTGGCATTGTTTGCTACTGAAGGTACACTAATTGAGGACAAGTTCATTGAACCGTTTATGCTGAATGTGGGACAAAAAATGTTGAAACTGGGTGTAGACTTGACATTTGGCTTTTCGCGAATCAATGGCAACTTCTTTTGAGTTTCTGAGTAATGGATGCTGTTTTTCTTGATTTGGAATAGTTTCAATTTTTGGTCTCTTTTTTTGGTCTTGCTTTGAGCAACTGTTGACAAGGACGTAGTGATGGATGAGGATGGCTTTGATATTGATTGTAAGTTGACATTGATCGATTTGGCGTAGTACGTCTTGGGCTCGGGTGGTGTGGGTAATGATGACATAGATTTAGCTTTTGTTTCGTAATTTGGAGATGCAGTGGGAGTTCCTTTCTTGGATTGAGAAGGACTCAAAATTGGGTTCAAGTTGTCACTTTTTGTATTGTTGTCCCTGGTAGTGGTGGTGGTAGTGGTTGTCGTTGCTTTGTTTTGTTGCACTTTGTAAAGGGCAAGCTGTAATCGCAACTTCAACTTTGTAGCAGCTAAGCCTGCTTTGTCGTTTTTAAATGCAGATGATGAAGATTTTAAATGCAAAGTGGGTGAAGTGTCGGACGTGTTGTACTCGGCAAAGCTGGTTGATTTCAATGCTGGTGTTCTGACATTGCTGCTTTTGGTGTAGTACGTGCCTGATTTTTCAATTGAAAATGACTTGGTTACCATATCAGGAAACCTTCTTTTGTGTTTACTAGGTGTGAGGATACGCTTGAGCTTGAAATCGTCTGTGTTTTGATGCAACTTGGATCTTTGCTTGTTGGATAGCGGTGTTGAGCAGTTTAAAGACTGGTTGGAGTTCAATTGACCATCCCCAATGGTTGACAACGCCATTCTGTTGGTTATAATTGACATGATGTATTTGTTTTGAGCGTGTCTTTTGTTGTTGTTGTTGTTATTTTTCACCAATGGGCCAAGTGTGTTTGGTGGTGCGTTTTTTGTATCCCTGTCGATGTGAAAAAGACGGGGAGGGTTTAAGGAGTTGCTGGCACTTGTCTGGAAAAGAAGGGTGAAAAGTGTAGATTCAATCGAGTCAACTTCTATTTCCAAAGCTTGAGGACTTGGGAAAACAAATATTAACGTAAACAACGCTTATTGTGTTAATATATAGCTTTAGTGTTGTTGAGTTGAAACTAAGTTTGGTGCTGGAGGGTTTACATCTTGCGTGTGCAAAGACATGTTGGTAATATCTTGGTTTGTTTTTATTTTTATTTTTTTTTTTGGTGTTTGGTGTGTTTGTGTATTTGTTTGGTTTACTCAATTGGGACTCGATCAAAATAAACAACAACGCATAGGCGAAGCACAAACAAACTACCTCATAGAGACAGGAGGACGGAGAAGAGGACAGGTTCACCGCACTTCCCTTCTTTTTAGCGTTCCTGCCTTGAACACCATTGTTTCTCTTTCCGTTTCGAGAGAAGGCACTCGATGTGGCCAATTGACAAACAAACAAACAAACAAATAAGCTGAATGATTCCTTCATCAAACACCAGGAAAAAATATCGAGAGGAAAACGTATGCTCTTCAGAGGCAGTGTTGGGTTGTTCAAGCAGCTCCAAGCATCTGCTATGTTGACGATAAAGGTAATGTACCTACATTACTGAGTGCGTTTCGGTTAGCGTCCACTGTCTCGTGATCCTCTGTCCCTTTGTTGACATACCATAGCTTCATACAAAGTCTACAGATTTACCTGAGACACATATTACGCAAATTACGCAAATTACGAAATGGGCCAGACAGATGATGACGCAAAATGACAACAAAAGAAGAAAAAGAAACGCGTAGAGTCGCAATTTGGTGATACAAAAAATATAATAATGTCTTTCGCGACGGACTGAAGTGACGATGGACATAAGATGATTATGGTGGGCAGCTTAGATGTCAAACCAAAAAAGGATAGCAAACAAGTAGTGAATGGAATGTGATTGAGCTTGCTCTGGCAGCTTCCCTGTAGTTGCTCTGAGTGAGCTCTCCTGACGCGGTATGAGCAGCTTTGTGTAGTTATAAGATTTTGGTGTCTATTCCGATTTGTTTACATTCTCACAAACCAATTTGCAACACTGAATTGGGTCAAAGGATCTGCAGTTGAAAACCACTAATGCAGCATCAAAGGCTGTGCAGACGTTCTCTCTGTCACTGCGCGAGAGGTAAGAAAAGAACAGTCTAGCCATTCTGCTCTTGTGTCCATACTGTTCATAACCTTGTTAAAGAAGCTTGAGTTAATTGCCTCAATATACTCTTAGATCATCAAGGGAATCTGCAAGGGTCTTAAAATTAATTTTGGGGACGTATGGCTGCTGGTCGATCTTTGCTTCAATTTTCAAGCAAATGTTGAGAAAGCTCCACAACACACTCAATATATGATTTTGCTGCCAAAATTGACCCCCCCAAAAAAAAAACAAGCCCTTCTACTCCCCAATTGAAATGTTGCCATGGTCTGCTATAGGTTCCAGTAACGTACTGATGTAAAACAGTAAATCTAGTGCCACACTTTGGATGACTCGCATCACACAAAACCCAACCTTAGAGACAGAGATAAGCACAGGGGGGAAAAATGGAAAACAAAAAAAAAAAAAAATGCTGCCTTGCTTGAGCAACGTCATCCTTACAAACCAAAATCCCATCCTTACAATGATCAGATCTAAGCTATCATCCCTTCGTGAATACCTCACTCCAATCAATCACAACTCGAATTTCCTCACCACGGGAGAGATTAGTCCAGAAGAATTTGTAAAAGCCGGCGATTATCTAGTGTACAAGTTCCCCACATGGCAATGGGGCACATGTCCCAAGAATCTACAAAAGCTGTTTTTGCCAGCTGACAAGCAAGTATTGGTTACCAAACATGTTCCCAGCCATGTGAGAGCTTCCAACTTTGAAGGAGAATTGGAAGATGACGATGAGGAGGTTGTTGTGAGTACTGCTGGCAACGAGGATGGCGAAGATGGACCTAAGGAAGTAACCGAAGACGATGAGGAGTATGGCTTGATCAAGTCAAACAAGTCTACGGGAAAGGCAAGTGGACAGACCCAGTTTAACAACACCAAGGAGGAAATTGGCGACATTGATGATTTAATAGACAATGATGCCGAAGAGGCTGATGAATTGGATCAAGATTTCGACGATTTGGACATAGTGTATGACTCAAATCATAAGCTCAGAAAGTATGACCTATACATAACATACTCGACCTCGTATCGAGTGCCCAAAATGTATCTCGTTGGTTTTGATTCCAATGGTATCCCACTATTGCCCAAGCAAATGTATGAGGATATAAATTCCGATTATAAAGACAAGACTGTCACTATTGAAAACCTACCAGTTGCCTCCAACACTACGTCGATCTCGATACACCCTTGTAAGCATTCCTCCGTGATGAAGGTTCTTATGAGCCATCAATCGAGAAGAAAGAAAGAGAAACCAGTCGAGGAAGATTTGCTGAATTTATCGATTGAAGATATAGAATCAGAGGCTGAAGGGATTAGAGTTGATCAATATTTGGTTGTTTTCCTCAAGTTCATCGCTAGTGTAACTCCTGGTATTGAGTATGACTACACAATGGATGCTTTGTAGGTGGTTAGTTGTATTTCAAAGTAGTATTTAATGAATATGTAGACAATTATCAAATTAATCACACTTGTGTCAATTACGAATGTAGAGCTATATAGATGAGAAGAGCCACGCCTTCACTACTAATTGCTGACACACGATTCAGGTTCGGAAAGTGTATCTTGAATCAACATTGGGTACCTAATACCTCTTCCTCCACCCGACACTTTTATTGCAAAGTTTATTTAAGAACTGAATTTGAAAAGACACTTATTTCGATTCGTCATCGGCATACTCAATATGCTCTCTTTCGTTAATGATACTCTTAATACCATTGTTACCCAATTTTTCCATCATTTCGCCAGCATCAAAAGTCTTTGGTACGATGTGTTTGAATTTTCTTGCAGGCACACCTTGCTCAAACAATTTATCCAATTCAGCAAAAGTTCTATTCTTGGTTTCCGGTAATTCAAACCAGGTCCAAATTGCAGCTAAAATAGCAAACCCTGCCCAAAAGAACCCAGTCTTGGCTTTCCAATTCCATTGTGTGGGATTCAACATATAACTTGTAAGAATACCAACAATAATACCCGCCACATTGTAAAGGAATCTTGACAACATGACTGTCTTTTGTCTCAATTTTGCCGATGGCATTTCTGGAACGATACAATAACACATTGGTCCAACAGTCAAGTCATAAACAAATGTATAAACCAACAACATTGAACCAACACCCCAACTGGCACCTTTAGATGAAGAAGTTCCCAACCCACCCGTTATCAAAAGAAGAACAACTTGACCGCACAATCCGCCAAAAAAGATGGGGAATCTTCCCAATTTTTGTGACAAGAACCAAGACCCAAACGTACCAATAATACCCAAACAATACTGGATAATTGAAAATGTGAATGCATTTGAAAGATCTAAACCAGCTTGCTCATAAAAGTAGGTTGAGTACCCCATCAATGCCGAACCAGTAATGTTTTGAAATAACCATGTCATTGCCGAAATTCTCGTTCTTCTGAAATTTTTGCCAGTGAAGCATTCCTTGAAGGTTGCTCCTTCATTAGTAGCATCTTCTTCTCTAACAATCAATTGAATTTTGGTGACCATACTGTCGACAACTAAGCCCTTTTCTGGTAAGTAGGAGTTTGTTGTCAACAACCTCGCCAACGCGTGTTTGGCTTCTTGAAGCCTTCCTTTCCTTACGAGAAAGTATGGTGATTCTGGAGCCAAAAACACCCCAATCAAGATGGGAATTGGCCACACCCATTGAATAGCATAAGCAATACGATAAGCATGAGGGTCACTCATGTTTGAAATGCCCTTGATAACACCAGCCGAAATCAACTGACCAAAAACCCAACACACATTGACATAGGTTGTTAGATACACTCTCAAACTCGCTGGTGCAATCTCCGACGCATAAGTCACGGTAATAGTTTGATACGACCCCCAATTGATACCCAATAAAATATACGACAAAAGCAACACTTCACGATTAGGTGCAAAGAATTGAATGAAAATTAATCCAACAGAAATGGCCAACGCCGGCATCAATGTTTTCCTGTACCCAACCTTGTCGGCGTACACACTTGCCATCCACAAACCAATCAACTGACCACATTGATAGCCCATTGACAAACCAGTTTGCCATCTTGCTGGAATTTGGTAGTCATTGATGTCCTCGAAATAATCACCGAATTTCTTTCTGAATCCCGGATAAGCATAAAAACTGGTCAACAAGTTTGTGTCGTAACCTTCCATAATCAAAGCAGTAGATAAGATCAATGACCACGCAATAGCCTTGGGGAAAGTCTTTACACCCTCCTTCAACGTCATATGTTTCTCTCTGTGGTCATCTGCTCGTGCGTCTTCTGACATAACCAAGAACTTGGAGATGTAATCATCAACTTCGGCATTAGTTGTGGTGGTGGCAGCGGCAGTTGATTTATCGTCGTAGCTTGAGACCAGAGCAGCACGGATCACCTTGTCATCGCCCTTGATTTCATATACAGCGTCGTCGGAGTCATTCATCTTGGAGTTGTCAGTTGTTGTATTGAAATCTACTGGAACGGTCTCATATCGAGGAGATTAGACTGGGGTATTTATACCTCCTTGGGGGTTAAGTATTTTGCAGATATTTTTGATAAACTTATTTTCCCTTCTGGAGTCAATTTCAAAGAAAGTCTCAACAAAAGGTACAAGAAACCTTAAAATGCTACCCCCCCCTCCCCTCACTGACAAGGAAGCTAAAAGTAAGCCAGCCGAACCTGCAAAAAAAAAATTTTTTTTATTGTTTTTTTTTTTTTTTAGCTTAGCATTCGTCTCTTGCACCACATCCCTAAAGATCGGAAGAATGCACTGGGGGTTAAACCAGTAAGCTACTCAAGTGGCAGTGAGGGGAGGGAGAATGGTTTAGAGCTTGTAGATGAGATGAAGGCAAGCTTGAATTTAAGTCTCTTTTTCGCAGTCAAGAATAATAAAATAATTTGCTGCCTCAAGACAACCTTGCTTCGAGTCTTTGTACTACACAATAGAAACGTATATGCTTAGAGGCTTAAATTTAAAGCTTGCCCTAGGCCGCCTGGCACGCGGTTATTCTTTTCTCGCAGAAATTCTGGACAAAAGCTCGGAGAATTTCAAAGTAAACGTTTGCTTTGTCACAATACTCTATTGTTGCTAGTGACTAAAGACATCTTTCTATTTTACCCCGCCATTTTGATATTTGACAAGACAATGCATCATCGTATAATGTTATCTATTTTTTAGTCGGCCTGGTTTTGAACAATAGGTTTGTAAGAACACGATAGATCGTAAAAATATGACGACATGGCGTATAGTAATCCTTGCGAGTGCAACATTGCGGGGGGAGACATCATGTTGCAACAATGGTATCCATTACAAACGAAGATAAGGTAACGCCTCGTGTAACAACGCCCTCGACGCCGTCCCTTATATTGGCTCTTTTAGTACATCTTCCTTTAAGGACAAATTTGACTTTCCTTTAAGCTTGGTAAATTTTAGGGTCATGGTCACAAGGTTTTGTGACGCAATTTCATTCACCAGTTAGACTTGAAGACTGCGTACCGGAGTAGTTTTTCAAAAAACTGGGCAAGAGAGCACCTAGTTAGAAATTGCACAGGCTAGTGGCTGTAACAGGTTTCTTTGTTGTGCCCACATGTCATGCAAAAAAGTCTTGCCTGTTTATATGTAAGCACTCCATAGATTGAAAATGCTTACAAGTTACTTACAAAAGCAAAGTGGGTCAGTTTCGCGTAGGAGAAGTTATGCAAGTTGCTTTCAGGTGAAAATTTCATCTAGGTGACGTTAGGTTTTACCTTGAAACAGTAGCCCACCACAAACTCTGTACCGACAGCAAAAGTACCCCTCATGAAAGAGGAAGAATTAAAGTTTTGGAGCTAGGCAATCCAGCCCAACAAAACAAAGATCTCAGCTCTTTCACTTGTTCGGCACTTGACTGAGAGTCAATCTGTACCAACTGAGTGGGGAGATTATAAAAAAAAAAAAAGAAAAGTAAAAGACAGCATAAGGTGCTAATATTGCTGATGCTGTTGCTGTTGAGTAGGATTTCTTTTTGTAAACTATGACTACGCCTTTACCCCACAAAAGAAAAAGAAATTTTATTTTAATTAATCCGACATATGGTGCGACAATATTCCGAGCATTTGAGAACTCAACCACACAACTGAATAGAAAATCTTGCGAGTAATGCAAAGTCTAATGAAATGACTATTTTTTTTTCTTTTAGACTTTTGGCTTATCTCCTCACGAAACAAGAAAAAGCTGCCCACTCGAATAAACATTTCACCCTCATGTTTTGTAATTTCAATCAATACAATGTGTTGTCCTCTACCACTCCTTGCTTCCGAATGAGATTTCAAAACTATCGAACTCCAGTTTAAGAGCATACTTCAAAAATACTGCAAGGTTATAATAAAAGGATACACTTGTCAAGGCAAAAATTTTAACCTCATTCAACAGCGTGCTCATTTTAATCTATTGGACAACATTTTCACAATGACTATTGACTACACTTGGTGGAAAGACGCTACAGTTTATCAAATCTACCCAGCCACGTTCGCCAAGGGCATAAAAGGGAGATACACGGGGGACGACAAAACATTCGATGGTGCTTGTGGTGACATTCCTGGAATCATTTCCAAGTTGGACTACTTGAAGGATTTTGTTGACATCATTTGGCTCAGTCCCCAGTACGATTCTCCTCAAGATGATATGGGCTATGATATTAGTGACTATCAAAACATCTACCACAGGTATGGTTCAATGGAAGACATGCAACAGTTGATTGACGGTTGTCACAAGCGTGGTATCAAGATCATTGCTGATTTGGTTATTAATCACACTTCATCGGAACATCAATGGTTCAAGGAGTCTAGATCATCTTTAGATAATCCAAAGAGGGACTGGTATATTTGGAAGAAGCCAAGATACGACGAAAAGGGAAACAGATTGCCACCAAACAACTGGTTGTCGTACTTTTCTGGGTCTGCTTGGGAATGGGATGAGACTACTGGTGAGTACTACTTGAGGCTATTCGCCAGCACTCAACCGGACTTGAACTGGGAAAACGAAGAGACTAGAAATGCCATTTATGATACGGCTTTGAAATTCTGGTTTGACCGTGGAGTCGACGGTTTCAGAATTGATACCGCCTGCTTATATTCCAAGGATCAAAGATTCCTTGATGCACCAGTTGTGTACAAGGATCAGTACTACCAGCCAAGTGACAAGTATACTTCGAGTGGTCCAAGAATTCACGAGTTCCACAAGGAAATGTTCCAAAAGGTTACGTCCAAGTATGATGTGATGACTGTAGGCGAGGTGGGACATTGCTCCAAAGAGCAAGCTTTGAAATATGTCAGTGCTTCTGAAAGAGAAATGAATATGATCTTTTTGTTTGACACTGTTGATGTTGGTTCAGACAAGAATGATAGATTTAGATATAAAGGCTTTGACTTGAAAGATTTCAAGCAAGCTGTTCAAAATCAGTGTGATTTCACAATTGGCACTGATGCTTGGTCAACAGTGTTTATTGAAAATCACGACCAGCCAAGATCCATTACCAGATTTGGTGACAAGAAATACGAAACAAAGAGTGGTAAGTTGTTGGCTCTTTTGCAAACTACGTTGACGGGAACCTTGTTTATTTACCAAGGACAAGAAATTGGGATGACCAACTTGCCAAGAGAATGGCCAATTGAGGACTACAAGGACATAAACACAATCAACTACTACAACGACTTTAAGGAGAAATACGGGTCTGACCCTGACTTTGCAGACAAGGAGAGGAAGCTCATGGATGTGATCAACTTATTAGCTAGAGATAATGCTAGATCGCCAATGCAATGGGATGATTCTGAATATGCAGGGTTTTCGGAATATGAACCTTGGACTAGAGTTAATACAAATTACAAGGATATAAACGTCGCCAAGCAACTCAATGACCCAGACTCGTTATTGAACTTTTGGAAAAAGTCATTAAAGTTGAGAAAAGAGTACAAGGATCTCTTGATTTATGGATCATTCAAGATCTTGGACTTTGATAACGAACAAGTGTTTACCTATATCAAAAGCTTACCTAATTCCGACTACCCAAAGGCGTACGTTGTTCTCAACTTTTCTAAAGAATCGGCAAAGTTCAACAAGTTGGTAGATGGTGATTACAAGTTGATCAACATCAACATAGACAAAGACAAAGACGACTTTGACGAGGAAGCCTTGACGCCATTCGAAGGTAGGGTTTACATTGTTGACTAGTGGTACTTTGATACTGTATAGACTGTTTTAGATGATTAAATTGATAGATAACATTGTCGGTGTAAATCATATGGTAGCATTATTGTAGCTATCACAAAGATTTGTTTGATCAAAAATTTTTCACAGCAAAGGACCACAAGACCCTGCACCTTCTACAGCTCCATCCGGCACCATGTTGAACCTTATACAGAACATCACTTTCAGAACTACATTCTTTAACAACTGCATAAATCCCAACTTGCTACAGATCAGAACCAAAATGAAGTCGCATAAAGCAATAACAAGTAGGCTAATCAAACGAACATCCGGATTGAAAAGGAAACATGCCGGTTTGAATCACGGTTTGGGTAGATTTAGTGCTCCATCATTGAAACATTTGAGAGGAATGACCACGGTTAAGAAAGAAGGTGGGTACTTGAAGAAAATGTATCCGCATGCCTAGTCTATAAAAAATCTTGTACATATATATATATATATAGTGCATCAATCTGATGACTCAATTTGTTCGTGTTTTCTGGTTTCCCACTCACTTGTTCTAATATCCCTAATGAGTTCGGTTGTAGGAAAGTAGTGGTAGTCCGTTTTTAATGAAATTGCGGCGGGGATATTGTCAAACGACACAACTCTAAGCTTGATGTATGTTTTATCGGGAATGCTTTTCACCACGTTTATAAATGTTGTCAAGTCCTTAGTCTCTTGATCATTGACATGGGTTATAAAACTAACCGGCACAATTCCATATTGATGTGCAGGACCACATGAACTCTTGTCAGTAACAAACACCTCAGAGGGGATCTTTGTCATGAGCTGTCTAACTCCGTAATGTGGCTTTTGCAACAAAGCTCCGGACCAAAACACAACATGCGATGTATCCAAGCTGGAAGTCTCGATGGTAGGAACTGTAAGGTCAATCTCCTTCTTTTGGCGAATGATTTTGAACTTGAGATACTCATTGTCATACATGGGCGAAAAGTCTCTCAAACTTCTTACCAACTTATCATTCACGGAAAGAATTATATCCCCAACTTTCAATGGATTGGGCTTATCTGTCAAACTCGCTGCAGCTATTCTATCAACCGACAAAAACCGAATCAGGTCTTCGGCTCCCTCTTCAAACTTGCTGATCCACGTTTGAGGTACACCACGAGTTCTACCTTGAAAGACAGTTATAGAGGCAAATTCAGCACTCAACATTCTCAAACCAATAGGTACCTCATTTCTCTTGAGCAGGTCGACAACATCCTTCACGTCGGTGACATCCAATCCCATCTTGTACGACACGTCGTTCGACTCCCCCAAATAGGACAACCAAAATGCGCGCATTGTTCCATCCCCATCAACCAAGATACCAGTTCCACATTCTTGACTGATTTTACTGTCTAGTAAAATACATTCCAAGTTTGTACCTCTATAACGTGGTGCCATGCTATTTGCAGTCACATTCAAAGATGCAATTGAACTGACCTTCACATCGTCCGTGACTAATCTCAAGTTGTAGTTGTAACCCACAAATGACACATCGTCACCTCGCTTTAGTGGAGTATCCGAGAACCTTGGTGTTTGCACATCAGCTAATATTAAACTTGGATCGTACTTGATTATGGCATAGTTCAAATGCGGATGTAAAAACACCACTTTCCCGGCAACATCAATCGATTCCGCAAATACAACAAAGATATCGCACATGTAATGTGGAACAAACCGCCTCGACGTCAAAACGTATCCATTTTCAGCGTCAACGACTACACCGTAGCAGATGTCTTTTTTAAATGGATGTGAGTCCACACCACTAGGGCATAGTGTCCTAATCTGAACGAATGACCGAACCAACTTGGAAATTTCATCCTTGCTTGGGTCATTGAATGGTATGTCAACGTACTTTGCATCTTGAGGAGTAGGTGCAATTGGAGGTAGTGGCTTGTCTTGCAACGACACAAAATCCCACAACCCTGTCGTGTCATTTCTAGTGGCCATCTTGAATGAAGTGTACCAGTGCCTGTCAATATATATAGTTTGAACGTATTCAGCATTCATATCAGAAACATGACGATAAGTAACAGGCACTCTTGAACAATCGGGTAATTGTTTCATCAACTCAACAAATTCGTCCAAGTTGGCAACAGGTTTATCATCGATGGTCTCCACCAAATATCCAAATGGATCTTGATTGGAGAATTCAAATGAGCCGGCTCCATCATTCACGTATAATCCTCTCACTGGCAAACAATAGCATCTGGCAACCTGATATGAGAGATCGTTAAATGACGCACCAGACACCTGTACATACCTATTGGGTGTGATTGCATGCAAGTCCCCAACTTTGATGTGTTGTTTTAATTCGACTCCACTTCGTTGCACAACAAATTCCAACTCCTTACCAACGTTCTCGTCTAGTATTTCATCAACCCTAATGAATGTTGATATGTACTCTCCATTTATTGATATTAACGTGTCTCCTTCCTTGATGAACCCATCAGCTGGGCCCTCTGGCAATACCAACTCAGCCACCAATAATCCAATTTTATCCGGAAATGTCTTTCTTGCAAGTGCTTCTGCCTCTGCTGTCAAACCAAACCTCGAGCACTCATTAAAGGGCGTCAATTCCCATTCAACTTGTATGTCTCCTCTCGTGATTGGTGTGCCTTCCTGTATACATTGAAGTGCTCTCTTTGGTCTATTCACTGGTAAGAAAAAATCAGTTGACGCTTCGGTAGAGCCACCAGCTTGTAAAGCAACACATTTCCCATCCTCATTAACCACCGGCGATCCAGATGACCCTCCCGTTGCTGAAGCTGCTGCTTGTATATACTCCGTGTTGAAATCGTTATACGTTAATGCTCCATAATCAGGAGCATTCCTATCTATTCTGGATATGATACCAGCAAGTATCGAAAGCTTCTCTCCGTTGTCATTACCAACTACCCTAATTTCTGTGCCAACTTTTGCTAACGTCGGTTCCAAATCAAGTTGTGTCAACTTCAAATACTTTACCTCCTTTGTGTCAAATTGTAAAAATCCGAAATCATGGATAGGATCTCTATATATTGGCTTCACCTCGGTCGATTCATGATTGTCAAAGACAACGTATCCTGTGAATGGGCCAGGACCCACCACGTGTCTATTTGTCAAGATCAACCCTCTTTCTGCATCCACAACAAATCCTGTTGCCTCACTGACGATGGCAGTTTCAGTGTCAAATGGTGCAACGTGTGAAAACTGGACCGAAACAACCGAGTTGACTACTTTTTTGATAGTCTCTTGCCACTGGTTACTGTTGGTCACCGCGATGTCAAAGACCGGCGCTGGGCTTGGAGCCACAGAGTGATCCGATTCTAAAATGATGTCATCTTCCTCCTCGAAATGAGTTTCGTCATCTTCTGTTTCTTGTTCTGAGTCTAGTTTTGATCTCTTGACATGACCGTTTAGATGTTGATCTCCATCCCTCTTCATGTTGACAATTTTAGGATACGATGCTGTTAATCCTCATACAAAGAGAAATTTTTCATTACATTTTATTTTATTTTATTTTATTTTATTTTATTTTTTTTTATTTTATTTTTTTTTTTTTTTTTTTTTTTTTTTTTTTTTTTTTTTTTTTTTTTTTTTTTTTTTTTTTTTTTTTTTTTTTTTTTTTTTTTTTTTTTTTTTTTTTTTTTTTTTTTTTTTTTTTTTTTTTTTTTTTTTTTTTTTTTTTTTTTTTTTTTTTTTTTTTTTTTTTTTTTTTTTTTTTTTTTTTTTTTTTTTTTTTTTTTTTTTTTTTTTTTTTTTTTTTTTTTTTTTTTTTTTTTTTTTTTTTTTTTTTTTTTTTTTTTTTTTTTTTTTTTTTTTTTTTTTTTTTTTTTTTTTTTTTTTTTTTTTTTTTTTTTTTTTTTTTTTTTTTTTTTTTTTTTTTTTTTTTTTTTTTTTTTTTTTTTTTTTTTTTTTTTTTTTTTTTTTTTTTTTTTTTTTTTTTTTTTTTTTTTTTTTTTTTTTTTTTTTTTTTTTTTTTTTTTTTTTTTTTTTTTTTTTTTTTTTTTTTTTTTTTTTTTTTTTTTTTTTTTTTTTTTTTTTTTTTTTTTTTTTTTTTTTTTTTTTTTTTTTTTTTTTTTTTTTTTTTTTTTTTTTTTTTTTTTCCTCTGTTACATTTTTGCAATCGTGATGGTTAACCCTTTTGGGACCGATGCAAAGAGAAGCTTATGGTAAGTATATACACCTTTTTTTTTTTTTTTCTATGCATCCCCAATCATTCTTCTCGACCAGGTGGAGAAGTATTCATTCTGAGTGTCAGATTGATACAACACCTCTCCATGAATCATTGCGCCAAGGCGTTCCATCAAATCCCAACCTTCGCCAATCATGCCTATGTACTCGTTATTCAAGGTGGTTTCCATCATAGCTTCAGTGCCATACATGTATTGTTTTTCAATTTCCTGTACCCATGGCTCCCGTCTTATCCACTCTTCGACTAATGTGCACCAAGACTGCAAGGTCGACTTCAGCAAGCCACCTTTTTGATAGTGCAAGAGCAAATTCATAAACTCGGGCTTTGCTCCCACTTTATCACGGAGAAGTTTATGATTAATTCGAATGTAAGCAGTGTAAACGATTCCGCATGCTAATGACCAGTCTGTTTTCTTTGCAAACTTATGCTTGTGCAAGTAAAAAGTTGACAACATTTGCACAGTGTACCTACTTGGGATGTAAAATGTGTTGCAGAAGGTGATAAAGTCACTAAGCAGGACAATTTTGAAATCATATTTGTAACTTTTCTTTGTGAATGTGTTGGTTCCACTCGCAAAAGGGGAGGCGGTGTGGCCCTTTCGAGAAGTACTTTGTGTCGTATTTACTTCGTCATCATCTTCTTCTTCTTCCGCCGCCGCTGCCGCTGCTGCTTTAAGCTTCTTCAAAGGGGATCCAGACTGCTTCAACCCCTGCTTACTAGGACTTGCATTCTTTGAAGGCGTGACAACACGTTTCTTTGGACTTGATGTAGGCGTGCTTGCTGCAGACATTTGATTTACCATCTCGCGAAAGTCCGTTAGTAGCCGCAAAACCACCTGAGGTTGTATGGGTATGCGTGTTACATCGGGTTCTGGAAGATTGAATATTGTCTGGAATTTCTCTGCAATCACATATGTGCACAAATGATAGCGTCCAATTTCAGCATTGTTTGGTAAGATGCTACTTTTCCGTAAGCTCAAATTATACAACGAATCAATGTAAGTTGACAATCTGCCCGAGTTTTCACCTGAATATGACGGGATAATGTCCTTGATTGACTGTTTGATCTGATTAGATGCCATTGGATGCAGTGGGCATTGGTTAGAGTGCGTGGATACGTGTCTATGAAGTTAAAAGATGCTTTCACTCTTTTCAAATCAATGTCGCGAAATGTATTTGTTGGACAAACTTGTCCAAAAAAAAAAAAGAAAAATCCAACCAACCAAATTTTTTTCTTTCCACATTCAAAAGCAAGAAAGGACATCTTTAGACAGTGGTTAACTATTGCTACGCTATAGACTTGACATCGACGCGATATTAGACTGGGAACACATTCCACTATTAAAGACTGAATTGATTTCATTTCGCTTATATCTGACGTTCCCCCACTTGGCAGTATGTTATCCAGAACTATCATCAAACCCACAGTGTTTGCACGCAGCTTTGCATCCACGGCAATCGTAAGAAATTCGGAGTTGGCCAAGCCTACAGACTCCGCTGGAAAAGAAATTGTGTCTGGTGCTCCAAGAGATCTTGTCACGAGTAGAGTGGTGAGGATATACCAAGAAGCCAAACCTGCCACTCAGTCGGGCCACCATAATGGGGACCATTGGAAATTGGACTGGGACGTTTTGGGTAAAGGTAACAGGTGGGAAAACGATTTGATTGGTTACCAATCATCTTCCGACTACATGCAGGGAACTATAATGAAGTTTGACACTAAAGAAGCAGCAATCAGATTCGCTGAAAACCAGGGTTGGGATCATTATGTGCAAGAGCCTAAGAAGTTGCACTTTAGAAAGAAAGAGTATGCTGCCAACTTCTACCATTCTGCGGGCCCATTGAAACATATCAGAACCAAGTAACGAAAGGGTATAGGATATAACGAGTAAAGATGTTTTCAAGGTTCAATATTACTCTCATCGATGGTGGTTCCTGTAAATTATTTTAACTTCTCTAAGAAACTCAGCATAGGTTGTTTCCTCTGCACCTAATTGTTCCACAACGCAAACAGAAGATGTGGATATGCGCGATTACTGACCACAGTGAAAAAAAAAAAAAGAAAAGAAACAGAAAAAGAAAGAGAAAAAGAAAGAGAAAAAGAAGAAAAAGATAAACTAAGAGCGTGAAGATAAACAAGAACTAGAAAGACTGGAATACTTCAAAATTCAGAGGTTTATAATCCGTTGCTTATAAAAAAACTGTATATACTAAACATAGGCCCTGTGTGTTGGAAACTCAACCTGTCTGTTCTGTTGGAAAATATTTCACTAATTTCGCCATATAGAGATTAGAATAAAATTGTGAGGGATAGGAAGAGAACATGGCGTATCGAGGCGGGTACCGTGGGCATAGATTCGAGCAACGGAGGGAAAGATATGAGTCCTATAGACCAGACCGGTCAAATGTGTCTCATTCCAACGGGATTCGAAATACTGAGTTACAGGGTGCAGTTGATAGTCAACGGCAATCACATAGTAGTCACCACCGCGACAGAAACGACCATTCAAGACTACCTCAAAGTCGACTGTCGCGATGGGACTCTGCTGAAAATTCAGGCAGAAACACACCCGTGTCTGCCAGTAGCAACAGTGTGCAAATAGTGAACAATACAGGCACCGATATGAGCACGGGTGTTAACCAAAAAGATTTGGTGTACACCAAGCTCGCCCACCATCGAGAATTCACAAATCCACTAGAGTCCTCAAAGAAGATGGAAGGTGGAAAACACTACAAAGTGGTGTACGATCCAGAACTCGATCCTAGCCTTGCAAAGATAGACCTCAAAACAAAGTCCAAAAAAGTACGATTCAATGGGGAAGGCGTTGACTTGCCACGAGACCCTCGACTAGCGAACTTGAACAATTATTTACTGAAGCCAAATAAGAAATCCTCAAAATTCCCGTTCAAGCAACTACCTCGGGCCAAGTTTGTTTGGGATAACGACTCACTTGGTGACGCACCACGCACCACTTTGGTGCTCTGGGATCTTCCAATAAGCGCTAACGAAACCTATTTGAGAAACTTTCTTGCCAGTTTTGAATCTAAAATTGAAAATTTGAAAACAATCGACGACCCGAAGTTTGGAGTTCCTTTAGGAGTTGCAACTTTCAACTACCCAGGCAGTATCGAGAAGGCAAGCTCATTGGCAGAGAGTTTTATAGAGACCGTGAAGCGGGATTCCGTAAAGATAAACGGTTCTTCTTTGAAAGTAGCTTTGAACGACAGCAAGGATGACCTATTGAATCTGAAAGTAAATTTAGCAAGAGGTAAACTTATACAACAACAAAAACGGCAGGAAGAGGAGGAGAAAAAGCAGATTGCTTTGAAAGTTGAAGAACAGAAGAAAATAGACGAACAAAGGCTTGCTGAAGAGCAAAAGAGACGGGATGAAGAGAGGGCCAAAGAAGAAGCTGAAAAATTGCTGAATAAGCAGCTCGGTACAACTCTATCGTCTGATGCTTTTGCCACCAAATACAAACCTGACTCCACTGTGCTATCCACGAGACACGGAAACAAGGTTGTCCCAGGAACTTTTTTGCCACATGATTTGTCAAAATATGTGAAAAACAGGCCGTATTTGCTTATCCGTGACAAGTACCTTTCGACAAAAAACGCTTCGTCACAGGATTTAAAGCGCATATTGAAGAAATACGATTGGACTCGAATATTGTCAGATGCAACTGGATTCTATGTTGTTTTCAATTCATTGAGGGAGTGTGACAGATGTTTCCACAACGAGGATTGTCGTCGATTTTACGAGTACAAATTGGTTATGGAAATGGCTATTCCAGAGAATTACCAAGAAACAGACAAGGAAGGTGATTTGAGTAACGGAGTTTTGAGTGAAGCTACAAACATTTTGATCAAGGAGTTTGAGACATTTTTGGTCAAGGATATTAGAGAAAGAATCATTGCTCCACATGTACTAAGTCTCTTGAATCACGATCGATATCCTGAGTTGGTCGAAGAACTCAAGGCAAAAGAGAAAGAACAAGCATCCAAACCGAAGCCGACTGTCTCCAACTTTGATTTGAAACAGAATGCCATGACCATATTGGAGAAGCAGAAAAAGGATTTGCAAGAAAAAATACCCTATTTTCGAAAAGCAGAAGAAAGACTCAAGACCAGCAGGAGGGGCAGTAAGCGCCCTATTATACCGATGCTGCATGCATTGAATCTTGATGAGGATGAAGAGAATGAAGTAGACGACATTTTTGAGTCCGTTAGTGGATCAGTCACTCCATCTGCCGAGCCACTCAAAAGGGTTCGAAGCTCAACAGCCACCAGCGTAGTGGAGGATTCTGACCTCGATGAGCCTGCTAGTAAGAGACACAAGTCGAAATTACAAGAATCGCACGATGTGGTTTCCTCTGGAGATGAACTGATGGAAGAGTCTGATGTGGAGGAGGTTGATGATGATGATGATGGTGCAGATGAAGACATAGAGATTGAACCTCCTGCGGCCATCCTAGACTCCAAATACGGTCCTACAGAAGGCAAGCCAATGACGGTATATCCTGTACCTTCGTCATCCACAATTGTGAACTTGAAATCGCTTCAGGAGAACATAGTAGACTCCGAAGATTTGGAATTGGCCAACTCGGTTTTAGCAGACATCAAGGAATCGAATATTGCCCACATGGACTACTGGGCGTGGAAACAAATTGCAAGTGAATCGGCATCTCTCGAGGTCGATGAACATGAAGATGCGGTGGACGAGCTACCATCAAGACTTGACTCAACCACTGGTTCATTCAAAAGTGATGGCTTTAAAAAGATTTCAGAAATTGACAAGGTAGAATATTTGCCTCACCGTAAGAAAGCAAACAAGCCAATCAAAACTGTACAATACGAAGAGGACGACGATGAAAAACCGGCAGATAACAGTAATGTGTTGCAGAGCTCTAGAGTCAATAGGGCCAACAACCGAAGATTTGCTGCTGATATTACAGCTCAAATCGGTTCAGAGTCGGATGTCATGTCTTTGAACGCACTCACCAAGCGTAAAAAGCCTGTAACTTTTGCTAGATCAACCATTCACAATTGGGGTCTTTATGCTATGGAACCTATTGCAGCAAAGGAAATGATCATTGAGTATGTTGGGGAGAGAATTAGACAGCAGGTTGCAGAGCATCGAGAAAAGAGTTACTTACGAACTGGTATCGGCTCCTCTTACTTGTTCAGGATTGACGAAAACACGGTGATTGATGCTACAAAGAAAGGAGGTATTGCCCGATTCATTAACCACTGTTGCAACCCCAGTTGTACTGCCAAGATTATCAAAGTTGAAGGTAAGAAACGTATCGTGATTTATGCACTCAGAGACATTGAAGCAAATGAAGAGCTTACCTACGACTACAAATTTGAAAGGGAAACAAACGATGAAGAGAGAATCCGTTGTTTATGTGGTGCCCCCGGTTGCAAAGGTTACCTCAATTGATAATTGGATATAGGATTTTTATTGAAGTAGAGTTTGCCACACCAATTGCCAAGAATGGAAGTCCATACTCTTTTTCTTTAAGTAGTAAACTGCTGTCACGTTTGAAGTATAGGCATGCGGCTTCCCATATTGTTTTCCTCCCCCTCAATGTGCCCAAATTATAAACAGTGCTCATAAATTACTTGTTTCGGAAGGTGCACGTGACACGCTACTAAATTGAGATGATAAAAAAACAAACAACCAAAACAATGCGAAAAATCTCAATTGGGAATGAATGTAAATAAACGCAAAACCTCACATCCACGCATCAGTATTAGTCAGAGAGCATCTTCTCAAGACGTTTGTATTTGTGTATAAACCCACAAACGGTCTATATATACAAAGCATACAGACTTAGCATTACCAAATATATACCAATTTGTATATCTTTCGCATTACCGAATTGATAAAATCCATTAGTTCTATTTCACTCAAGTGAAGGAATACTGTTTGGGACCAAGACTTGGGAGTGAAAGCATCACCATCTGCATCGGCATCTGCATCAGCATCTACAGCGGATCACAATTAATACCATACCACAAGAATTCATTCTTTATTCAAAGTGCTCAATCTGATCTGATAGGTATCCTGTTAATCCACGCATTCAGCAAACTACAACTACACTATAGAATTGCATTTTGTTCACATGTCTACGCTTCGTTCACAACCATTGCAGCCATTAAATGGCGGTCAACTAAATGTTAGGTCTAACAACATTACACCAATTAAAAGTGTGAGACGAGCTAAAGAAGATATACCTGAGCAGAAACAGCAAGCAAAGAAGAAGAAGGAGAAATTGTCGGCATTATGCAAAACTCCACCTTCAATAGTTAGAACAAGAAATGGGAGAGACTATCGTCGTGGAAATTTCCTAGGCGAAGGAGGTTTTGCTCGTTGTTTTCAAATGAAGGATGCTTCTGGTCAGATCTACGCTGCTAAAACAGTTGCAAAAGCTTCGATAAAGAATGAAAAGACAAAGACCAAACTTTTGTCCGAGATCAAGATTCACAAATCGTTGAAACATCCCAACATTGTCAATTTTGTTGACTGCTTTGAAGATGATGTGAATGTTTATATTTTACTCGAAATTTGTCCAAATCAGTCCTTGATGGAGCTATTAAAGAACAGAAAGAGGGTTTCTGAGCCAGAAGTCAGATTGTTTATGGTTCAAGTTGTCGGTGCGATTAAATACTTACACTCTAGACGAGTTATTCATAGAGATTTGAAGTTGGGTAACATTTTTTTTGATCCAGAGATGAACTTGAAAATTGGTGACTTTGGTTTAGCTTCAGTTTTACCCTCAACGGATTCCAAGAAATACACTGTATGTGGTACACCAAACTACATTGCCCCTGAGGTGTTGGGGGGTAAAAATACAGGGCACAGTTTTGAAGTGGATATTTGGGCAATTGGAATAATGATGTACGCATTATTAGTTGGTAAACCCCCCTTTCAAGCTAAAGATGTTAATGTGATCTACGAAAGAATCAAGAAAACCGAATATTACTTCCCTGACGACAAACCCATTTCTGAGTCAGCCAAGATTTTGATCAAAGATTTATTGAGCTTGAATCCGTTGAACAGACCAACTATTGATGAGATTTTGAGCTATGAATGGTTCAAAGGACCCTTCCCCGACAAAACACGCGATATAAGTTTGACCGAAACTCCTCAAGGGCTCGATCAGATCTCTAGAGTTCAATCTGGCAAGAATTTCAAACATGCCAAAGACATGGCCGGTATCTACACTCCCAAGAGTAAAGATCCAGTGGAAATCTTGAGGTCAGATTTGCACTCGGAGCAGCCACGCGCATTGCTCCCACAATCATTATCACCAAACGATACCAAACATAAGTATCGTGAAGTGGATCCTGAACAAGTTGGGAAACCAAGACGCGTCAACTTCAACTCCCATTTTTCAACCACCATCAAGCGGCTTAACCAAACTTGTTTTGAAACCTACCAAAACATTAGAAGATTGGAGCATTCACGACACGAGAACATCAACCAGTTTGAGCTTCCCGTGTGTGATAATCCCACATTAATCAGCAAGTGGGTTGACTATTCGAACAAGTATGGCTTTTCTTATCAATTGAACAATGACGATATTGGTGTTCTATTCAATGATGAAAATACATTGTTGAAACTTCACAATTCAAGCAAGTTTTTAGAATTGATCTACCATGACGGGGAAGGATGGACATGTATTGAAAACTCCTTAAGTCACCCACCAGCCCAAGCCAAAAGACAATTGGAGATTGTTGATTTTTTTGCCAAGTACATGAATAGTAACTTGTCCAAAGTCAGCGATAACGAAGAAAGAAAAGAGATTGTTTTTTTGAGGCGCTATAGCAGAACCCCCGAGTACATTATGTTTGAAATGACAAATGGAAATTTTCAATTCAATTTCAAGGATCATCACAAAATTTGCATTTCGAAAGCGGGGTTGGCCATAACGCACATTTCACCTGACCGATTGACGCAAACACATCCTTTGATTTGTGTTCTTCAAAGTGGAAATTTTCCAGCCGAGCCGGTTCCCGAGTGCTTGCAGAAAATTGCCGTTATTAAAGATGCAATAAAGAGAAGGGCGTTCAAGGAGGAGTAAACCTTCTCATTGATGTACTGCCTTTGACCACTCTGGTGGCGTATACTTTGCTCGTTTCGTCGACTATTGCTTTCCTGCATTCCGTTGTATTATTAATTTTCACTTAGATTCTATACAAAAGAGCTATAAACATGCATCATTTATACTTAGCATGGAGATGAAATGTAGCATGTATTTTTTTTTTTTCATAGAGGCAACCTTCTAGTAATAAGTAATGCACCCCCCTTCCAAGAACTGAACTCAAATTTCTAAAACCTTGTACAACACAATATTTTATATCGTGGTTTAATGCGAGAAAGGTTTTGTCAAGTTACACTGATCTGTGCACATTTTCTCTATAACTCCTCAATATTCATCCTCGTTGTGTGTCATCAACCCCTTCAAGGCCCATTCTCTTTGGAACTTGTTCAGAATCTCTCGTAAGTCAGCAATGAGGGAATTGCATGCATTTTTAAGAGCTTCTTTAGGTGAATAGTCATCTTCGGTCTGGATTCTCAATACAAAGTTGGCAAACAAAGGGTGCTCGACTTTATAGGCAGCAAAGATGACTCTGTCGTCCTTGAGAAGCTGTGCTCTTAATAGGTTAGCTAATGTGTGGTCCTCTCTTTCAATCTTTATGATGGCGGCGTTGGGTACTTTTGAGTCAGGCGTGATCTTTATCCTAAAGTGGAGTTAGTAAGTCAAGTGTACACTAAAAAACAAGCCACTAATGTGAATCGTACTTTTCGACGCCATCTGGCAATATAAATAGTTCAAATCTGTCTGGAGCGTTCATAGTATTAGGTAACGTCTAACTGGCTGTCGGCACTGTGTCAATCAAAACCGAAATTTTTTTGGCTCTTTTGAAGAAGAAAGGTCGTGCGAGGACTCAATTACGCTGTTAACTATAGAAGCCATAGGGTCGGCGATGGAATACATACAAGAGAGTTTGCTATTGAGTCCGTTATAAATGACTCAAATGAGAGAATCTTATTTCCATAGTAGTGTCATATCGGACGGTTTCATGTTGCCAGTCGAGTACTTAGTCGGCATTTTAGGGCATGGTGTGAACCAGTTTGGACATTCTGAGAGATGATGTCGTGGTTTGCGTCACAAGGCTCCTATTTCTGTATACTCTGAACATACTCGTAAGTCACTTCTTCCCGAATAGATGAACTTGGGCATAAAGTATAGTATGTAGTGTGCTTTTCAGTGTTCAGTGTTCAGTGTTCATCACCAGTGCTTCCATACGTCCTGCATATACGTTGCTAGGGTTGTGTGTATGTGTGTGTGTGCGAAAAAACACACATACGCAGTTTTTCAAAATGAGAGAGAGAGAAAAATCCATATACCTGATATCACCCACATCGAATTCAAACACAAGGCACAACCACCACCTTTATATCAGTTTAATAACCTAGTGACCGTCTTGTGAAAAAAATACATATATATATATATATATATCTTCAGAGAAGTTGACTACTAGCGTTACAGTCGAAGTTTCAATTCCGTCACCCGCAAAATAAAAATCTTCTCAAGTTCGACACCACGAGTTTGGACCCACTTTGAAGACCATCTAAGTTAGCGTCATTTTGGATACACAGTTGAATCACTGCATAGTATTCTGAAGCTATAATGTCCAATCAGCAGGATTCCTGGTCTGCGCAACAACGCCCCATTGGGCAGCAATTCAAGTATGTCTCCCACTGCAAAAAATTTTGGATGTTCTTCATACTAACAATACCATCAGCCGCCAACACCCACCAGTTCTTCCACCCCCAGCAACATTAGAACAAGGTATGTTTTTTTTTCTCTCTCTCTCTCTCTCCAAAAGACGTTACTATTTACATGAATGGATTACTAACTCATTGTAGGAGGACAACAATTTTATCCGTTACCCAGTTTACCAAGTCTCGGAAATGGCAATGGCCACCCACAACATGGACATCAGTTTACAATCCCTTCAATCAACCCTGTTAACGACCCAGTTCAACTTGGACAGGTATGTACATTAAACCCTCGTTTGTTTGGGTACATATACTTTGAATCTCCACATACTAACATCGTTTCTAGCCTTCGGACCATTCGAGACAGGGTGCAGATATAAGAAGACCCTCCGGTGTTGGATTTGGAACGCCTGGAAACGCGCCATTGCCACCTCCTTCGTCCTTAACTAATTTGAACTCGGAGAGTCTGATTCTCAACACCGACATTGGATCATCTCAGCACCAGCACCAGCACCTCCACCAGCAACCGCAACCGCAACCGCAACCGCAGCACCCAACTGCTCCTCAACACCAAGTATCAGCAACCGCCTCGCAGCATCAAGTATCTCCATTGGGAAACAACGCCGTACCTCCTGCGGGTCTTCCGAACAGATCCTCCACAAGCAATGTTTATAGACCGTTAAATGTGAAGGATGCGTTATCGTATTTGGACCAGGTCAAAATCCAGTTTTATAATCAAGCAGAGGTTTACAACAACTTTCTCGATATCATGAAAGATTTTAAATCGCAGAGCATTGATACTCCTGGTGTTATTGATAGAGTGTCTACATTATTCAAAGGGCATCCTAACTTGATCCAAGGCTTTAATACCTTCTTACCTCCCGGGTACAAGATTGAATGTTCCATGGACCCATCAGACCCAAACCCTATTCGAGTGACCACCCCAACTGGCACTACCACGAGGCCAAATGTTGCGGGCACTACCTACAATCAAGGCTGGGGAAATGAGGAAGCTTCTGCTGTGACTGCAGCTGCCCAGCAACAGCAACAGCAACAGCAGCAACAGCAGCAAGCCCACGATTCGACTAACCACGCGAATGGATCTGGACAAATTGATTTCAACCACGCAATCACCTATGTGAACAAGATCAAGACTAGATTTGCCAACCAGCCTGATGTTTATAAACAGTTCCTTGAAATCTTGCAAACTTATCAAAGAGAGCAAAAACCCATTACTGAAGTATATGAGCAAGTCACGGAGTTGTTTTCAAATTCACCCGACCTTTTGGACGACTTTAAACAGTTCCTTCCGGACACAAGTAATCAAGGATATCCTCAGCAGCAAGTGCAAGATAAAGGTTTTGTTGGAAATGGTAATCAATTACCACCAGTGGGAAATTTTGGGCCAATTGGTACTAGTCCCTCGCATTCTCCGTACGGACAACAGACCCAACGCTTGCCAGGGATTACCGGCTCTGTTCAAGAACATCAAAAAGGACTACCTGAGAATGCTGTTGGCATTCTGAATTTTCAACGGAAAAAGTCCTTGGCTGACGCTGAAATGGAAAATTATAACCAAGAAATTCAATACTCTGGTATTCGTTCTGGCTTGGTAGATCCCAAACTAAATAAGGCTGCTGTTCGTGCAGGAGTTGTACCGGTCCAAGCTCAAGTTGTTGCTACCACTCCTGTCAACCCAACGTTAATCCCTGGTATTCCTGAGCCTGTTCCGCCAGTAGGTACTGCCAAATCTTCATCTCTTTCGGAAGAGATCAGCTTTTTTGATAAAGTTAAGCGTGCTTTGGGCAATAAACAAACCTACAGCGAGTTTTTGAAGCTCTTGAATTTGTTTACACAAGACATCATTGACAAAGAAACGTTGGTGGAACGGGTTGAAGGGTTTTTGGGTGATAATAATGCGGACTTGTTTGAGTGGTTTAAATTATTTGTTGGATATGAAGACAAACCACAAAATTTAGAAAACATCACCTTCAAAAAACATGCGTTGGAGCTCTCATTGTGCAAAGCTTATGGTCCATCTTACAGGCAGCTTCCAAAAGCGGAGACCTTTATGCCTTGCTCAGGCCGTGATGAAATGTGCTGGGAAGTTTTAAATGATGAATGGGTCGGCCATCCTACTTGGGCTTCTGAAGATTCTGGTTTTATTGCTCATCGTAAGAACCAATATGAAGAAATCTTGTTCAAAATTGAGGAAGAGCGACTTGAATTTGATTACTATATGGAATCGAATTTGCGAACTATTCAAATTTTGGAAACCATTGCGAATAGAATCGCAAACATGACCCCTGAACAAAAGGCAAACTTCAAGTTACCTCCAGGTTTGGGTCATAATTCAACTACGATTTACAAAAAGGTCATTAGAAAGATTTACGACAAAGACCGTGGATTTGAAGTGATTGATGCATTACATGAAAATCCTGCCATTGCTGTGCCAGTTGTGTTGAAACGGTTGAAGCAGAAGGATGAGGAATGGAAGCGTGCTCAGAGAGAGTGGAATAAGGTTTGGAGAGAAATGGAGCAAAAAGTATTCTACAAATCCTTGGATCACTTGGGGTTGACCTTCAAACAAGCCGATAAGAAGTTGCTCACAGCAAAACAATTGGTTAGTGAAATCAGCACGGTCAAGGTAGAACAACAAAATAAAAGGCTTCATCCGCTTACACCAAAACCACAAGAACAATTGAATTACGAATTTGGTGATAATGAAATCTTGTTTGATATTTTGAAGCTCGCAAATGTGTTTATAAATCGCTCGTCGACATACTCTGCTTCAGATAGAGTGAAATTGGTCCAGTTTTTCAAATTTTTCCTTTCATTGTTTTTTGGAATCCCTAATGAGACGATTGATGAGGCATTGACAAAGAGGGGTGGTGATGAAACCTATGAGGGTAACGAGGATGAGGAGCCTCCAAATGTTCAAAATAATACAACTGAGTCTTCAAAAAAGAGAAGCCGCGAGTCGGATTTGTTGAAAGATGTATTAAAGAAGGTCTCCAAGTCGAAGAAGGATGATCGAGCGGACTCTCCAGGCCCACAGTCATCTGAAAACATTGCGCAAGAAGTAAGCGACGAGCTTGAAAGGTCAAGTGAACTTTGGGTGAAATCTGCCAACGCCAAGTACGCTCAAGGTGAGGAAGCTACACCTCAAGCCAAACGAAACAATTTCAACTTGTTTTGCAACACCACAATCTACGTGTTTTTCCGTCATTTGACAACATTGTACGAAAGGCTATTGGAGATTAAAAACATGAATGAGGCCATTGGAAATGATATAAGGAGTCGTAAGTATCCTCAATTTGCAAAAGATTTGAACCTTGTTTCTCATCAATTAGAAGATATGGGAGTCAACATCGTGGGCACAAAGGACTGTTACCAGCAAGTTCTCAGCTTGGCTGATAGGTTGATTGAAGGCGACATTGAACATCAATGGTTTGAAGAGAGTTTACGTCAAGGGTACAAGAATAAAGCATACAAGATGTATACGGTTGATAAGGTGATCCAGGCTTTGGTCAAACACATGCACACAATGGTCACTGATGCAAAAACTTCGGAAATTATTGTTTTATTTGAAAACGACCGTACCAAGCCTACTCTGAGTGCAAAAGAGCAGATACTATATCGTATTCAAGTTCGTAGCTTGATGTCGCCTGAGGAAAACATGTTCAAGATCTCATACAATGAGGACACTCACAAGGCTAATATTCAATTTATCAGTATAGATGACCTCACGTTGAATGATCAAGGCAGTAGTGAAGAGCAGTACAATTATTATGTGACCAGCTACATTATGTCACACCCCACTGAGGGTGTTCCTGCGTCCAAGTTGAATATGCCGTTTTTGAAATCGTTCATTGAGCTGGTGGAGGAGGACGATGTGGAGGGCCGTGTTTCTTCTGAATTGAAAGTTTCAGTGTGTGAAAATTCATATCGTTTGTATTTTGAAGGTGGCTCACATGACGAGTTTGTTTCCAATAAGGTGTACAAGAAATCAGCTGATGAAGCTGGTTCTGTGGATGGCAAGGTGGCTTCTTTAAAAGCTTTAGTTGATGGTGAGTATGGCTGGAAATCGACCCTAGAAGAAGGTGGCGATGAAACTGCTGACATTGAAGCCACTCGTGTATTGTTTGAAGAAGGGGGAGCCAAGTACAAGGATCAGTTGAACAAGTCGAGCACGCAAGATGCTACTGAGAAGGAAGTTGTTGAAGTTGAGGGTGCTAAAGATGTAGAAATGTCTACCAATGAACCTAGCAAGAAGGAGGTGGAGGATGTTGTTGAAAAAGTTGAAGAGCAAGATGAAGAGAATGAGGACAAAGAGAAGGAAGTGGATGTAAATTAGTTACCATATGTTTGTTCTATAATTGTTTTAAAATTAATTTTTTTTTTGTTTTTTTTCATTCCTCTAAAGCTTTTTATCTATACAGCCTCCTCTCTGCTGCTATTCTAGCCATTCTCTCGGTCGCAAGACTGTAAGCCAATTTTGCACGCTGGTTCAACCTTACGCGAACAAAATCCTTTTGGCCTCTTGTGAAGAGGATTCGAAGAATTATATTCTCTTTAAGCACCATATTGGCATCTGGATCTGTCTTGGCAACCTTCTTTTCCTTTGCCGCGAGAGCTCTATTCTTTGCGGTAGCACTGGCATACATGGTTTTGCTCCTGCTCAATGTTGCTCCTCTCTTGACAGAAGTAATTGGGCCATCAAAGCTCAGTTGGTTGCGATTTGTGAGCATTTGCACATATCCAGGGGAGAGAACTTCCACCTCCTCAATCAACTCATCTTCCGATTGGTCATAGTATGCTGGAATCAACAACAACGATTGGTATTTTTCAGTCTTCAACTCTTCTAAAGGCGGCCCATTACCTTCATTGTGGAAAAACTCGGTCAATAAATCGAGCCAGCGTAGCACCGTTTCAATCTCAACCATGCTCAAAGGACTATCCAATCCAAACATTGCCTTGGTTGAAATTGACACATTTGCGAGTTTAGATGATACCGCCAGCCAACTGCTTGAGTCAATGTCAACTTTGGCTTTTGATAGTTTGGGCAATAACAACTCGTCGGCGCATTTTATAAGAACATTCCAGGTTGCAAGCATCACTTCCAAAAAAAGATCGTCTCTCAAGTATGTCTTGAGAACGTTCAAGTTTAAATTCAAGTAATCGCATAGATTTTCTAGTGAGGCTTCAAACTCCAGAGTTGATGGTTGTCCCTTGGCACACACGGCTTTCAAGTTTGCCTTGGAAAAGCATTCTTCAATAAACCCCAGAAATTTTTCAACCATTGATTTAATGGACTTTTCTTGCGCCCTTTTCAAAGCACGGTACGCCCTCCCCATGACAAACATTGCATCCAACGTTTCACTTTCAACTGCAACTTCGATTACCAACTTTCCCAGTATATCAAGATCCAAAGTGATCTCCTCTGGGAATCCATTGTGTTTGAATCTCTTGGGGTTGAGCTCGTAAAACGCCTTTCCGCATATCTGGTGCTGTCCCATGCTCTCGTTCCAAACGACGGCTGACAATTCCAAGGTGGTGTCTGCCGGTATTGTGATTTCAAACTCTTCGTCCCACTCAGGATCTGATGTGCGCTTCAAAACCCTAGTTTTGCCTATAGATTTCTTGCTACCAAAATCTACTAGCTGCACATACGGGTTCGTTCTTGCAAATGCTGAATCTTTTGACAACATAATGTTTTCTGCTTTGATTACTCGTAGGGTGAATACGTGGCTTAAAAACTGTTGTGGTGCGTTAGGCTTACATGTTGATAATGACTGAGATATGGACTCCGGGTCCAACCATTCTTCAAGTCTAGCTAGACTATCAATCATTGCTGCGATGTTGTTAAGGGCCACACAAGTTTCAGCTGCAAAGTTGTATACTACAGCCGGTTCGGGTCTGTTGAAATTTTGTATACTGTTCACCACGCTTTTGACTTCGTTGAGCCAATTCTTTCTTACTTCCTGTGCTTCGTCAGTTTCAACTTTGATAGGCGTAAGTTCACGGTTGATTTTTGCCGTGATCTGATCGGCATAATATAAGGAACAATTAGAAATGCTTCGTAGCAACTTGGTATATATCAGCAGAGCTTGCTGCTCATCTTGCCAGCCTAGTTTGTTCAAAATAGTCAAGTACTGCCGTATTATCTGAAATATGTCCAACACTGCTCGGCTGTTTCGTTTACTGCTCTCTTCTAATTCGATTGGTTGGTAGTCATCCTTCTTTGTCGCCTCCTTAACTATACTAACAAGTTTTTCGTCGGACTCATCTACCCACATATTCAAATAGGGGAAAAAAAATGCCTCCAAATCAAATTGAAACTTGGGATTCTTGGGTGTCACTTGGTAGTATATATCCCTCACTTCCCGTAACAGTTGATATATTTCCAAAGCATCGCTCACAGGTATGCTTTCATGCCTCCTCTGGTATGATTTTTGTATATGACTCAAAATCATTTTTGCATCACTCGCAAACATTCCAGTCGTAATAGATGCAACAGTTCTTGCTACATGTAAGAATCCCAAAAAGGGGTTCTTGTACTTCTTTTGAAGGCTTTTGATATCCCCAACAAGTTTGTCGCAAATGTTCAACACATGTAGCACATTCAATGTTTCGTCGCGTGGCAAGTTTTCCAAGTACTCCTCGTATCTTTTTCCGGCAATTTTCAAAAGCGCCTTCGTCAACCTTTTCTCCCATTTTTGTGGCAATCCGGACTTTTCAATCCTGTAGAATAAAGAATCTGTTTCCAAATTTTCTGCAAGAAATTCAAGATACGGTCCAAATTTCGGTTTGTCATCCAATTTGAAAATCTTTGCTAAGCAATCCCTCAAGGAGGAGAAGAGGTCATTATATGTGACTGTCAAGTTTTCAACCCATAATTCCTGATCTTCTCGGCTCCAGTACTCCTTATCTTGCCAACTCATGCCACCATCTTGGGTGATTTTTCTGAATCCTGCGAAAATGTCTTGGCAAGCGGTCAATGAAATACCTCTTGTAGAGACCTTTTCACCAACTTCAACTAGATTTGCAGAAAGTTTGTTGAACTTATTGCCTGCAGAATAAAGGGACACGACCCTACTGGGGTAATCAATGAACCACACACGGGCAACAATGTTCAAAAAATCCACCACATCTGGAGATAATAGCAACTCTGATGAGCCTCTGCCAACAATTTGCTCGATAGTGAGTGATTGTAATTGCATATAGAAACGTCTTGCTTGGTTAATAGGCGGGAGTATGTAAAATTGTTCGCCTTGAGGCACTGCTGCAAGGGGAGGCAGACGCGATTCATTTACAATCTTGTACCTAGATTGTAATTGAGAAGCAATGTCGTTTTGTCTGTTCCTCCACGCTTGTACTGCATAATTGCTCGCATAATCTCCATATTTCTCCTCACTGGACAACACGTTCTTTGCATCTTCACGTAAATGGTTTGCTGAGACCAGATCTTTGAATTTAAACAAGTCGGTTTGTATTTTTGTATTATTCACCTGAAATATATCACGAAACGGTTTCAACAACTTTTCATTCAAATCATCCACTCTATAGGACTTTTTGGGATATGTGAATTCCTCCTTATCAGTGCGTTTAGAGACCTGACTTCCCTTAAACTCGTTTTTCCTATCATTAAGTCGTGAAATCAATGCTCGATCTGAGTCTTTCTTGCTCTTCAAAACACCAATCAATATGTCAATGAACTCAGAGGTTTGTCGAAAGGTTTCTGACTTGATCTCATTATCATCGATAACTCCAAGCTTTCTCATCTCCGGGTCGACGCATGATGCAAATTTGGGAATCAAAAAGTCAATGTTACGTAAATTTGTAGTCTTTTGCGGGTCCAAGAATTCTCGATATAATCTAAGTAGTGATCGCCTTAATTTCGGATCCGTCAGAGATGTGCTCGGTAACGCATCCTCTAGTCGGGTTTGCAACTGCTTCATTGCATAGGTCGGAAGTTCTGACTCAGGCAGCACATTCAGTTTTGACGATATCAAAGGTTTGTTTGGGGTTATAATCGGTGTCCTAAATCTAGTTTCGTTGCAGTATTCTAAAAGAATAACCTTGAGAACGTATTTGTATAGGTCGTCTTTGTTGACATCTGCGGCGTTGTCATTATTATTATTATTATTCTCCGGCATCACGGCGTGGCCATTCATCTGAAACTTGCTAGTTTGTTTCTTCGCCCTGTTTTTTTTTTTTTTGGTTTGTTTTTTGTTTTTTTTATTTTTTTTTTTTGCTCGGCTTCTTTGATTTTATCCATCCGTAGAACGCGACACAATTGACACAAAAAGGGTCACCAAGCCCCACATCATGGAAGAAAGAGTCAATTGCAAGTTTTCTCAAGGCATAGTGGGCATTTGGCCCTTCCTACAACAAATCGACAAAAGAGAGCTCGCTTTCAAGAGACAAGATTAGTATATTATACAAATAGAGAATTCATAGAAACCTGCACCATTGGCAGCGGGAGTTCATGTTATTCCTCCTCTGATGCCTCTTCTACTTGAGTTGTGGTCTTTTCTAAGCTAGTATCTTCGTCATCGCCTTCATTATCGTCGTTGTCGACAGCCAAGTCATCTTGTACTTGAGACGAAGACGTATAGTCATTGTCATCTGGCACATAGATGTGCTTGGACAATATCCTATTCATTTCGAATGATCCAACGGTCTTCTTTTTGAATAGCTTTTGAAGCTTGTCATCACACATTATTTGACGTTTGTCATTGGGGTTTTGTAAGTTATTTGCCTTTATGTAAGCCCACAAGTGCTTCACCACTTGAGGTCTTGAGCATTTTTCTTGAGCAATAACATCCTGTAGCTCATGACTAAGAGCCATTTCCCGATTAAAAGCGTTGTTTGGAGCTCTTCTTGTCTTCTCCTTCGTGGACGAGGTCGAGGTTGAGGTCGAGGTCTTTGTCAATCTCCGTTTGGCCCTTGGTTGCCTCACTGTCTCTTGTCTCAGTAGCTTTGCCGCAAGCAAGGCATCCTGACGCTCCATCTCCTCACGGTCCCTGTCTTTCGCAGCTTCCGACTCCTCTTCCCGGGATCTTTGAAGGTTGTAGTATCTGTTTAATATGACCTCATTTATTTCTTTCTGCAAGATTAATGTTAGTATAAGATTCATTGTAAAGCTATAGCTTTCGAATGCATACCTTGTGTTCATTCAAATCGACTCCAAACAACTCCTGCAATGCTTTTCTAATCTTTTTCACTGTAATTTCCTCTAGATTTGCAACACTAAGAATTGCCTAAGACCTTATTGGTTAGTATCTTCCAGTTGATGAGAGCTGTATAGGAAGCAAACATACGTCTATAGTGGGAAGGTATTTGTCAGGCTCGTATTCACTCATTGCTTGTGCAGATCTATTCCAGTGCTAAAATTGACGATAGCCCGTTTCGGTGCGAGAAAAAGAAAAAAAAATAAAAAATAAAATGAAAATTTACGAAAAAGGGTAAGATATGCAGATCTATTCAATGCTAATACCATCAGTTGACACGGCCGCTACAAAATCCCAACGACTACGTTCAATCTTAAACCACGGCATTCTCAACCTTTAATTTGACGCGTTTCTTAAATTTCGCTTGTGTTGCAACTCATTCTTCTTTATTAGCTTCTTTCTCTCAGCTCTAGCTAACGTTCTTGGGTCAATCAACTCATCGCCATCATCTCTGCCCCGTTTCTTTGGTTTGTCATCCAATTCCACCAACCACTGATCATCCATACTCTTGTTTTTACCTTTATATCCCCATTTGGGTACCCACTCACCTGTTTCTTCATCGTATTCCAATTTCCCATCCTTGGCCTTTGGCTTGATACCTTTCTTGGCGGCAAACTGCTCCCATTTAGTTGGCGGCTTCGGTTTAGGAATGGCCTTTTCACGTGGCAACGATGTTGTTGGTTCTGGTAACTGAATTAAAGTCATTGACGAGCTCTGTCCCGTCGATGATCCTTGATTATCGGTAGTCGTCTTTACAGGCAAGGACAATATCTGGTTTATCAAAAGCTGTACGTTATCTCTGGTGATTGAAGATATATATTGTTCCTTTTCAGATTCACTCTTGCTTCTAAGCTTATCATTTGACAATGGGTTTGCATCAAAAGTCGCAAGATTCCCAAGATCGTATGTGTTTTCTATAGGCTTTTCCACAGTAACGGGTTTATATTCTCTCTCAGAAGACATATTTATGGTAGTTTTAGAGCTGTGGTGTGTTGTTTCTGCAATTTCACTTCACAAGATGTGGATGAGATGGAGGATGGGGGGGAAAAAAAAAAAAAAAAAAAAAAAAAAAAAAAGGATTGAATGTGCAGAGAGAAAGGGAAGAGGAAAAGAAAAAGAAAAAAATGTGAGCTCTCAGAACTTCATCTTTGTGTAATCATCTGCGTCGCATGCTATTCAACATCCAAATCGACACCAATGCCATTACACCAATTGCTCCACCAGCCATGATCAAGTGCATTGTTTTCTCTTGATCAGCCGCCTTTTCTGTTTCCAATCCCGGTGTTACACTTGCAGGAGTCTTTGCTGCATCAACTAGCTGGATAAAGAGCTCTTGCAACGATGAGGTCCATGAAGAAGATATGTGCAAAGGAGAGCTAAGAAACAAGTCACGAGTGTAGTTTTCGGGTTGTACATCCGATCGCTGTTGTTGTTTATCTAAATCTGCCTTCAACGCCACAAACACTGAGGGTATTTCGTCTAAATTGGTATATTGTTTGCGCAAATCCACTAGATATTGGAAACTTTCTGGATCCGAGGAATCGTATGTATAGCATAATACATCGCACATGTCCAATCGCTTTTTGTTGGCCAATATGGCTGACTCCAATTCGCCAAGCTCCTCCAATATCAAGTAGCATTGCTTCCCTCCTCTTAACTCAATATCCTTGACCACCAATCGAGATTGGATGGTTGGTGAGTACATTTCGCTATACTGACCATGTAGAAACAGATCCAACAACGAGCTTTTGCCCGCTTTGGGGGCTCCAACGACATAGCAATAAAAGATGTTTCGATCATTAACAGAACTGCGATATGTCTTTCCCTGCTTCTGTCTAATCTTTCTCGGTTTTGTCACCTTCAAAGCCTTGATTGAAGTTCCCTCGTTGAATCCCAAATATGCTAAATACTCCAACGTGGTCTTGTAGTTCAAGAATGTTGTCAAATTCCATTGCGCTAACCATCCTTGAAGGGTTACGTATCCCCCCTCGTTGCACACAATAGAGGATGGAAAGTTTGTATCCATCCATAATCTGGGAATTCCTGGAGTTGGTTGGAAAAGATTATCAATTTCAACTTCATTTAATCCACCATCGTTGTCCTTGTCAAATGTTAGGAATAAATCAACAAAGAACTTGTAGCCAGTTGGGCTCAATTCAACACTGGAGTCAGGGTTGACATCAAGATGAGGATGTAGAAATTTGTCGTCCAATGACAAAGAGTTTGTGTAGTGGTTAGCACGTAGCATGATCCATGTTGTTTCATGTCTACCGGATTCGGCAAAGTATTTATGTACAAGAATGAACCCATCTTCACTAATGCCCTCCCCACCCTCAGGCAATATTTTGGAATGAATATAATTGACATTACCATCAAAATCTTCTCGTGTGGCCTCTCTTTTGAAGCACTTTTTATGCAATTCGTTAAATTCATTAAAGTTTAAAAACCCATCCTGGTCCGCATCAAACAAGAAAAACACTCGCTTGAGAGCTTCAATAGCACGTGGTCTCAAGTTGTGCTCTATTGCGTCAAAGAGGGGGGAGATGGGGTACACAACTGCACGTTGGCATAAATAAAACGCTTCAACAACGTTGTACCTATTCAAGGCACTACATCGCAAACCAGCCTCGATCTCTTTAAATTCGTTGATCAATGGAAGAAACTCCTCGTTGTCCTGATTTTTCCAAGCTGATTTAGGTGACAAGTCCGATTTGTTTGCACATAGTATGACTGGTAAGTTGACCCCTAGAGATCTAAGCATTGGCATCCAGTGCAAAGATATCCGCTCGTAAGTGTAATGGTCCGAGTACACTAAGCAAATTACATCAGCACGCTTGAGTTCTTTGTGTAGTGAAGTGACATCAGATGAACTTGTGTCGACAATAGTTGCCGTTGTGGGTATATACGTCAGAATATCAAGCAAATCGTTGGAGTCACGTCCATTGCGACTGGCATGCTTCGCGTCACGTTCATGTATTCCTGGTGGGGGTGCATCGCGTACCACCTCTTCGTAATCGCTTCTTGAAATGGTGATGGGAGGCAATACATGCCCAGTGGATGAGTCGGTTGTAGATTCTCTCGTGAAGGACAGTATTAGAGACGACTTGCCAACAGATTCATCGCCACAAACAACTATTCTTATCAGATCGAGGAACATATGAAGATGAAGGTGTGTTTGAAGATATAATGGTTGGGAGATTTCGGCAAAGAAGGAGAGAGAAAAGAAAAAAAAAAAAAGAGATCTAATTTTCGTGTGAAATTTTAGACTTTACTACGAAAGTGTTGCAAAAAAAAAAAATAGTGTATTCCTCGGATCGTACGACAGAGAACAGATTATAAACATCAACTATTTAATAGAAATGAGAAGAATTGAAGTCATTGTAATCGTTATTGGGAATGTTTGGCAAATGATGAAGATACGAGTTATGTGGCAAGCTGTTTGAGCGTAATGAAGGATGCGAAGGTGGCGGTGGTGGATGTTGTGCCTGTTGCTGCTGTTGTTGTTGTTGTTGTTGCGACTGCTGCATAGATGCAGGGCCGGGGGGTGGCTGATTAAACTGTGGAGGTGAGCTTTGGCGTTGTTGTGGATAGCCAAAAGGAGGTTGTAACTGATGGTTGTGCATTTGTTGAGATGGTTGTGCATTAGTATCCACTTCCTCCTCCTCGTGTTCTTCTTCCTCCTCCTCTCCCAATGTAGGATTTTCATCAGCGTCAACGTATGCTGATAAATTGTCATTGGCACAAATTCCTTCAAAAATAAGTTGCTCGCGCTTGTCCATTATCGATTTTATATTATTCAAATCAAACAAGGTGAAATCACTGATGGATGAGTTTAGACAGTTTTGAACTTCTTCAAGCCAAAGTCGTTTCTTCTCTGTTGGATCTAATTGCTCGTAAACTTGCATGCTTTGGATAAACAATGTGTTAAGATCTTCTAGCTCCATTGTACGTAACTGACTCAATACTTCATCACACAATGCACTGCTTGGCATTTCAGTAAGCGAGGGCCAGTTTCTGACTGGAACGTAAAAGGCAACAAAATGGCAAAACGTGGCTGGTGAGCTAGCTTGTCTCAGATCAGACATGGGTTTCTTGGTAAACTGGTTGACAAGCCACTCGTTGGTTATGATCTTGGCCTTGATTCTGCGATCACGCAACTTTCTCCTTAGTTTGCTCTTTTCCTTTTGGCCACTTGGTAAATCGCTCGACATCTGTGATCTAGCCAAGCTTTTCCTGGAAGCCCTTCTTTTACGTGAGTTAGATTTGCCCATTGGTGTGGAGTCCAAAGAACTCATACTTCCAACATTACCACCAACATACCCAAGACTAGAAACATCGGTGCTTTTTCTCCGTGATAGCTGATTCTTTAAGTAGTTGCACTCATCAACAGGGTGCCATTGATCTCCCTTGCGAGTTTCCAAGTGACGTTGAAAAGAGCCCTTGAGAGTGAATTGTTTGTTACAAAACGGACATATTTTATCCTCATTTATCCCATCTGTGCCACTTTTGGATTTGCGCATTGTTACAGATTGTACCTCTTGCGGACGTGACAAAGTGTCAATGCCCTCCTCTGGTGGCCTCGAAATTGGAAGAGATGGATCGCCTGACAAAGGTGGTGGCTGATCTTGAGGATAGAGTGGACCCGATTGCTGCTGTTGATGCTGCTGGGATAAGAGTGAAGGTAGTACCGGTTGGTGTCGTTGAAAGTATAGCCCTTGCTGAAACTGTGGTTGTTGAGGTTGCAGTTGTTGCCGCTGATATGGCTGTTGCAATAGCTGAAATGAGAAGGTTTGCGGGTGTTGCAAAGGTTGGTGCAATTGCTGTGGCAGCTGTTGTAGCGTATACTGCGATTGTTGCAATGCTGAGGGAAGCTGTTGTGGGTATTTTAGTTCGTCATCGTGTTTAGCGCCATCCGGTTTAAGGGACGTGGCGTTATACATAGCAGATGGAATGAGGATTGTGAGGGGTGAGCAAAGAATCTTGAATCAAAGGGGAAGTGGTATGGAGATCTATAGTTCATCCATAAAAAAAAAAAAGGTGGTTGGATCAAAAGCCTAGTTTCAAAAAAGTACCCTAAAACAAAGCACGTAGAATATGTTTGCTGAAAAATAAGGCTTTGCATATATATTTATATAGGAATAAGCGGATTTGGAGTATCGTTGGAGGGGAAAAGAGCAGAATTTATGACCATTGATAAATAATCATGTATGGCGTATAAAAAGAAGAACAAATTCAAATTAATGTATTGTCCTCCCTTTTTCTTTGCCCTTTGTGCTGTGCATTTTGAAAGTTCAATGTTTTGTTTTTTCCATGGATTCGTAGGGTCAACTTGAGTCAGAGAGACATTTGTGATATGAGGGTGCTTTGAGTTACAAGGACAAGTGTTTGGTGGGGGGTGGAGGTGGGGGGGCAAACGGGAACATTCACAGCAGAGGACGAAATGTAATCGGAACACAATAGCAATAATAGGAAATAAAACAAAAAAAAAAAAAAAACAAATTTAGAGACAATAAGGGGAGAAACACGATTGTGTAACGACTGTGAAATGGCTGAAAATTCAAGGTACCTATTCTCCGGATAGCAGTAGTGATGGTTCCGGTGATATCCGTCCGCCAATGGTACCTTACTCATTCCATGAATTATGCAAGCAACGAATAGCTCATTTTCTCTAGTTCGACGCATTTTCACACCAGGGAGACTCCGCTGATTCGTATTTAAAGACCTCTAAAGATATTGTTTAATGCGATTCTGAAAGACACAAGACAAAGGAGGCTCTACAAACAAACCAGATTTTACTCAAGGTGGACAAAAGTTTTGTGTTTGTGTTTGCTCTATGAGTGTGCGTTTTTGTGTTAATTACTGGTTTAGGGAGTTTTTTCTTTTTTGTATTTTTGTCTCTTCACCAAAAAAAAAAAAAAAAAAAAGAAAATGCGTCTGCTACCAATTTCTCGTAAAAAAAAGGGTGCGTCTACAAAATATGTGGGTGTTATTATGTATGTTTATATGGACAAAACTTTTTAGTAACTCTACATTATAGTGAAATTTCTACAGCTTTGGATGAAAGCAAATTTGTTCTAAAGTGTGACCCCACACACACGTTCACTCATGGAGTTTTTTCGATGACAATAAAATTTCGGTTATCAATTGCCGTGTGCTACTTGTCAAATTGACACCCCCTACCCCCACCGTCTCGCTTTCAACCTACGGGGGCTTTTCGCCGTCTGTCTCGATCACATGTGGCGCGCCCCTCCTTTCTTCGTCCTTTAGGTTTGCAACTGAATCACAGATGCCAAACATAACAAAGCACAGATCTTCTGTCTATCATATGCATCTAAAAATATAACCTTTTATGGTTATGATCCGAAAAAAACAAAGGGTGAAAAGTAACTCACGGCTATTTCTATTATCTACAGCAATATGCAGGAACATTGCTAAAAATATTATGCAAACAATTTATACAGCGCAAAGGTTAACAAAACCTTCTATTATTTTACGTGAGAGATCGAAAAAAAAAAAAAATAAAATAAAATAAATAATGGGGGGTGGGTTGCAGGGTTTGGATCAATAACCTTTGATATCGTCCCTGCAAGTTACATCTGCAAAAGACGGGTTGTTGACTCGGAACTGCATACGTATGTATGAGCTACACATTCAATGACAATACGTTTACAAAAGACACAAGACGTTAAAAACCCTTTTGAATCGAAACCTTAATTACCTAAAGTCCGGTTGTGTAACAAACAAACCTTAATTTGGACAACACCTTACTTAAAAAAGAAATGGATTACTATAACTGTAAGTCACAGCAATGTGACGTAAACTACTCTATTCCTCTCTGTCTATGCATCAATGGCTAAGTCTATTTCTCAAGCAACCCTTAGTGCCTTATTACTATCCCTCTTCAGCTTCGCTTCTCAAGTCCCCCCCCCCCTGCACCCCACTTCTTCTTGACTTGCACTTTTCAGTTACCTTATTGTCCCAGTACCTCACGTGCGTATGGTACACAAATCAGCTACTACAAGGTAATGCAACAATGTACCCATGGCTTTAACTGTTGACCAAAAACCACACTGTTTACGAGCCTCCCCCTCCCTTGACTTCAGTGCCTTTTTGAAATGCCACTTTTTGTAATCTATCAGTTTTGTGGTTTCTGGGGTGCTGATTTCCGCACCTTGAGAAGGGGGCGGGGGTGGGAAGCAAGGTGAGGGGGATCAAGTTAAGCCCCATCCGCAATTTACACTTAGAGTTGGTTATGGCTGGTCCTTCGGGGTACTCGTTTCCAGGCAGGACTGCACAGTGCTTGTGTAACACGAGCTCTGCTCAACCTCATCCATGATTTGTAATCCAAAATAATTTTACCTTTTCTAAGTCGTGTTTTCCAAAATATGCTCTATATATCTAAACCCTCAACAATTTGCTTCAAATTACTTACATATCTGTCCTTGATGCTGTCACCATGTCCAGAAGCAACAGTGAGAACCAACTCGTTCAACTCAGCACTTCCTAAAATATCCACATGCTCTGCTGTTTTGGCACCGCCTCTCAAATCAAATCTATCTGGTTCGTGCTTAATTTCAACAATTTTAACTTGAACGTTGCCGGGATTGTACCTTGACTTGCTTCCCTTTTGCCATTCATGACACATCGTATGGGTAAGTAACGAAACTGTTCCATCGCCATCGCCCAACATCACTCCATCACTGGAGTCACTATCAATGACATAGTCCAACTTTACTGATTTATCTGCAGGTACATACTTGTATGCACGCTCAGTAGGGTTGCCCACGCCATAAAAACAGTAGTACTTCAAATCAGGGGCATTGGGTAATGCTGCTTCTAAAGGATTCACCCATTTGCTCTGCTTTTGATTATTGGCTTCCAATTCTTTTTTGGTTTTGGCTACACCGTGACTGTAGTTTTCACGGACCCTTTTGGAGTACCATGCAGGTGAATCGTCGAGTAGTTGTTCCAAACTTTCATCCATCGTAACTTCTCGCTCTACTCCTTCTTTGTTGGTGTACTTTATAAAAGTGCCAAAGCTTCCATTCTTTGGTCCACCAATCTCCTTACCGGTGCCATTAGTCTCTAACGTGTTGATTGGATCGTCGGGAGCATGCGTCAAGTTTCCCCAAATTAAATCCCCTCCCTTTGGAAACATGCTAGCCACCCCACCAAAAGTACGCAACATATCAACTCTCTCTCTTCTGCTAAAGAATTGTTCTAAACCGTAGACTGCCAAAGCGTTCAATTGAACAGTATCCTTCATTTCTCCCGAAATCAATGCTGGAATGGTTTTGGGGGTGCCCAAGGAGGAGCCGCTAATATCAACAACAGCATCGAGATACTCATTGACCCAGTTAGGTCCTCCATTACCATAATACTCTCCTGTTGCTTCAACCCATTTCAAAAAATAAAAAATAACCTGTGATCCCATTGAATGTCCAACCAAGATGGACTTTTCACCAGACACTTTTTTCGTCATTTCAATCTGTTTCTGCAATTTACTGAAATATCCATCACGTTTCTCCAAATCAATGTACGTCAAACGCCAATCGTAACTTGCACTCAACATATTATCAGGGCTGTATCCAATGACGGCTAGATTTTGTAAAATCTTGTTCCAAATCCAATATCCAGCAACAAAAAAATCGGCCGCCTCAAACCCTTGTGCCGCACGTACCTTCACGTTAGGCGGATCCAATCCCGTCTCAGTATCAAGCATGATATGCTTTAACCAGCACGTTTTATCAAGTATCATTGTTCGCAACATAAAGAATGAGCCCCATAGTCTTTTTCTAAAGTATCCGATGGAAGGGCAGTCACCCAGTGTAGTCGTGCCCCATGACTCTAATCCTGTCGAAATAACACCTGGCACCATAACCACGTTATACTTTGCGGTATAATTCTTTGCTGCTCTCAATCTTAACCCAACACTAAACGATTCTGCCGATCCATGAAGTGTGTCGTCGCCATCTTCTGCATCGTGTAAATAAGACTGAATCCCAGAAGGCAACACGTCCTTCCATCCTTTCCAGTCTTCGAATAGCGAATTCAAGTTATCAAAGTTCATATTAACCAACTGATCTAGCTCAGTAGAAAAGCTGGTTTTGTTTGTTGAAAAGAAAACTGTCACCACGAGTCCCAATACAATACCCAATATGAATACAAATCGTCTTGACTCACGAATCCTTTTCCTCGACTTTGTTTCTTGAGAGTGTTTCTTGTGGTGGTGGTGGTGGTGAAGATTATGGTGGCTAATTGAAGCGCGATGATGCTCTTTAGAGTCGTCTGCAGTCAAGTCGATCTCTTGAATTCCATCTGCCTCCTCGTCACTATTAATGTTGCTGTCAGTCACAGCAGTTGATTTCGCTTGTGAGCCATTCGAACTCGAACTCGATGGTTCCTTTTCTTGTAAAGTCTTTCTTGACCTACTGGTAGACATTACTCGATGTACAGGACGGTTCTTTGAGTGTGTCTTTTTGCGAGATGTGTCAGAGGGGATGAAAAGATTAGGAAAGTTAAATTTTGCTTTTTATGTATTCTTGTTTTTTTTTTTTATATTTTTTTCAAAAAAAAAAACGGATTTGCTTTAGTGGAGCCTAGAAGCCGCAGAGTGTAAACGAAAAAATCACAAGATTGAATAGAATGGAGAAACGTGTCATTTTGGAAAGTGTTTAGAGGAGAATTATTTCAATAGATCGTATCCGGGGATGAAGACGTTTCTTGCAACTGTATTGGAAGTAAAGGAGTCAAGTCCTCTTTTGTATAACCATCTGACACATAATGGCTATCGGCTATTGAATATATCTTCCGAGATAAACATGACAAGGTCGATAATTAATGTAATGTTTTGTCCCTAGCCAGTCCGGCCAAGTAATTCTTATTTCGTAAATGAAGTAATGTTATTATTAAGAGCTCTGGTGAGCAATAAATCAAATTCGCTGATTTGTCACACAATATCTAAGAATTTCAACATTACTTCACCGAGCCGATTTCATGCTGCAAAACAATTTCTCCGAAAAAAAAGGCTAGTAATGTTGAGCAGCAAATACCTAAGCCAAATTCTCAAGTGAGAAAACAAAATACTTGAGATAAACACTGGTATATCTGGATAACAATATGTATTGATTTTGCTGTAAAAATGTAAACCTCATTTGCAGCAAAGAAAACAAAGTAAAATTTACCACAACTTTGGCGCAAAAATTCAAAACCTTTTCTCAAAATCGCAATCAAATAAGAAATTAATCAAGAAAGCCAAAAATCGGACCAAAAGTGAAGCTTTGTAAATATTTTGTTAAATGAAGCGCCTTCAATGCAGAACAGACCCTCATAGGGGCTTTTTTGGACCGAGTCCAATTTGTAAAATTGTACTGTGACCACATAGTTTTCTTTTAGAGAAAGAGAGAGAGTCTTGTTATGGTAGTATAGTCAATAAACAAACGTCCCTAGTGGCTTCTTGTTGGTAATCAACACCCACACTATTTGACAGAGGAGTACACTGGTTCATTTTTCCATATGAATTGTTCATGCACTACCTTACACTCATCAAAATGCTTTTAAAGTAAATGAGCGCAACAGAGGAAGGTAAACCATACATCCAGACAAAGACACAAGTCAAAATACGACCAAGGGCCTAAAAAGATTTGAAAACAGAAATGAATTTCACGTGAATATTGTTTATCTTGTTGGTTAAACCGTTCAATTTTTTTGACAGAAAATGGGCGTGTGGCGTAGTTGGTAGCGCGTTCCCTTAGCATGGGAAAGGTCATGAGTTCGATTCTTATCTCGTCCAATTTAATTTTTTTTTATTTGTTTTCCTTTTTTTTACTCCTTGGTGAAAAATTGTCTCAGATTTCTTTTTTGTGGGAGTGCATCGCGTGGTGAATATTTTTTTTTTTTTTTAAAGTTTACTTTTTTCCATATTATACAACCTGTTGTGGACCAATACTATATTCATCCGATTCTACACCTTCCCTACTGTCCTTCTATATCATTGATCATGCACGAATCAGCCACTGACAAGTCTACTCTTGACAAATACGAACAGCATTATTTTTCATCTTACGATCACTTCGGAATCCATGAGGAGATGTTGAAAGATACATCACGTACGTTGAGTTATAGGAATGCCATGTATAGAAACAAAGATGCTTTCAAGGGCAAGGTCGTTCTTGATGTTGGATGTGGTACTGGTATTCTTTCAATGTTTGCAGTTAAAGCTGGGGCCAAGCATGTATACTCAGTTGATATGTCGTCCATAATTGGCAGGGCCAGAGAAATTGTTGAGTTGAACGGATTCAGTGATAAGATCACCTTATTGCAAGGTAAATTAGAAGATATCAAGTTGCCAGTTGATTCCGTTGATATAATAATATCTGAATGGATGGGGTACTTTTTGCTTTACGAGTCAATGTTAGACACCGTTTTGTATGCCAGAGACAAGTATCTTGTCAAGGGAGGATTGATCTTGCCAGACAAGTGCCAGATGTACATTGCTGGTATTGAAGATGGTGAATATAAGGAAGAAAAGATTCATTATTGGGAAGACGTGTATGGATTTGATTATTCGCCGTTTATCAAGACCGCAATGGAAGAGCCTTTAGTTGATACTGTGAACAAACAAGCTTTGGTGACTAACAGCTTCAAGTTTTTTGAGTTTGACATCAACACAGTTAAGAAGGAGGAGCTTTCTTTCAAAAGAAAGTTTGAGTTGTTTGCCACTGAGGACGATATGTGTCATGCGTATATTGTTTATTGGGACGCCATTTTCCCTGGAAAGGAAAGGGTCACTTTGCCCACAGGTCCAATGAACCAGTATACTCACTGGAAGCAAACAGTCTTTTACATGGACCAGGTTTTGGACTTGAAGAAAGGTGACCTAATCTATGGTGAGATTTTCGCGAGACCAAGTGCCGTAAACCCCAGAGAGTACGATATTGATCTCAAGTGGGATTTGCAAACCGAAAACAATGATGCCAGTAGGAACCAGAAGGGTGAGTACAAGTACTTCCTTCGTTAAGGTTAGAAGTTTGATAGAGATTAGTCATAGCAATAGTTAACTAGTTGTTGTAATGCCAATAGATAAGTCAGCAAATGACCAATTGCTGCACGTTCTAGATCTGGATAATGAATTGCTCATCCGGCAATCTTTTTTTGTGTAACCGCGGCTACTGCACAGAAGAAGGAATTTTCTTCTCCATACCCGATATAAATACCCCGACAAACCTATTTAAATCTTTTTTTTCGAGATAGCAATGAAGATTTTCATTTGCCTTTTGCTTTTTTTTCTTTATATTTTCATGTTTCGCCAACAAGCAGCAACTTTTTGGAAGAGTAAATCAACAGCAGCTGCCAACAACTTGACTAGAAACTTGTCTTTTGCCACCAAGAGAAATATTCCAGCAATCACACAAAAGCAAAGCATTAGAAAAATGTCCAAGTCCGATAACGAATGGAGAGCAATCCTTTCTCCTGAACAATTTTACGTTTTGAGAGAAAAGGGAACTGAACCTCCAGGATCAGGCAAGTACAATAAAACCCCATCTTCCAAAACTGGTGTTTATGAATGTGTTGCTTGTCACAATCCACTTTACAAAGCCAGCACTAAGTTTGATTCAGGATGCGGATGGCCAGCATTCTATGATGCTATCCCAGGAGCGCTCAAGGTTAGTACAGACAACAGTCACGGTATGCAGAGAAATGAAATCACCTGTGCCAAATGTGGTGGACACTTGGGTCACGTTTTCAAAGGTGAAGGGTTCAACACTCCAACCGATGAGAGACATTGTGTCAACAGTATTTCTCTTCACTTGAACCCAGACAAGAACGATTAAGGGAGCTTTGGTTGAAGTTTTCTTCTTTTTTTTTTTATTTTTTTTCTGCAGATGATGGCGTTTTGTTATACGGGGGGAGTTTTGTTATACAGGGGAGTTTTTAGAGATTTGAATGGATGATTGTACGTTGTAATCGATGATTGTACATTGTAGAGAACAATGATTGTAAATCTACACTTCTGATCAAGCGCCTCCTCTCCCATTTATACAACAAATGGCACAAAGATCTTTCTCTTCAATTTCTTATACTCATCACCAAATGTTTTCAAGTATCTCTTGTGTTTCTTGACTGCCCATAACCACATTTGACCAGTACTGACAAAGAGGAAGATCCATGCAGACCAATTACCCACCAACAAGGCATATGCAAACCACGACAAAGACTCAAAGAAGTAGTTTGGACACGAAACCAAATCGAATCCATAACCATAGGGGATAACATACTTTTTGTTATCTTTGCTTCTCAAGCTGCTCAAAATCTTGTGAGTTTTGAAGTTGGATAACTCGGCAAAAGCCCACAAGGCCACCAATGAGTATTGGGCCCATTCCGGTAACTGATTCACATGGAACAAAGATCCCAAAAATCCAGTGTGTTTCCCAACTGGGGCATACACAAAGTATGCCAAATTGAAACCAGATAAAATCCAGTAGTGAGATGAATTCTTGAAAATGTTGAATGCGGGCATTGTGGCGTTGGAAAACTTGTGAACAAACAAGGTTTCGTACTCACGCTTGGCGAAATGCAACAAAACCATCCAGAAGGCCAAGGTCTGGGTCCTGGTATGCCCATATGGCTTCACACCGTACAACGAAGCAATATTGTAAAACAATACATGGAAGACGAACGGTCCAAAATATTCCACCACAAAGACAGTACGCCATGAAATTTGTGGACCCAAATCTTTCACATATAGTTGAATGTTTGTTTCGTTTTCTGGAATCCCATTTTGGGCAAAAGTCTTGTCAGCAACCAATGGGATTTGTTTGCCATTTTCCGCTCTGGTCAATCTAAGTCTGTGTCTTGAAATGTGATTATCAGCGCTGAGCTCTTCAATCAACTCATCTACCAATGACTTAGTGGTCAATTCATTTGATGAATAGGACTTGAGTGATCTTGAACGTGACTTGACCTCAATTGATGTCATGTTATACTTTGCAGCAACGTTTAGGAAGAGGAAGAGAGATTGAAATGCACTTTGAAATGCACCTTTTTTTTTTTTTGTTTTTTTCCCTTCCCTTTCCGCTTTGATTGCCATTGAAGATTTGTTGAGCTTTTTTCTGTTTAGAGTTCCAAAGATATAGCTTTTAGCCGAGGAGAGTCTATGAACTGGTGCCTACGTAAAACATTTGATACTCGACACAGCTCTTGTTATTGTGAGATACAGTGGGTATATCACAAATACTGTATTATAGAAGGGCGTCTTACACAACAGTCACCTAGTATTTGCATCAATTCTTACAAAAGAGAGCATGCGGAAACCCCTCTTGACATAAGACTTCATCTTAGACGCAAACGTATCCACACTGAAATAACCACCTCCTGCCTCTTGCCCTTACTGTGGCTGCTTCAGAGTGAGTGGACGTAGAAATAGCAAAAAGAGTTTTGATCATACTTTGCAACTTTGTATGCAGTACCATTCCATAGTCGTTTGACTGAACAATTTTTCTTATTTTTTTTTTCTTCTTTTGCCAAATGGCAAATATAAAATGTGACTCAACGCAAGTACCTTTTTATTTTACAAGATACACTCATCTACGTATACAACTTGGCTCAACATAGATCATCTAGAACAATGTCAAACGATTGGGATTCAGTTACTATTATTGGTTCAAAAGCCAGAGTTGGAGGCGGTGGCCCCAGAGAGAATGTGGCAAAGACACAATCACAGTTGAATGCTGCTAGAAGACTGGGTTTAGTTGTGGGAACTGAAAAGAAATATGGATCAGCAAACACCAAATCAAACCCCGAGGGACAAAGATTAACCAAACTAGATGCCACTGATGATGTGGTGGCTGTAAAGAAGGTTGATACCAGTGTCGGTAAGGCCATTCAAAAAGCCAGACAGGAAAAGAAGTTTACGCAAAAAGACTTGGCTACTAAAGTCAACGAAAAGCCAAACGTCATCAACGATTACGAAGCTGGAAGAGCCATCCCAAATCAACAAGTCTTGGGTAAACTAGAAAGAGCATTGGGTGTGAAGTTGAGAGGAAAGAATATTGGCGAGCCTTTGTTTGCAAAGAAATCGTAAATAGCATTATCGTGACGAAATAAAATGACTTTTCTTTAGTATTTACAATGGTTTTTATTTCTTTGTGTTAGCACGAAGGCATATAGCTTGTAAAATGTCCTTTGATTCCACTAGTTTTTCATGCGGCTGAGGTAATGATTTTGCCAACAACTTTGAGATTTGATTCTCCAAATCACTTTTGCCTCTGTTCTCAATTCTTTCAGCCAACTCGCTCATCTGGCGTACTGAAAAATACAACAGCTCAACATCTGTCGTCACTTTTGTCAAGTTTTGATGAATGTCTTGATAATTTTGTTCAACATTAGCAAATGTCGGATTTAGTTCATTTTGTAAATTTTGACTCTCAATGGTCCCGACAAAAGCTTCGGTGTCTTGAGGAGTGGCCACTGTATCTATAAGGGAGGTCAATTGCTGGTACGCCTGTTCCCATTCTTGCTTCTCACTTTTCAATGCATTCAACTCCAATGTGTACTTTTTGATATTTTCCAAATTTGTTTTGTTTTTGGGATTAGGTAGTAGCACAGAGTCGAGTTTTTGCAGAGAACCTTCGTTCCAGTCTATCGATAGGGAATAATCCTTCAACAGCTGAATCAATTCATCATTGATCGTTTTGGCTATGCTATTCACCGTTTGTGTTTCTGGCGACATCTGGTCCTGTTTTGCTCTGTGGTCACTTTCCTCTTTATCCAACTCCGCTTTCAAATTCCAAATCAAGAGCTGTCTCATTCTATCTGATTCGGGAATCGATTTATCAAGATGTTTGTGGTACTCGGAAACAGGAACATCTTGATGCGGCTCTCCTTCAAAACCGTTACCCATTGAGCTAACCCTTCTCCCTCGACTATTATACGACATCCTTCTAGCGCCTTGGCTCTGTGTCCTATGCACATCTCTATTATTTAGGGGATCATTTTGTCCTTTCAATGGCGAACGTAGCTGATTATTTAATCTTTCTTGTGATGTCTGAGATGATGATTTTTTCAGCAGCTTTTTAGACTTTGCCGCTTTTTTGGGTTTCAGGACATTGAAAAAGTCGTTCGATAAGTCACCAGGAGGCGAGTTCCTTCGCAAATCGTACTCCAAACTGTCTTGAAATTGACTCGGAGGGGTTATCAGCCTTCTTTTCTTTCGAATATCAAGAGGCGGCGAACTATCTCCTCTATTGGGGAATCCTTCATCTTCATCTGCATAGGGAAGTCTATTGGTTCTTCGCGTGCTTGGATCGGGAGTGCTCTCTGTTTGAGATGAAAACAATGATGACAACTTGTTATCACGATCGAAAATGTTTCTTGATTGATGACGCAGATGATCCCGAGGTGTAGGTGACGTTGGCTTCGATTTGAGGGATTTCAAAGTGCGTCCAGCTCTTTTTGGTTTCCCATGCCCCAACCTTCTGCTTGTTTTCATTGCTCTGTATTGTGAAGCTTTGACTATTAGCTGCTGTTGAGATTAAATTCGGTGTTTATAGAAGTCATTTGTTTTGGTTTTAAATTTTTTTGGGGGGTTTTTTTTTTTATTTTTTGTACCGCGTTTTCCATCAAATATCTTCCCACAAGAACAACAGCATCACCCAGCAATGTCCCAAGCTCAGCTCTCGCCGTGCAAAAACCATGTTGCTCAGATTCAGCCATTGCCAGACCTGATAGTATTGAGCATCTTTCAAACCCCTCAAAACAAACTACATCGCTCTTTCCAGGTGCTTGAAGTGATAAGAAGCAAGTACTCCACCAATGATATCCCAACAACGCTTGATATATCCTTTGCATGGGAGTACAAACAAAGTGGCAAAGAGTGCCAGAAACTAGCCGTCTTGGTTAAGAATATGGCTGCTGTTTTCATCCTTGACATTGATAAAGATGAGGCATCACTGGTGTTGATACGACATCCTATTTCCGAATTGATTGAGTCGATTGAATGGATACCACCAACAGTTCACCAGAAAGATACTGGCTATGCAAACAGCACCCAATTGGTGTTGTTTTCCGAATACAATTTGAGTGCAAACTTATATTCGTTGGATTGCACACGCAAGTTATGCACCGTGTACAAACCCATAGATGATGGCATAATTATTCGCAAGACCTCAACCGGGAGCTATTGGTGTTTGATAGCCGATACTTTTGAGTACAATGTTCCTCCAACACTATACCAGTTTCTCAACACTGGACTGGTCAGCATTTTGGTGAATTCAGTCAGGCTACAAAACTTTATGTCCGAAGAAGCTCTTGTGGACTGGTCAACCAGCGGGAACTGGCTTCAAATACTAGATCGAAATGACACTTTATCAAGCTACAATTTAAAAGTGTATGGGTCAAATGGCAGTTTTGGGCCCGATTTGACCAAGCCAGTGGTGCAGCTTGAATTTTATAACGAAGTGAAAGAGAAGGGAGAGATCATGGTGTCAAAAGGTGGAGTTCACAGTTGTTGGTGCTCCTCAGGGGAAACTGAGTTGCTACTACTTGCGAGAGTCATTGGACCATACTTGGAGATTCGAGGTGTATCCATGAGATTGTTGAAAGTGGTGCTACATGTGACCAAGACTTTGGAAGAGGTGGCTGCAAAGAGAAATAGTTTTGGAGTTGTCAAAATTTCATATCTCCACCCCCTCGTCTTTGTACAGCTCGGCAATCACATCGTATATCTTTTCAAATTCGACATTGATGACACTGCATTGCATTATGTGACTTGGATCGAGACGCAGCTGCTGATCCTCGATATTCTTTCCGATGAGAGTCGATGCTTCATCGTATCCGAGCACCAAATTGTACTTTACGAGAACGGGGTGGAGAAGATATTGTTGTCAACCAATGCGGCAATTTATTCCGCCTCTTTACTCGACAACCAGACGATTATCGTCTTTGCTCGAGAAGCCAACGGGGAGTTTTGGGAGTATCTCAGCATCAAACAGTCTACACAAAGCAACAAGAGCAGTGCCGGCTCAAATACAATGGACGAAGTAACCGATACTTTTGCTAATCGAAAACGGGCCAGATTCAAATAACGCATTTGTGTATTCATTATGTACAAGGGGAAATTAAAAACAACAAAGAGTCTACGCTTTCTTCTTCTTTGGGGCACCTTTATTCCTCCTCTTTCTATCTTCAACCATAAACGTCCTGTGTGCTTCCCTAGGATCCACCAACTTCAACTCGGGGAACCATTTCTTGAAATCCTTAAACGTAGGAACGGCATTATTGTCTCCGTAATATTTAACCACCTCAGGTCCCAACAATGGCTTCTTTAATATCTTTGCTGGATTTCTTTTGGCTGTTGGATTCCAGAATTCATCAAATATCTCAGCACTGAGTTTCCTTACTTTTGCCAATCGGCTTTTCGATGGAAGGGATTTTAGTATCGAGGACATCAACGACTGTAGGAGATAACAGGTGAATGGAGAGAGGATGTGTGAATAATTTTTTTTTTTTTTCTTCTGTTCTCGGAAAATGATATGAATGTGATTGGTAGCGATATCTTCAGCTATATAACTTAGAAGGAGGAAGTACATACTTCAAAAAAAAAAACAAAAAAAACTAACACGTAGGCATTTGTTTCTTTTTCCTGATGCAGCAGAGGATGTCTTAATTCTGTAGCCAGCTTTGAGGATTGTTCAAGACACTGCCAAGACGTTTGCATCGCCGGGGAGGAGGGGGAGCTTTTCTTACTGTCAAATGTACAACTATTGTTGCTGTACATTTGATAAAAAGATGTTTATTGAGTGACGCAACTTTTTCGTTGCCATGCTCTCACTCGAGGGTTGATAAGTTCAACGCGCGTACCTTAGCGAAGTAGGTGCTTTCGGGTGTTTGTAATATTATTGTCTTGTCAGAAATATGTTTTGAATGAGATGTTCCCAAAGGAGATATAATTCAATTTTTGTGACGGCAGCGACCAGTGCATATGGCTCTTTGTTGGTGATGGGCCATAGCGTGCGGATGTTGTGAATATTTTTATATTGATAATGATAATGTTATCAAAGAGATCATGTCACGACGTCTGTCGTAGGAAGGATAAAGTCTACCCACGCAATTGCCATGAACGGATAAGATACATTGCTCTACCGTAGCCTTTTTCTCATATGCACCCTGAGTCTTTTGATTACACACCGAAAACGCTTTCGCCATCTAAAGTGGTAAAAAGTAGAGCTCTACAACCCGAAAGAAACTTAGTCTAGTTTGTATCTGTATGTCAAATAAGTAGATTGAAGGTATTGCTCTGACTTCATTTTAAAAAGCGGCCGTTCTCTGATCGGACTGCAACCTCTCGCGCCGACAAAGGAAGGATCTGAAAATTTGCACAAAATTGAACCATGCGCCAATTGATAAGAGAAAATAAATTAGGCATTGTTTTCATCGATCTTGACTCAATTTTTCCAAATAACGTTGAACACAGTTTTCGCCCAACAATTTCCCATCCAACGGTGTCATTGAGCTATGCACGGGGAAACTACGCCTTTAATCCACCACGAAAGAAGATTAAGTCATGTATCTGAGATTGACGAGAACGAGGTTGTATCATATGTTCGACAAAAAAGGGAGTCAATAGTGTCGGCCAAAGACGACATGCCGAGACCGGTCATTGTTTCACACCATGAAGTAGCTTCGCCAACGGGTTTAGCTCCACGGGGGAGCCGTGAAGACTTTTCATCTTTGAGTCCTCAAGTATCTCGCTCAACTTCACATTCACAAACTGTCGGCGAAATCTTGCTCCATCATAGTCAAGACATTGGACCTGAGCCGAAAACCAGTCTTTGGAGAGAGACCAAGATTTTATTGAAATGTTCGGTTCCAATTGTCATTACCTTTTTGCTTCAGTATTCACTCACATTTGCGTCGGTGCTATCTGTGGGAAGACTAGGATCAACCGAGTTAGCTGCTGTCAGTCTTAGTTCCATGACTGCAAACATTAGTGGTTATGCAATCATACAGGGTGTTTCTACATGCCTCGACACGTTGTGTGCTCAAGCATTTGGGAAAAAAGAGTTGAACCAAGTCGGAGTTGCCTTTTTGAGATGCAATTACTTATTATTGTTGTGCTGCATTCCAACAGTCATGATCTGGATCAATTCAAGAACCATATTAGGCTTGCTTGTTCCGGAGCAGCCGGAATTGTGTGAATTAGCTTCACAGTACCTCCAAGTTCTCTCAATTGGACTACCTGGCTTTCTCTTGTTTGAAAATGCCAAACACTTTCTCCAATGTCAAGGAATTTTCCATGCATCAACTTGCGTATTGGTCATTTGCGCACCTGTCAATGCTATTTTGAATTATACACTCGTTTGGAATAAGTCGATTGGGGTTGGATTTATTGGAGCTCCCATCTCGGTGGTGATTACAAACTGGCTCATGTGTGGACTATTGTACGGCTATATCTTTTTCATTGATGGGTACCAATGTTGGCCAAAGCAGAATTTGTTGGACAAAGTGTTTTTCAGAAACTGGGACAGAATGATTAAACTTTCAATCCCAGGCGTTTTAATGGTGGAGGCAGAATGGCTCGCATTTGAAATTATCACTTTTGAAGCTGCCAAATTTGGTACGACTACCTTGGCAGCACAGTCGATTGTAAGCACCACTTTGGTAGTACTCTACCAGATCCCATTTGGAATGAGTGTCGTGTGCTCAACCAGAATTGCGTGGTATATTGGAGCTGCTTCTAGATTTGCTGCGCAATTAGCCACCAAAGCTTCAGTGTACACTTCGATTGTTTTTGGGTTTATTAATTGTGCAATCTTGCTCACATTTAGACATTCGTTGGCAAAGTTGTACACCAAAGAGCAAGAAGTGATAGACGTGGCTGCAAAAGTGCTTGTTGTTGGTGCAGCTTACCAAATCAGTGACTTTGTATCCTGCTCAACCGGTGGCGTGTTGCGGGGTCAAGGACGGCAATACATTGGTGGTATCCTAAATTTGATTGGCTACTACCTCATAGCTTTACCTTTTGCTTATTATTTTGCGTTTGTTTGCAAATTGGAGTTGATTGGATTGTGGTTTGGAATGATTATTGCGTTGTTGGTGGTTAGTTTTTCTCAATTGTACTTTACTGTGACAAGTGATTGGGGGAAGATTATTGATGAATGTGTCAGCGAGGGTGTTGCTGATGAGGGAAACTTGACAATCGATGCGCATTCGTTGTTGCCCAGTATGAGTTCTACAATTGTTGTGTGAGAACCAGTGATATTTATTCATCGGTAATGGATGACATAGCCGTTTAGCTATTTCGCTCCTCCTTTTGCTTTTGCATTTAACTCTAAATACTTTTCTAATAGGTTGTAATAGCATGTGTAAAGTGATTCCACTTTTTTGAGCTCATGCAAATACTCGTGCTTGAGGGCTTGGTATTTGGTCGCTGTATCGGTATCTTGTTCATCTGCAAGCTCCGCAAGTTGCTTGAGTTGGGAAAGGTATTTGGATTGGTTTTGGACAACTGTGGTTACTTCAGTAACACGAGGGACAATCGATGGCCCTGGCATCAAATCTTCCTCGCTCTGCTGATCTTTTTGAAGCTCCTTTTTCAACTTCTTGATTTCACAATCAACCTGGCTCTCCTGATCCAACCTGTGTTCGTCATTCCTCAGTGAATAGACATGATCTGCAACTTGGTATTTTCCCGGGAATCTCAGCGGAAGCGAAAAATGTGTATCATCAAATCCATCCGTTTGTAGAAGCCTGCTTCGTGAATTGCTTTCTTTGGTCCACTCGCGAATCATATCTGCATCTCTTTGTAAATCACCATCTAGGCCATAAGTGTCATAATCGAGGTTCCTAGTGTAGTCAAAACGGTAGCGGCTGAATTCTTGGTCATAATCATCGTCATCATTATCCCAAGTATCTCTAAGCCCCGTTGGGGTTGATAAATCATCCAGAAGCCGTGATTCAGAATTTTGTCTGCCACATGAGGCTGTACGACGAGTTGTTGGAGTGTGGGGGAATGACGATGAAGTTTTGTCGTAATCTATAGTAGGCTCATTAGTTATTGTAGCATCGCCAAATCCTAATCGTTTCCACATTGTGGGTAGTAGCCACTTTTTCATGTATAACGTCAAGGATGAGAAACGCGTGCAGTGTTTACTTTTTCACAATCAATGTCGTAAATGCGCAACAACCTCGACAATGACATTTTTGACAATCAAATCTCAGGAAATACGAGCTCACATCAAACCAAATATGATCTGTTTCTTTCCACGGATCCAATACTCACAAAGAGGTGAGCATACGGTTTTGTCTCTCTTATATCCAGTAAACAATCAGCTGATTTTAGAAATAGCACAAAAGGGGAATCCATGAGGATGGACCATCGTCAACGGTCAGTCAGAAAACGGTACCTTTTGTACAATCAATAGTTTACGCCAATTGTGTTCAAAAACGGAAATCCAAGAGTGTAAGATTTTATACCGTGCCGACTCTTTCATCAACTTTGATTTGTTTACACTTGAGCATTGTTTTTGATTACTTTTCTATGCAACGTTATTTTTTTTTTATTTTGGCAATGGCCGCCTGTCAAAGTATAGCCTGTGCGGATCTGACTAGGTAAAGACCTCTGGTGGGTGGTACTGGCAATCCAAGAAAGTATTTACGAAATGATGTTGAACACAATTGGACCGAATTGTGTTTTCACACTAAAAACTTCTTTCACGATACCGCATCTTTGTAGACCAAGCTTTAACACAGTGTTTTGAAACCTAGCGATACTTCGGACACTGCAAATGTTAAAGCGGCAGCGGATCAATTGCATACACCCGTTTGGGGTTGATTCGTAATTTACCCTTATCCATCTAGACTAGAGGCTTTCAAGTCAGAGACCAAATTGTGCAGAAACAAAGTGTTACAAAAGAATACTTTTACCCAGCAGCACCAGCGGCGATTCAACGAAAAAAAAAAAAAAAAAAAAAAGGGGACAGACGATATGAATGATATTTGTGTACTCAACGGCGCAAACTCAAAACAACGTAGAAAAACGTGGTCTGTAACGGTTGTCTCCTTCAAAACGGTACACCAAAGCCAGCCTTTGACGGTCCTATATCGTGTGAGTTTGTACCAAAATGGAGGTAACAATAACAAAACTCATAACAATAGTAACAACAATAATACTTTACGTGTTTTACGAACGTGGTGCGTAACTCGTGTCGCACCATTTCAAAACTCTATCAAGTGATTCGGTTTCTTGTGGTGAACTGCAATCAGACACCACTGTGGACACGTAGCTTGGATTATGCTATGGTGTGGAAAAGAGATCTTTTTGTGCGTGATGTTGAGGAGGGTTTACGAACTGTTCTAGAATTATGAGGAGGATGAAAATTGTCCGTCTTTGTGTAAGTTTCATAATGTAATGTCGTGCCAGATGCTCAAAATTATTATCACAATTATTTTTGACGGCGTACCTTAATTGTTTTGTGTTTGTACTATTGTTGTTATTGTTATTATTCAAGCACACACACACACACAAGAGAGAGAGAGAGAGAAAGAGAGAGACATTATTATTTTTGTATGTGCTTATACGATGCACGACTTTTAAACTTTGCCACACATATAGTTAGGAAGATACGCGGTCCCAACAGAACAGAAACAGCTAGGACGTCTAGACACAGAACTTTAGGTGAAGCCAAAGCACCAATGGATGTTAACTACTTTACTTTGGGACGTTCGATTGTTGTACTCCTTATTACGCCAATTCGAACGTCTTTTAGCAATCTCTTGAGCTTCATCCTTAAAGAGTATAAGTTGTTGACATCAAAGATAATCTAGAGAACGCAATTGTCTGTACAGACGTGGCACAGGCCAGTTGGTCCTTGTTTTGAAAACGTCCCAATATTGCAAATGCTCGTGGCTAAAGGCAAATGCAAACAATAGGGTTGGACTCGGTTCGGAAGGAAAAAGATTAGCATTGTTGACTTTCCCGCTGCCCATCGAAATCTCGACCTACTGAAAAAACAAAAGGGGAGATCATCTTTATCATGTAAAAGTTACTCATATAGTGGTTTCTGCTGTGTTCTTGTGGATACCAAGTAAACGAAACTTTGAAACAGGATTTTTGCAAAAATGGCTTTGCAAATAGGGATCGGAGATAAGGGTTATGAGCCTTGATGTACAGAACCAAGGTTGTCTCATAGAACAAAAAAAAAATAAAAAATAAAAAAACAGAAAAATCATAAACAATACAAAAATAGCTTTGTTGTCTTTACATGTTAATTCTTACACAAAACATCTCAGTAATAGACGTGCGTGTTTTTAAATTAAGCGAAAAGTAAAAAAAAAAATTAAAAAAAATAAAAATCATAAAGTTTTGAAATCGAAAACAACACTTAGAGTGGTGAGTAAAGACCACGCGCCATGCACGTAAAAACAACAAGTGTAAGACAACAACAAGAGAGTACGTAACTCCGCCTTGAGGAAACCAAACAGTGTCCTTTCTCTCTAGCCATTTTGCTATGCCAGCTAATTAGAAGGATCGACACGTAAAAAAAGAATAAGCGTGGTTGCGTTTCTGTATGAGTAAGGCTGGACGAAACAGGGATAATTTAGAGAAAAAGGGGCTGGTCTAGAAGTACAACCGAGATCTGTATTTTTGAGATCAGATTATTCCGCGGTTCAAATCAGTGAGAACAAGTGAAGAGAGGATCCTTTACAATATCCGAGCAACTTCTGCTTTCGACTCGTTCAACAAAACAAACATAAGCGTTTTGGGTAATGGAAGCGTTCCCCGATTGAAACACAAGTGTCTTGAGAGAAGCAAGAACTGCCTCAAGGTCGTATGAACGGAATATGCATAAACACCGTGGTTGTAATTTAGCAAAATAAAGAAAATGAAAGATAAAGAAAAAAACGGAAAATAGAAATCTGCTATATGAATTAGTATAGCCTTTAAGGCAATCGTAATAGACCAATTCCGGTACTTTCCCGCGTAGCACGTCAGTTGTAAGTTGTCAGATCGTCAGATCGTCTAAGTGAATTGTATGTTGCTTTAATTAGACGAGACAGACAGAGAGTCGAATTTATCTATTTTTGGCAGATTGTTAATTATACAGGAATAAGGACGCATTCTATTGTCATGCTGTACTTGCATACTGTTTGTTTTTAATGCACATGTTATCATACGGTCTATTGTGTTCAGCACTGTAAAGTTTGTTTTGTTTATTGATGTTGTTTGACTTTCAATGCATTAAAATGCCAAATTCCCGTCGTCTAATTTCAATTCTCAATTTTTCCCTTGTTTTTATTTTTTTATTTTATTTTTTATTTTTTATTTTTCTATTGTTCTAGGCACTTTAAGTTTACATACATGGGGGTGGGAATTGGGGCGTCCATACATGGAAAAGGATCAACACAGGGACTTACACAAACACATACTGTGAGTAAATTTCTGTTAAACGAAAAAAAAAAAACGTCTCTATTTCCAACAACACTAATTTCGTCTCTGAATATATATATATATATATATACATGTACCCTCCACCTTCTCTTTTGGCTTACCTTCAGCATGACCTTATCTTAGCCTCCAAGCAAAAGTCTCCTGTTTTCGAACATTACTGATTTCCAACTACCAAATAGTATTGAGATTGTTTGTCTTATACAGTTGAGGATCCTGACGTTGAAGGGGCATCTGTGTAGTAGCACAACATATTCTCATTTTGGGTAAAGACTTGCATCCATTACACTCGTTTCACTTCCCATTCTTTGCATCAAGCACCTTGCACTCATTTGCTCCATCTTCAATCATATTCTCATACTCATTTCTTTTGCACTTTTGCATACAAATTTTGCATTCATTACACTCCACATTTCACACACTAAAAACCACTCTTTTGCATTACATTCATCATGATTTCCACAACCAAATCGTCTAGTCCTGGAGCCTTTGAGTTTTTCCATCAGAACATGAGGGCACATTACACTGCTCTGTTGCATCACCATCAAATCCCTAGGACACCTCCACCACCACCACCTACTCCTCCTTCACAACAGCAACAGCAACAGCAACGCCCACAGCATCCAAAACACTTTGAGCAACAGCTATATTCCTCCCACTTGTATACTTCAGAATTGTCCACTCACACGCAAGCTGTATCCGAGTATGACACTGAAATTTACGAAACCATGCTTGAGCAGATGGAACAAAATAGACCAAACATTAATTTATACAAACAACAACCATACCTCACTCCAATGGTCAGAGTGAAGCTTGTTGAGTTTCTTCTCAAGATGTCAGTGAGATTGAAAATTCTTCCATTTGTGTTTTACAAAGCAGTGCGTTTATTTGATAGGTATTGTTGCAAGCGAATTGTCTTGTTAGACCAGTCACAATTGATAATCACCACCTGCTTATGGATTGCCAGTAAAGTCAATGGCGGTAACAATCATTTTGTCAATATGAGCAATATGAGCAAGTGTGTTGATGGGTTTAGAGTCATTGGGGATTTGGGTTATGGCAGCGGTGGTAAATACATTGGCCCCACTGAGCGGTTTAGATTACCAAAGTTGCATGAGTTGGTGAAATTGTGTGGCGCCAAATGCAAATACGATATGGGCATGTTCAAGCAAATGGAGGTCCATATTTTGTCCACTTTGGATTGGAATTTATGTGATCCTCTGATTGAAGAGTTTATTGTCAAGAGTAATGAGTTTTGCACTAGCCAGCGAGCAGGATCCACTGGAGAAGGCAGTATTGGTGTTACTGAAATGTTCAAAGTGAAGGAGTATTTGAGTTACATCTCATTATATTCCTTTGAGTTGGTTGATGCTAGCATGCTTGAAGTTGGCCAGGTGATTTCAGACTTGATCAATGAAGTGTTTCAGCTTGACTTCAACAACAACGAATACCAAAAGGTGCAAACGCCAGCAACAACAACAACAACAAGGTTGAGTATCTCGTCATCACGCATTGACATGGAAATAAACCAATACAAGATGATCAAGAAAAGTTTGATCAAAGTCATATTGGACACTTCGGAGTACATGTTAAACTTGTTCAACAGTAGTGGTCCCCAATATTTGCATCGTGCTATTGTCAATGGATGGATGCCAATATGTGACAGTGACTTATCTTTGAAACGTGTTTTCCAAAGCTACAATGGGTTGAGATCCGCGTCATTATCTTCGACTGAACTGTACTCCACTCCGTCTCCAAGTGCATCTGCGTACTATACGACAACACCATTGAACACAGTCGTCACGCCACCAACACCTTATATGCAAATGCAGAATGCAGCAGCACATGGAATGTCTACACCACCAACTAGCAGTCACAAGTACAGCTTTGGTGGATTCCAAATTACAAACCAACCACCTCCATTACAAGCACAAGCACAAGCACCTGCACCTGCACCTGCACCTGCACCTGCACCTGCACCTGCATCTACCTCGACAATCCCAATTGTTCCACATCATCGTCTCCCATTCCCTCAGTTGGTTCAGCAACAGCAACAGCAACTACACCACACCAAATCAACGCCTGTATTAAGACATGTTGACCAACAGCAATCACTTCGAGTCAACACAAATGTCCCTCCAGCGCAAATCGGCTCCTATCCATCAGCAACTTCCTCAGCAGTTTCTTCAACCAGTACCATGAATTCGAGTGTGTTTGATAAACCAAGTGCAATCGATGGCGGGTTTTGCGAGAATAGTGGTAATTGCTTGCTGAGATCGACTACGCCAGTGAGTGATATTGGACCTGCATCCTTTTCTGGGGCGAGCAAGAGTCCTGGAAGTTTCTATATGGCCTTGGAGCGAATGTGAGGAAGCAGCTAAATCCATCTCATTTTCATTTTTTTTTTTTTTGTTGTTTTATTGTTCAATTCATTGTGTCCTTCATTTTCCATAATTATTTCTGCATTTGTTTATCCTTTCTTGCTATACATGTGTCATTTGTCAAAGACTTGAGAAACGAAACCCCCGTCCTTCTCTAATTACTTTTGACGTTCTTCATTCATGTTGTGTATTCAGTTCTAAAGAGAAAAAAAAAAAGTATTTGTAATTTGTGTATTTTTGATCTCTTTTTCCCAATTCCATGAGTATTAATAAGATTGAACGTCGTGGTTCTTTCATCACATGTAGAATCTTGTGTAGTAAGTTGAGTCATTTATTGAGGACTGGTGATGATTGTGCCTGATTGTGCCTTGTCGTATGAATTGTTCGCAGTCGTGTATTGTGAACAATAAAAAGTCGTGTTTTGTGTGTAATGCTGCAACTGCAACACAGCCTTTGATTATGTAATACAAAATAGCATAATTATATAAGTTATTATGTATCACGCATACATACGCCAAATGTGAAAAACGAAAAAGAAACGCTCAAAGGAGGCAGAGAGAAAAAGAGAGCTTTCACGAGAAAGAGCAAAAAGAAAAAAAAAAAAATAAAAAAAAAAGGCACCAAAAGGGAGCGGAACCAACAACAACGACCTTAGCTTCTACAGCACTGAGACTCACATCACTTAACTTTCTCTTTTTAACAAAGCTACCACTGTTTGCCGTTTGACTCGAGATAATATACGCAAAGTCCTGTTGTTCAACTTCCCTTCGCTATTTACACACAGACACGTAATCTAGCTACATCATCGACCCTTTTTTTACATACGTCACTTTTAAACAACTACGTGGACCCCTTTACATCACAATTTCATCTAAAATGATGCTATCATATATATATTTATTGCTCGCGCTAATGGTGCCTATATTTGCCGATCCATCAATGGAGGAGTTGGAAGGTACTTGGACCTCAAAGTCAAACACTGTGTTCACGGGTCCAGGATTCTATGACCCTGTTGATGAATTATTGATTGAACCAGACTTGCCTGGTATTTCCTATTCGTTCACCAAAGATGGCCATTACGAGGAAGCTCTTTATCGTGTCACTAGTAACGCAAAAAACCATTCATGTCCTATTGGCTCATTGACTTACCAACATGGAACTTATGAGATTCTCAGCAATGGTTCAGTTGTATTGACTCCTATCGCCGTTGATGGAAGACAATTGTTGTCTGATCCATGCAACCAAGATGATCCATCCAAATCTTCATACACCAGATATGTGCAGCCAACGTGGTTCAAGACTTACCAAAAATACGTTGACCCATACCATGGTAGATGGAGATTACAAATATACCAATTTGACGGATCCAAAATGCAACCATTGTACTTGGCTTACAAACCACCGCTTATGTTGCCCACGGAGGCACTTAATCCAACTGATGCAGCTAGTGAAACTGCTTCTACATTAGCAAAAGGTGACAGTAGTGGTAGCAGCAGCAGCAGCACTAAAAAGAGGAGAAGCCTTTCAGAAGTAAGATCTAATTTGAAGAGATCGTTGGAGAATTCTTATAGAACTAATGCTGTGAAAAGAGGACACGAAGACTCGTTTGACAAGTATTGGTGGATCAGTGTTGGATGTTTGGGTTTGGCTTCAGGATACTTTTTCTTGAAAAATTGAGTATACATAGGAGTTAGGAGCGATGTGTACTGCAATTGAATCGATTATTTGTTGAAAGCTTCGCTTTTCTGAGCCCTTGTAATTTTGAGTTATGGGATACTGTGTCTCTTGAAGCGTCGGCCCTGGCAATAATCTCCATCTTTCTAACTTGTCGCTGGAATCAACTGCGGATGGATTTATCTCTTATTCTCTTTTGTGTAACACAAATGACTTTTTGTTAGAGACAAAAAAAATAAAATGAGAGGCAAAGTTTGATCACAGTTCATATCCTATAAAGCACACCTTTCTACTCAACCCAACACTTTATAATGTCTTGGTTTGGATCATCTACATCCACCCTTCAGCTAGAACTAGACAATAAAATATCAGAAGCAACTTCAGAAGCCATCCCCAATGGAGAAATTGACTTATCGGTAGCCTTGGAAATCACTGATTTCATCAGATCCAAGAAACTACCAGCTCAAGCTTGCATGAGAAGCTTGAAGAAGCGGTTGAATATGGTTTATTCCAACCCGAATTTGATCACCAGTACTCTCAAGTTGATTGACTTGTGTGTCAAGAATGGAGGTTTCCATTTTCTTGTGGAGTTGAGTTCACGTGAGTTTATTGATTACTTGGTTGATTTCATCTTGAAAGTTCATTACAATGTTCAAGAGAACCTGGTGAAGCATGAGGAATCAAAGTATCAAGTAGGTCAGTTTATTTTGGGGTTGATCAACTCGTGGCATACTGCTTTCAAGGGGCAACTACAATTGAACTATGTTGAGAAAAAGTATCAAGAATTGGTCAATGAAGGGTACAGTTTCCCTTCGAATGATGATTCTATTATAGATTCGAAATTTGTTGATTCGGAAGTACCACCCGACTGGATTGATTCCGATTCATGTATGATTTGTTACACTCCATTTTCGATGTTGAATAGAAAACATCATTGTCGTGCTTGCGGTGGCGTATTTTGTCAAGACCATTCCAAGAATAACACAACACTAGTGAATTTGGGAATCATGGATCCAGTTAGAGTCTGTGACAATTGTTATGCTAAACAGAAGCACAAAACTCAGGGCAAGGGGCCATCCACAGGTGGCGGAAGACGAAGAGGATCAAGGGATAGAGTCGATCTGGAACAAGATGAAGATGAACAAATGAGAAGAGCTATTGAATTAAGTTTGCAAGATAGTGGCGTTCAAATTGATGCACCAAAGGAGCCACCAAGAAGATCTGCCGGCACTAGTAACAAGGCACCGGGAAAAGAAGAGGATGAAGATGAGGAGTTGAAAGCTGCATTGGCAGCAAGCTTGAAAGAGTATGAACAATTGCATCCTGCATCACAGCAATCACAGCAATCACAGCAACTGCAACAAAACACTGGAGTACTTGAGAATCCATTTGAAACTGAGACACAACAACCAGCTTCGGATGTGTACAATATAGATTTTACATCTAGATCGAATTCTCAGTATTTATCTGCTGACGCCTGGCAAGGACAATTTCAATACGCACCAGCACCAGCACCAGCACCAGCACCACAGCATCATCATCAACAAAAACAACAACAGCAACCTCAAGATCTCTCTCAAGCTGAAGAGGAGCAGATCAATTTGTTCATCACTTTGATGAACAATGTACGTAATGACCCAAAAAAACAATCCAACATCATGTATGATCAAAACTTGAATGAATTGCATTCTCAAGTGATACGATTAAAGCCAAAAGTCAATAGGTCATTACGCGAGGCAATGGATAAATACAGCCAATTTGTTGAGATGAGCAACAAATTGAGCACAATCACTAGACTATATGATCAGTTTTGGGAACAGAAATTGAATGCAGGTATGAGTAACGTTGGTCTTGGACATGGAAATGAGTATCCATCATATCCGCTGGTTGGGTATTCAAGACAGCCCATTAGTCAACCTTCATTGAGTCAGCAGCCAAGTGGAATTCCACCAGCTCAACAGGTTTCTTATGCACACTATAACGGACAGGTTCTTTCGGAGCCCACATTTGAAACATCTTATCTGCCCACAACTCCCCGCAATGATCTCTATAGTCGTCCTACAGAGCCCAATTTGGAAGAAGATGAGGAAGCGAATCAACAGCAACCATCCCAACAAGGGCGCAATTCATCGCAAACAGTTTATCCAACAAAAGAGTTGGATTCCGGTGAGAGTGATCAAGAAAAGGAAGCCAATAGTGATAATAAGAACGACTATGTTACTGTGTCATTGCCGCATTACCCACCACCGGAGGACTTGAGCAACGAGTTGCCGCCACAATCATTTATTCGCCATGCAACTAGCAATTTGCCTCCTAATGCATACGAGGCTGCGTCGGCAAAGTACCCTACTTTGGACGATGTTGAGGAGGACTACAATAGGGAGAATCCAACACGAGAGCAACCGAAACAGCAACAACAACAAGGGCATACCTTGGATGAGCTACCCCAATTGCCCAAGAACTTACCTTCTTTTGAACAAAATGAGGTAAGCGAAAGAGAAGCCAATCATAGTCGTAAACAACCACTGTTTGAACCTGAACCGTTGATAGACTTGTAGTGGGGTATACATAGTTGGTAGCTATACGGCTTAGTTTCTATAATTAGTCATTTGTGTTTGCTCTTGTCTGCTCTTGTCTGCTCTTGTCTGCTCTTGCTTTGTGTAACACGAGGCTCGTTAAATGCCGCAATAGCAAATAAGCGCAGATGAAGCAAAAGAAGAGAGAGAAAAAAAAAAAAGAAAGCTGAGTTGTGATAAACTAGAATTTTTCAAATTTTTCCAAATTTTTCAACTATACCTTCTTGATTCAAGAAACAGCTACACAACTTAGCTAACTAGCTTTTAGAAACGTATTCTTACTCGTTGCTACACCAGAACTTATTCCTGTCAAGTTTCAACTGCACCACAGAAACAAAAACGAAAAAAAAGGTGTGTTTAACATTGAGACACACAACGAGAGCTGCCGAATAAAGTCCGACCACATAAATCACTCATAAATAACCTTTTGTCTTATTTGTGAGTTTCTAAGAACACATCTAGAGAAGGTCACCAAGCCAGATAGATCGAGGTTTTTCCTTTTTTTTTTGAAGTGAAAGAGAATTTCAATTCTTAAAAAGCAAAAGTTTGTATAACCATTTTGCATTTATAAATCACTACATACCACACCCATAGGTTATGGCATTGAGAGTTGCTGAAACTGTTCCATTAAGATGTACTGAAGAATTTAATTCTAATTTACACGAAGTTGATAATGATTGGAAGAAGGTGACCGAAACGGCACCAGTTTTGCAAGACACACATGTTGGAAGTGATGTTGATGGACATGTTCCAGAAAGAGGTAATTCTGCTGCTGTTGGTAAAGCGTTAGTTGAACACGTTAAACAAATCGATCATGAGGAATGTGATGCGGGTGATGAAGATTCCTTCTTTGTGTGTGATTTGAACGAAGTGGTTAAATCGGTTGAAACGTGGCACAAACACTTGCCGAGGATTCAACCTCATTATGCAATCAAATGCAACACCAATTTGGAAGTGATCAAGTTGTTGCACCAATTGGGTGTCAATTACGATTGTGCATCCAAGAATGAAATTGATACAGTTTTGAAATTGGGTATCAGTGCTGATAAAATCATTTATGCCAACCCATGCAAAACCAATTCTTTTATTAGACATGCCAAGATGAGCAATGTCAACTTGACCACCGTTGACAATGCACATGAATTGGAAAAGTTGGCTAAATTCCACCCAGAGTGCAAAATCTTGGTTAGGATCATGACTGATGACGAAGGTGCTCAGTGTAGATTGAGCACTAAATTTGGATGCAGCTTGACCACGGCTATTGAGTCGATTTTACCCACGGCGCAAAGGTTGGGGTTGTCGGTCGTTGGTGTTGCTTTCCACGTTGGGTCTGGGGCCAAAGACTTTGACTCGATTTACAAAGCTATTCGTGACTCAAGGGAAGTATTCAACAGTGGTCTTGAGATGGGATTCGCCATGAATTTATTGGATATTGGTGGCGGATTTGAGACGGAGACTTTTGTCGAGTCTTCCAAGATTGTCAATGTCTCCATTGATGAGTTTTTCCCTCAAGAGTTTGTCAATGAGCACAAGATTAAGTTTATTGCCGAGCCGGGCAGGTTCATGGTTGCCAATGCATTTACATTGGCCACGCACGTGATTGCTAAGCGTGAGTTACAACACCAAGAAGGTGGCGATGAGCAAGACCGTATAAGGGCAATGTTGTACATCAACGATGGTGTTTATGGAAACATGAACTGTATATTGTTTGACCATCAACATCCAACTGCTCGTGTTTTGAAAAGTGGATCACACTTCCATTACGATTATACGGGGAAAAAGTTGAACATTGGTGGCTACAACAGTTTCAATTACTCAATTTGGGGACCGACTTGTGATGGGTTGGATTGTGTCTCCACAAAGAGTGCATTACATTGTGAGGTAGAGGTTGGTGATTGGATCTACTTCCCCAACTTGGGGGCTTACACCAGTGCTGCAGCTACACAATTCAATGGATTTGAAAACGACACCAAGATCATATACATTCCTGTTGAGTAAGTAAGTAATCGCAGTATGTTATATATACATATACATATACATATACATCTAGTACTTTCTGAGCGTGAATCAGCTTCGCCTACATTCTTTTATTGAGTCTAGATTTAGTGCTGTTACGTCATGATTACATAAGCTTTCCAAATTTCTGATTAGGTAATGCCGTCTTGCTCAAAAAATTTATTTTTAGACTCAATCAGTAGATTTACATTACATACATTACATACATTACACTCATAAATAAAATAACATTGAAGATGGAAACAGAAACAGTGACGATTTAATTTTTCTCTCCCCTTTTTTTTTGTGCTGCTTTTTTCTCTCTCTTTTGTTAATACATTATGCGCCTTCTATACAGAAAATTTATCATTATTCAAACAGTTTGTGAGTGAGTGAGTAAGTAAGTGTCTGTGTGTGATATTCATTTCTCAAACTGACCACTTTTCCTAAATCAACCAGTGGGGACATCTCTCTTTGAATAGAATATTTCCAACAAAGATACCCACCCCTATCGAGCACACAAACCATTATTCATTGCCCGTTTTATCCCTGATGTCCAATTATACCAACAATCGAGATCCTTCTCAAGATCTAAGACACAAGGCCCAGTCAAACACTGCTCAGATCAACAATGCCCTTAATGCAATTCAGCACAAACGAACCGACTCTGATATAAGAAAAGATAGAACCAAGTACACTACTGACGAAGGTGAAACTTTCTCAACAGTTGATAGAGCTGTTACATCCGTAACCCCGCCAGCCCCATTCAACCCGACAAACGAGCAAGTATTCTTGCGCAATGGGTTACCCAACTGTGAATTCATCAAGGATCATTTCTTCCACGAGGGCAGGTTGAGAGAAGAGCAAGCAATCAAGATTGTGAAACAGGCCACCCAGCTACTCACTGCAGAACCCAACTTGTTGAGTGTGCCGGCACCAGTGACCATATGTGGTGATGTCCATGGTCAGTATTACGATCTTATGAAATTGTTTGAAGTTGGCGGTGATCCTAAAACCACAAAATATCTATTCATGGGGGACTACGTCGATAGAGGCTCCTTCTCCATCGAGTGCTTGATTTACTTGTACGCTCTAAAGATTACTTACCCAAACTCGTTTTGGATGCTTAGGGGTAACCACGAAAGTCGTCATTTGACTGAGTACTTTACTTTTAAAAACGAGTGTGTGCACAAGTATTCTCAAGACTTGTATGAAGAGTGCATAACCAGTTTCAATGCGTTGCCATTGGCGGCTATCATGAATGAGCAATTCTTTTGTGTTCATGGGGGTATATCACCCCAATTGACTGATTTGGACAGTGTGCGTAAGATGAATAGGTTTAGGGAACCACCCACAAAGGGATTGATGTGTGACTTGTTATGGGCGGATCCAATTGAAGAATACGACGAGGACAATATTGATACCGAATACTTGAACAACGCAGTCAGAGGCTGTTCCTATGCATTCACATACAAAGCGGCGTGTAAATTCTTGGACAGGACAAAGTTGTTGTCAATCATACGTGCTCATGAAGCACAGAATGCCGGATACAGAATGTACAAAAGGACCAAGACAATGGGATTCCCAAGTTTATTGACGATGTTTAGCGCACCAAACTATTTGGATAGTTACAACAACAAGGCAGCTGTGTTGAAGTACGAAAACAATGTTATGAATATCAGACAGTTTAATGCATCACCACATCCATATTGGTTGCCTCATTTCATGGATGTCTTTACTTGGTCATTACCATTTGTTGGAGAAAAAGTGACTGATATGTTGGTTAGTATATTGAATGTGTGTACAGAAGAGGAGTTGGACGAAGATTCACCATTTTCAGAAACGCAGGTTGGCGGCATTGAAGGAACCACCCCACCAAGTGCAGCAACTTCGCCAAGAGCCCAGCCCCCTACATCCTTCCCTGCAGAGTCGGATGAAATCGAAACCGATTATTCTTTGGAGGAAAAGAAGTTGGCTTTGAGGAACAAGATTATAGCCATTGGTAAGATGTCACGTATGTTTCAAGTCTTGCGAGAAGAACAAGAAAGTGTGGCTCACTTGAAGGAATTGAACCGTGGTCAACTACCCAAAGGATCCTTATTGCATGGGAAAGAGAGTATTCAAAGCAACATTCTTACATTTGAACAGGCTAAAGCAGCTGATCGTGTAAACGAAGCATTACCCCCAAGCCAAGAAGAATTGAAAAGGAGAGAAGAACAAAGAGGAAGACGCATCAAAAATCAAATTGAAAATAAGGACGGTGGCAGTCCCGTTTTCCAAAAATTTATGCGTAAATTATCGCGATAAGGTATTACGTACGTCTTGAATATGATGGCATTCATTCCAACGTGTTAAAAAAAAAAAAAAAAAAAAAAGAAAAAATAAACAAATGGTATTCGTATTTGACACGCGCATTCGCTTTGTAGAAGAACTCTTGAGTCAATGTCATCAACGTAGGCTAAAACTTTCCATCATTGATACTTTTTGTCACCACCATCACCACAGACATGCTTCCGAAACCAAGACTAGTCAGTGATCAGCCAAACATAGAAAACACTATATTGTATTCAGCATACCAAGCCTCAAGCCCAGCTAAGTTTTCGACGGATGCTGATAAATTTGTAATGTATGGCGGTGGCTCGTCATACACCATGCACTGCCGGAATGCATCGAAACTCCGACCTTTCTCGAGCGACCATGTGTCTTTGTTTGTGTTGTCGTCGCATTTCGTGATATGGTCCAACAAGGATAATGCAGGAGTGGAAATACCGTACCAATTAATTTATTTGCACGCTTTGGACAAGAACTCGCTTTATCTACAGGTGCAGAATAGTCAGCTCCTTAGCAATTCACCGGATGGTGTTTTGGAAATCAGCTTGGTTGAAAGCAACGACAACCATGTCAGGGGAAATGAATTATTTGCCCAAGTTGGTGGAAACGCCGAGACTATTTATCAAGCCATGTCAACGTGTTCCGCCATGCACTTTGACTCTGAGGAAGAAGAAGAAGAAGAAGAAGAAGATAAAGACTATACAATGGATTACGGTAACGAGCCACAACTCCCGACAATGGAAGTACCCAGCAGTTGGCTCAATGAAGAAATGTCTAAAATTCAAGAGATACAGTTCAAAAACGATGGAAACGCCGATGATCTCGACGAGGAAGGGGATGAGACTCTAGAGGAGGGCGTTGTTGCTGGAATGAGTGTTGACGTCGGATATGCTCAGATAGCGGGTAGCAAGAGATTTGAGCAAGAGGATCAAGAAGTGGTAGATGATGACTCGATAAGCAGCATAAAGAGAAATAGGAAACAATGAGGGCTAAAAGTAGTGATTTTGTAAATTGATAGGCCAAATTCATAGAGCGGCATGTGTAAACAACTCCACGAGGTCTTCGGTTCAAAGGTTGTAATGAACCAACTGATTTGACGCTCGTCGCCTAAAGAAAGAGTAGCGAAGACGAAAACGAGAGCGGAAAAGATTAAATGCATATCCTCCGAACTCTGTAGATTCAGCTATCTTTCCCACTCGCTAAATACACTAACCAATAACGTCACACCTCGCCTCTGCTATACCAAGCTATGAAGTCCTCTGAAGAGAGGATACAATTCAAAAGGGATTTTTTAAGCTTGGGACAAGGAAGAATAATTTCCAGGCAGGATGTCAAATTTTGGTCCCGATTTTGGAAGCTACCCACCAAAAGTCAAGATATATTTGAGCTCCTTTCATTGGAGGATGTGAGGAGTATACGGCGCCAGAATGTGGTCAACTATATCACATTTGTGCAAGTTTTGAGCTTAAAGGTTGTTGAAATAGCAGGCTTTGAGAGTTTGACCGATAACGACATATCACTGCTTCTCAATTGCATACGGTTTTTGGCCAAACTTTTACCTCCTTTGCTTGAGCAGGATGATTATTTTGTTGGCGTTTGTTATGAGACATTCTGGAATACCGAGTTTAGTGCCGAGGAATACCTTCGGTCGAAAGAGGTGGAGTTACTGGATTCTGAAGAGGATGTCAAGCGGGGTATACTGTTTGATGCACTCGGTGGTACTATAGGGATGAAATTGCTCATGGCGCTGGTCGACTTGTTGTTTACGAAGGGGTTTACAATAAACACAAAGGATAAAGGTGGTGTGAGTTGGAGCGTTTGGGAACCAGGTTTGGGGTTTGCGGGCAAGGCGAGATCACCCAATTTAATAATCGACATCAACCGAGTGGAAGTGTTGAAGCTAATTATAACGTTATGCTCTGATGGATTTTACTGCTCGTCGTCTGCGATTGTGTCCACAGAGTCTATTTTTCTCACAATATTGGTGTCAATGACGCCTAAAGTCAAGCTCTTGACAATGGTGTCATCCCTACTCAATCTTACATGTAGAGCGTCGCAAGACAATGATGTGAGTATGCTATATTACGAGAATATCAACTACACAGAGACTAGATTCTTGAGCGTGGCGTATGCATTTTCTTTGTTGACAATGATGATCGTGTATCCAATCCCTAGCCAGCCAGGAATAACAGGGTGCAAACTAAATAATATGACCAGAAGATATTTGGGTAAAGTGCATAAAGAGCAGGAACTTGTGTTTATTGTCAATTCGTTGATGAATGTTTTACGGTTACCTTTTGTAAAGAGCGCCGGAGGTGGTGGCTCTTTCGGCTTTGGCAAGAGTAACCCACCATCGTTATGGGCCACGGAAACGGTAATCTTCATTTGGGAAATGATTCAGTGTAACAAGCACTTCAAGGAGATTGTTGCCAACAAGTATGCGCCAGAGCTAATGGTGCTTTTGTTGTATTACAGTTTTGAGCATATATCAAATGACAGTAAAAGGAACTTGGTACGTGTTTGCGCTTACCTATCCCTATATCTTTCATCCAAGCTGGAGATTCTAGAGACGTTGTTTTACCCGATGCCACTGCTGTTGTACGATTCACTTCCACAGAGTTTCAAGTCCTCAATTGCGCCCTTAACTACAAGGGATTTTTTGGTTAGTCAACTTTGTGCATTGTTGTTGAATGCATACCCAATACAGCCACCCACGTACACTTTCAAACCCTTGCCGAAGCTATTGTTGAATTCGTTGGTTGAGACGTTGTACAATTTGATCATTCCTGTATCAAACCACGAATTGAAAGTGCGAAGCAATCCAGATAAACGATTGAATAATCCAAATGCTCGTGGCGGTTTGTCGTACCAGGCATCATCTTTGGTGACCCAGCTCATATCCCGATTTTCAACCAAGAGCTTCCTCCTTGAAAAATCTCACCATTTGAATGTGGTAGCTTTGTTGGTGAGAGCTGTATCGATGGCGGTTGTTAAATACCCACACCCTTCAAGAATGTTATTGTTTTGTGTTTTGAAGAACGAGCGGGTATATGAAAACTTGTGGAGTACCATTTTCAATATCCAGGAGTACACAGTACGAGGTGACGTGATATCAAAGATTGAAGAAAATGGCATTCATCCAGCGACGTCATACAATGCAAATGGAGATACAATCGCTCGACTGAGCCCTATACCCATTACCCCACGCAAAACCGAGGAATCTTTGTCACTTTCGGAAAATGAGAGCGTCGAGTCTTCTTTACGACCGCGGTTACCGCCAGGTATGTCTGAAAAAGCAAAGGATAAACAGCGGAGGGATAGTCCTATTGGCCAGGTATGGCCAGGTAGAGATGCCTTGGCAATTATCATAACCATTGTAATTCCGCACTTGAAGCGTATTTTGAGCACTTTATGGTCTGGCACCAAGGGTGCTAGTGTGGATAGTTTTGAACTTGTCGAGAAAATTGGAAGTTATGATTTTTCAATAATGATTGAGGAAAACAGGAAACAATTCAAGTATGAGGTACTCTCAGAGACGCCATTGGAACAGCTAGAATTTGAGTGGAGCTTGCTTTCGTTAGGCTGGTACCTTTCCTTACTATACAGTGAAGTATACAACACCTCATCCAAGGTCAAAGCATACATCGGGAGTAACAACGGCATGATAAAGCATTTCTCCGCTTCCTTAAACACAGTTAGCAAGATCACTTCCAACTGGACAACTTTTTTCAAGCAAGAGCAAACAGCAAGACAACTGGATGATGAGTTTACTTCCCAATGGGTTGAGAATGGATTGACGAATGTCAATGCGTGGCAGGGCACAGATATCAAGCTCTTTGATGTTGTGTCAGCATCGAATGGAGGACTCTTTGCCAATCTTAACAAACTAGGGGGCGGATCAACGCAAGCAGTACCAAACACGCCCGGTAGCCTAAATGACATGATGAGGAGATTTAGTGATTTCAATATAAGTGGAGTTCATAGCTCGCCCGTGTCGTCAGTGTTGAGCACCCCTGTTGAAGAGCAAGAGTCGTATTTTACACGAAGAGCCGGTAGGAACTCGGTCACAAGTTTGCATTCGTTGAATAAGTTGAATAGAATGCGGAGTAATACTCCGCGTAACTCGTTTAGTTAAGTTTATTTTACATTTATCTACCTCCGTCTACCCTTTTTTTGTACCAACTGGAACCCATCGTCATCAATGACGGGCTCGTTTTTTTGCTTGACTTTGTCTTCATCTACCTCCATGTCATCGTTGTCGCCGTCATCCTCACCGTCATCCTCACCGTCATCCTCACTCTCGGAATCATCGGGGTTGTTTGGGTCTTCTTCTACATGTACGTGCTTGCTTCCCACCTGGGTGTCTCTCTTCTCCTGCCACCTTGCATATAGGGCATCAATTTGATCATACTTTTCTTCCCGAACCTGCTTGAAGAATGCCATGACCAATGCGGCTATCTCCAATGCTGAATCATTGTCTACTTGTACATCAAATTCATCCACCATGGCATACAACAAAGTCTCCTCTATCAACTGAATATCAACAGCACTAGACTCTTTAAACAAGTCAATCACTATGCCGCTGATCCAGTCTCTTTTCTCTGCTGACTTGGGTCCTCCCCAGGAGTTTTCAACTGCTGTGGTCAATTCTTCCCATTTATAAACCGCCATGCAAACGCCTAGTTCAAACTTGGCTTGCTGTTTCTCATTAGGGAACGTCAAGGTTCCATTCTCAACCTCTACGAAGTCTGTGGGGTCTATAGTAGTGGCCATTTTTTTGCTGCGTGATGTAGTTATTTAATGAATATGGTTGTGGCACTCGATGAGCATCTCATTTGCTCACTGAAAGCCGCAAGTGAGAGACAGAGAGCGAGAGAGACAGAAAAAAAAAAAAAAAAATTATTTACTCTCTTCGCGGAAAATGATTCACTCTATAAAATCAAAGCACTTTGTATAACTTAAAAATCCTCAGAACGCCACATACCGTTAACAACAAACTTTCACTCAGTAGTCTTCACATTCCTTATTATTACTGTTCTATCATGGGTAAAGAAGTTGTGTTGGACATTGCTCCCAAATGCATTGATGGGTTAGAATTTTCTGCCCTTTCCGCCAAGGATATTGTCGCGCAATCGGAGGTTGAGATCCAGACTAGGGACTTGTACGATTTGGAGAAAGGTAGAGTCCCGAAGGAAGGTGGAGCTTTGGATACGAGAATGGGTATCTCGTCTAACTCGTCTGAATGTGCTACATGTCATGGTAATCTTGCGTCATGTAATGGTCATTTCGGACATATCAAACTTGCATTGCCAGTTTTCCACGTGGGATATTTCAAGGCTGTCATTTCAGTGTTGCAATGTGTTTGCAAAAACTGTGGTGCTATATTGCTAGAACCTCAAACAAAACGTCAATTTTTGTCAGAGTTGAGGCGACCCAACATTGACAATTTGAAAAGGATGAAAATTTTGAAAAAGATCAATGATCAGTGCAAGAAGCAACGACGCTGTTTAAAGTGCAGTCACGTGAATGGTGTTATAAAGAAGGCTGCCAGTGGTGCTGGACCTGCATCGTTGAAGATTGTTCATGATACTTTTAGATGGATTGGTAAAAAGGATACCCCGGAAAAGAATATTTGGGATGAGGATTTGGACTTGGTTTTTAAACGTAACCCAGATTTGGAGAAATTTGCCAAAAAAATACAAGAGGATTTCAATCCGTTAAAGACTTTGAATTTGTTCAAGCAAATCATTCCTGAAGATTGCGAGTTACTTGGAATGGACGCATCTAAAGGTGGAAGACCCGAAATGTATATTTGGCGATATCTACCGGCTCCTCCAGTTTGTATCAGACCCTCAGTTATGATGGATGCACAATCGAATGAGGACGACCTCACAGTTAAACTCACGGAGATCGTTTGGACATCGTCAATGATCAAGGCAGGAATTGCCAAAGGTATTTCCATAAACAATTTGATAGAACAATGGGACTACTTGCAACTTTCTGTGGCAATGTACATCAATTCTGACGCAGCAAATCCAGCTTTGATGTCAGGAGGAGGAGGAGGAGGTGGTGGTGGTTCGAAATCTGCTAAACCCATACGTGGCTTTTGCCAGAGATTAAAAGGTAAACAGGGTCGTTTTAGAGGAAATTTGTCAGGTAAAAGAGTTGATTTTTCTGGAAGGACTGTCATTTCACCAGACCCAAACTTGAAAATAGACGAAGTTGCAGTACCTGATCGAGTAGCCAAGGTTTTGACGTATCCTGAGAAATGTACACGATACAATAAGAAAAAATTACAAGGTTTGGTTATAAATGGGCCCGATGTACACCCTGGAGCAAACTATGTGATGAAGCAGAATGAAGCTGGTAAGAGAAACTTGAGGTTTGGAGATCGTATCAAATTGGCTAAATCTTTACAAATTGGAGACGTCGTTGAACGTCACATTGAAGATGGGGATGTCGTCTTGTTCAACCGTCAACCGTCATTGCACAGGCTATCAATCTTGGCGCATTATGCCAAAGTTCGCCCATGGAGAACATTCAGATTGAATGAGTGTGTTTGTACGCCTTATAATGCCGATTTCGATGGTGATGAAATGAACTTGCACGTACCTCAAACTGAAGAGGCGAGAGCAGAAGCAATCAACTTGATGGGTGTGAAAAACAACTTGTTAACTCCCAAATCTGGTGAACCAATTATTGCCGCCACCCAAGATTTCATAACCGGTTCGTATTTAATTTCGCACAAGGACTCCTTTTTTGATCGTGCCTCGTTGGTGCAGTTATTGAGTATGATGTCGGATGCTGATATACAGTTTGATATCCCACCACCAGCAATTATGAAGCCAGTCATGCTTTGGACCGGTAAGCAAGTCTTTTCATTACTCATCAAACCAAATAGGCAAAGTAAAGTTGTGATCAACTTGAATGCTAAAAATAAGACATTCCATCCACCTGCTAAAGGGTTACCAAGTGAAATGTCGCCAAACGATGGGTTCGTCATAATCAGAGGATCTCAAATTCTTAGTGGGCTTATGGATAAGTCCACATTGGGAGATGGTAAGAAACATTCGGTGTTTTACACGATTCTTCGAGACTATGGTCCACAAGAAGCTGCGGCAGCAATGAATAGGATGGCAAAGTTGTGTGCAAGGTTTTTGGGCAATCGCGGGTTCTCAATTGGCATTAATGATGTCACACCAGCTCACGACTTGAAACAAAAGAAGGAGTTGATGGTTGAGCAAGCGTATCTCAAGTGTGACAAGTTGATTGATTTGTACAACAGAGGTAAGTTGGAAACCCAGCCTGGTTGTAACGAGGAACAAACATTGGAGGCCAAAATTGGAGGGTTGTTGTCAAAGGTCAGAGAAGAAGTGGGTGATGTTTGCATTCGTGAGTTGGATTCTTTGAACGCTCCGTTGATTATGGCCACATGTGGTTCTAAAGGTTCCACTTTGAATGTGTCTCAAATGGTGGCTGTTGTGGGTCAGCAAATTATATCTGGACATCGTGTTCCTGATGGTTTCCAGGATCGTTCGTTACCCCATTTCACCAAGAACTCGAAAACGCCACAATCAAAAGGGTTTGTTCGAAATTCCTTCTTTAGTGGATTGTCACCACCGGAATTCTTGTTCCATGCCATTTCGGGAAGAGAAGGGTTGGTTGATACTGCTGTGAAAACTGCAGAGACAGGTTATATGTCGCGTCGTTTGATGAAATCTCTTGAAGATCTTTCTTCACAGTATGATAACACTGTCCGTAATTCGTCAAATGGTATAGTTCAGTTTACCTATGGTGGTGATGGGTTAGACCCATATGATATGGAAGGTGACGCGAAACCAGTGAATTTCGTGAGACAGTGGGACCACGCATACAACGTGACCTACGATGTCAACGACAAGCCTTTATTGCCTTACGAGATTAATGAACTAGCGGATAGGACATTAAAACCACTCGTTGACAAGGTTGCTGTTGTTGGCAGTGACAGTCAAAGCAGGGATGATTTAGTTGATCAAAAAGATGCCGAGAGAGCATTCTACGAGTCAGTTAGAGAGTTTTTAAGAGACAAAGCAGAAGCTCTTGCACGGATAAGAGAGAGCAGAGGATTACAACCATTCTACACCAGAGTGAATGAAGATGACATTCAATTGGATGACGACGATGTCAAGATCAACGCGGTTAACCAGTTGATGAAGATATCTCACAAAGCCGCCAAGGAGTTTATGAAGCAATGTTTGTACAAGTATTCGAGAGCAAAAGTAGAGCCAGGTACAGCAGTTGGTGCTATTGGAGCGCAATCCATTGGTGAGCCAGGTACGCAAATGACTTTAAAGACTTTCCATTTCGCTGGCGTGGCATCTATGAATGTCACTTTGGGTGTGCCTCGTATTAAGGAGATTATAAATGCATCCAAAACAATTTCAACACCAATCATCAATGCTGTTTTGGTAAACGATGACGACGAAATTGCTGCGCGTGTGGCGAAGGGAAGAATCGAAAAGACATTGTTGAAGGATGTGGCATTTTACATTGAGGATGTTTATAAGGATAATATGGCTTACTTGGCTATAAAGGTGGATTTGGAAACGATTGACAAGTTGCAATTGGAATTGACTATTGAAAACATTGCACAAGCCATTTGCAAAGCCCCCAAGTTGAAGATTGCGCCTGCGGATGTCGTCATCACCGGTAAAAACAGAATCAATGTGTTGTGTAATGTCAGCGACTCAAAAGTTGATAGCTTAAAGTCAGTGAGCGATTCGCCCAATGCACTTTTCTTTAGAATGCAAACATTGAAAAGAGTATTGCCTGACATTTGCATCAAAGGGTTGCCAAACATTTTCCGTGCCGTGATCAATATCAAAGATGATGGAAAGAAGGAGTTACTTGTTGAGGGATATGGTTTGAAAGATGTCATGAACACTGAAGGGATTGTAGGTACCAAAACCACCACAAATCATGTTTTAGAGGTGAATGAAATTTTAGGTATCGAGGCTGCTAGAGGATCCATCATTAGAGAGATTGATTACACAATGAGTAACCACGGTATGAGTGTTGATCCTCGTCATATTCAACTATTAGGAGACGTCATGACTTATAAAGGTGAGGTCTTGGGTATTACAAGATTTGGCCTTAGTAAAATGCGTGATTCAGTTTTGCAGTTGGCCTCATTTGAGAAAACAACTGACCATTTGTTTGATGCTGCCTTCTTCATGAAGAAGGATAAGATTGAGGGTGTTTCTGAATGTATCATTTTGGGTAAAACCATGAGTGTTGGTACGGGGGCTTTTAAGTTGGTGAAGTCCTCCAATTACGATGAGAAGGTGTTGAAAAGAAAGGGTACGTTGTTTGAATCTTGTTGCGAGGTGAGTAGTGTTGCATGATTGTATATAGAGATTTATTTATAGAAACTGTGATATATCTTGATCTTTTTTCAATACCGACCCCACTTCTTCTTCGCTGACGTTGAGTATCACCATTCTTCTTCTTTCACTTGAAGAGTTTTGATGATTGATTAATCCTTCTTCCACTAATGCATTCAAAATATACTCAAAGTGATGAACTCTAATATTGATCTGCACCTTGTCGCCAAGCTTGGCCGTGTACAACAAATCAAACATTGAAGTGTCTGTTAGGAAAGGATTCGATGATGTGAACATGGCCATCGAGTTTTTCATCTCATCGATTATATCACCCACTGAATTTTCCGCTAGGCCACTTCGTCTTGCTCTTCTCAAAAGTGCTGCAAGGAAAAGCTTTGCTGCAAACGGTAAGGTGTTTAAGCACTTTGCTAATGGCGAGTTTACACTTTCGCTGATGGCTTGAGATATGTGCGATATCAAAACATGATACGATCCTTTGCTCTCATCATTGTTTTCTAGATATTGTTTCTCTGCAAGTTCAACGGCTCTACGACAAATTGTCAAAGCACGTCGAGCGTCCCCACTAACACTAGCAACTTTTCTAGATGCAAACCCAATGGCATCTGGACTTATTTCCACCTTGTGCTTACTGTTCCTCGTCAACAAATCAAGTCTGTGTTGGATTATTGCACCGAGTTGTTGATACGTGTATCCCTTGAACTGAATTCTTCGCAACCCCATTCTTGATGAAATTTTGTTGGCAAGAACCCTCTCAGGTAAATCCATGGTGTTTGCAACAGCAATAACAATCAACTTGGATGTGGTATATGTTGGCCAGTTGAAGAAATTGTACATGACATTTTGCTTTTTCTGGGCTATCTGATCCAATTCGTCCATCATCACCACCAATGGTTTTCGTTTGTCGTCGTTTCTTTTGAAATACTCCTCTAGCAAAATTGCAGCGTTCGCGTCTGCCACTTTGTCACCGCCAGTTATGTGCTCCCAAAGCATACTATAAGCAACGGTGGGAGCTAGCAATTTTAATCCGTTGATTTCAAGAAAATTGAATGGCTTGACGTAGCCTTCCGTTGCTAGTTCGTTCATTTGCTTGATTACATCTTTGATGGTTGCTGTTTTTCCCATACCAGGAACTCCACTAACGTATATGCAGCAACCAGTTTCTTCGTTGATTGCACTTTCCAAACTTGCGTAAATCATCAGAAACTCATCTTCTCTACCGGGGAGCGAGTTTAACCGTTGCGATGTGTGTAGCTTCTCCTTTACTTCTCTGAATGCTTCCGAAGTTGGGTCGAGCGTTCCATCTAGAAGTCTTTTGGACGGAGATGTAAACGAAGGTAATTGTCCTTGGTTTTGCATAACTCTTATTTTCCTACGAGGAGTAACCACTGAGTATATGCTTTCAATTTCCGAATCAGCTGCCCGGGCAGCCTTGGTGGGGGACAGTGGCTTGCTTCGGCTAGGTACAATTTTTCGTTTTCGTGGGGATGGTGTGGCTACCTGCTTGAGCTTTGACTTTGACTTTGACTTTGACTTTGACTTTGACTTTGACTTTCTACCTGGTATTTCCTCAACATCAGAATCTTCAAAGTCGTCACTCTCTTCTTCGCTTTCCAGGATTGGATCTGAGTATTCTGACTCGGAAGAAGCGGCACCGAGTTGCGGTTTTGCCTTGTCCCTCAGTTCTGTTGTAGTTTCCTTCTCGTTTGTGTCGATGCCTCTACGCTTTGCATCCACTGACTTCGCAATGTGGCTCCTTTTCAGCCCAGAGTCAAATAGAATCCCCTTCAACGTGTCTTGAAAGTGATCAGAATCTTCGGTAAATTTGAGCATAAGCTCATCATAATCGAAAACCTCAGAGAACTTGTCCTGCTCGTTCGTCGCTCTACGGCACATAAATATTGGTTCCACATCCTGGTGCACCCCCTCGAGCTTTCCAAATTTATTTTCAGAAAAAACTTGCACATGTTTGTCTATTTGATCAGGCTTGATTTCATCAAGATACGGTGTTATTAAGATCTCATTGTCGGCGATGTCAACACCGGAGGGTATTGATTTGATTTCACTTCTTTCACTGAACCAGATTACGAAAATCTCAACAAAGTCATTGATACCAAACCGTAAATCTTTGATTAAGGCAATGTTGGATTTGCCATCAGCAGTTACAAGAATTGTTTCTCCCTGTTTCACTTGAAATTGATCACATTTGCGTTGTAGAATAAGCTTGTCTGGTGATGATTTAGTTGATCTCCCTCCTCGGTTGGTTCTTCTTGCAGGAGTAGTTCGAGAGGACGAATTGTCTTTATTTTCAAGTTCAGAACTAAAGACAAGTTCCCACCCTTTGTATTTAAGGGGCATAATTGATAGCTATCGTGAATGTCGGTGTTTTTGGAAGACACCTGTAGTCTTGCAGTGTGCGGCTTCCTTTATGTAAAGAATGGAAAACGCTTTACATGCAGGAAAAGTTCGATCAGAGACGCTTCAAACTGTTAGCCATGCAGATGAATATATTATATGATTTACCCTTTCTACTTAGGATATTAAAGAAATGAATACGGTTCGTTAGATCGTTAATAGTTGACGAAGCACACGCACAGGTGCTTTCCCTCATTTGAAAATCAATATTGGTTCTCCAACATTGACAATTTCATCTAAATTCAATTTCAAATCGAATGCTTTTGACAATATTATTTTGAAGATCTTTTGTACGTTGATGGAATGACTGGTTGAGCAAAAAATGACAGGCGCTTTCATTGCTGCTCCAAACTTTTTAGCTTGTTGTGTAATTTCAATTTGGTCTTGGAAGGATAAGTCTATGAATTGGTCGTACTTGGTACCAATGAGGAATGGGATGGCTGTTTTGTTGAATCCCCTCACTTGGCGATACCATTCCTTAATGGAGTTGAGGGTCGACTTTCGAGTTAGATCAAACATAAACAAGATTGCAACCGCGTCATTTGACACCAACGGTAGCATATTGATGAACTCCTTCTGCCCTCCAAGATCCCATATGGAAAATAAGATTGTTGTGTTTCTAATTTGTATTCGTTTGTCCATGAAATTGACACCAAGAGTTTGTATATAGTCTTCATCAAATGATCCTTCGACATATTTGACCATTAATGAGGTTTTCCCTATTTGTGAATCCCCTATCAAGCCTATCTTCAATGCGACCCTGTTGTACTTTGGTTAGTATTGAGTTCAATCTACAATTGTCTGCAAAGAAAACATCGAAAACATACTGATTGTTTTGATCTTGATCCTCGTCCATTGAGAAAAGCTTGATTTAGTTTGCTTGTGGTGTAGGAAGCAGCTGTAACTGTTGTTGAGAATATATGAGTAAAGAGCTTATGTGACTTGACGGCGTGAGTGTGACAAGGTGATCGTGACAACTGTTGTCTGTCCTGATAACGCTGGTGAAGCTTGGTCTGGTCGGAAGATCGCAGTTGGTTGGTATCGGAAGTTGTCTCAAAAGCAAATGGTGGAGTTGTTTACGTATTGAAATGCATGCACGACCAACAGGGCTCAGCCCTACGTGGAAATCACATCACGTGTAACAATAAGCTTGTTTTTATTTATTTACACACACAGGTATTTTTCGGTAGCGCAAGGAACACTGTTGTCTTGCTCTAAGGAAATGTTCTCGTGATGTATTGCGTAATCTATTACATAATGTATAGCGCACTACTTATGTAATACATATTGTCCTCACTCTCACATAGGCAAACAGAGAGAGAGAGAGAAAAGAAAAAAAAAAAAATTTTAATACTGTTAGAGACAAAACCTCTTTTATTAGAATTAATTTTTCAAAAGTTTTCTCCTTTTTCCCACTATCTTCCTAATACAACTGACAGCATCAAAACATGGCAGTAGGTAAAAACAAGAGACTTTCCAAAGGAAAGAAGGGATTGAAGAAGAAGGTCGTTGACCCATTCAGCAGAAAAGACTGGTTTGACATCAAAGCCCCAACCACTTTTGAAAACAGAAATGTTGGTAAGACTTTGATCAACAGATCGACTGGTTTGAAGAACGCCGCCGATGGATTAAAGGGAAGAGTTTTCGAAGTTTGTTTGGCTGACTTGCAAGGTTCAGAGGACCACTCTTACAGAAAGATCAAGTTGAGAGTTGATGAAGTTCAAGGTAAAAACTTGTTGACCAACTTCCACGGTTTGGACTTTACTTCCGATAAAATAAGATCATTGGTTAGAAAATGGCAATCATTGGTTGAAGCCAACGTTACTGTTAAGACTGCTGATGACTATGTTTTGAGAGTATTTGCCATTGCCTTCACCAAGAGACAACCAAACCAAATCAAAAAGACCACTTATGCTCAATCATCTAAATTGAGAGAAATCAGAAAGAAGATGACTGAAATTATGCAAAGAGAAGTTTCCAACTGTACCTTGGCTCAATTGACTTCCAAGTTGATTCCAGAAGTTATTGGTCGTGAAATTGAAAAATCTACTCAAACCATTTACCCATTGCAAAACGTTCACATTAGAAAAGTCAAGTTGTTGAAACAACCAAAATTCGATTTGGGTTCATTGTTGGCTTTGCACGGTGAAGGTTCCACTGAAGAAAAGGGTAAGAAGGTTGCAGGTGGTTTCAAAGATGTTGTTTTGGAATCAGTTTAATCAAAAGCGGTGATTTCCATTAGCACATTTTTTTTTTGCTGTTTCATAATTTTGTAAACTATCCAATAAAACATATATATATATATACGAGAGGATATCGAGTGACTGTAGAGTGGAGTGGTGACAATTGAGATAGAAGAGGTCAGCATGATGAAGTGCTTTACACTTTGAAACCAAGGGAGTGTCGTAACAATCGATTCTGTGACTTTCTTTTCTCCGACACCAACTGGGAAAAAAAAAAAATGAAAATGACGTAGAACAAGGTAGCAATAACACAAACACGAGGCCACACAGCCATAAAATTCTAATATTCTCTTTGTATTAGATTATCTTTGGTATTTCTTTGCCTTCTATTAACCTAATTGCTCTACTAAGTAGACAAAAGTCCCTGTCTACTGTGTTTCAAGTGCTTATAATTCTCAAAGCTTAAATAGTTTATAGTAGCAAAGTTAGGAAAAAGAGCTTGTTTGAATGTACATAGTTGTAATACTCCTTTGTTTCTTCTTAATGCACATTACACAATACAATTTTTTTCTTATTGTTTTTAATCTTAAATTTTTGGAATTTCATCATTTTTATATTCTGCATTCAATTGCTGTTCCTACTAAGACAAACAACACATAAACTCACTCGCATTCATTCTCTCTCTCTCTCTCTCTCTCTCTCTCTCTCTCTCTGTCTCTGTCTACTGATACGAGTATCTTCTTCTTAAGTCCAACACTAGCTAGAATTCAAACACAATTCATCAAATAGCTATACACGTTATCAAACAAACCTCATATACCAAACAATTTTTTACTGGGTTGACTCACTAAGCTCATAGAATTTCTTCATGATTCAAAGCCAAGTATGTATAATTCAGCACAGCCAGAAGAATTGCACACGCTACATAAGGAGTAGCACAGTTGGCATTGTTTTTGGCAATGCAGCACACATGTGTCTCCCGGCTAGTACTAACATCTCGTTTAGGATCGTACAGACCCAGGAGCGAATGCTGAGCCGGCGTTTGCTGGTGAAAAGCCAGGTAAAGACCAATTCGAGGAGCAAAAGAAGAATCTCGACAAGAATGGGCATCCTGGAGGAGACTCCAAACACCCCAACGAGAAACATGACAAAGGTGACTCGGAAAAGGGGCGTCATGCTGGCTTTGGCGGAAACAAAACCGACGTCGATGATCATAATAGAAAAGTTCAAACCGGAGCACCTCAACAAACCAAACCACAAGCATCAACTGCACCCAAGCCCAGACCATCCCAACACCCTCATGGAAAAGTTCATATAAGGGATCAATTGACTTTTTCTTGGAAACAGGTTGGTGGATGGGATGTCGATGAAGACACCGACAAGAAGAAGTTGTTGAAAAATTCCAAATCAGTTGAAGGGTATATTATCGACCACTTCTATGGTGATTGGTATTGGAACACTTCACTTATGCTAGGAACATGTCTTTTTGCTTGGTTGGTGGCCAGATTGGGAGGTGGTATTTTATCCTTGGGACTTGTTTTGTTGTTTACAAACTCTGTCTACCGCGGAGAGTTTAGAAGATTCAATCGTAACGTTAGGGATGACATGAAAAGAGTCAAGGCAGACAACAGATTGGTCAATCAATTGGAAAGTATGGAGTGGATGAATTCGTTTTTGGACAAGTTTTGGGTCATTTATATGCCTGCTTTATCTGAACAAGTCATGTTCCAGGCCAATGAGATTTTAAAAGATCAGGCACCCGGTTTTGGTATTGAGAAGTTGTCGTTGGACGAATTTACATTGGGCTCAAAGGCACCCCGTGTAGACTCAATAAAGTCTTACCCACAAACTCGCCACGATGTTATTGAAATGGACTGGGCATTCTCATTTGCTCCAAATGATACCGATGATATGACCAAAAATGAAATCAAGAGAAAGATTGATCCAAAAGTTGCATTGGGTGTTACTGTTGGTAAGGCATTTATTTCCAAATCGTTACCAATTTTGGTTGAAGATATGACATTCACTGGTAGAATGAAGGTCAAATTGAAGCTTTCGTTGAATTTCCCACACGTCAAGATTGTTTCTATTCAGTTTTTGGAACCGCCAAATATCGATTATGTTTTGAAACCTATTGGTGGAGATACCTTGGGTCTTGATATCATGTCATTTATTCCAGGTTTGTCCAAATTCGTTAATGGTATCATCCACTCGACTTTGAGACCCATGCTTTATGCTCCAAACTCTCTCGATATCAATGTTGAAGAACTCTTGGAGGGTCAGTCAAATGATTCTATTGGTGTTATTGCCGTTTACATCAAGTCTTGCAAGAACTTGAAGACAGGACAAACAACAAAAGCCAATAGTATTAATCCGTACGTGCAAATCAAGGTGTCAAACAATGGTGATATTGACGAAAGAACCAAAGTCAAGAAGCAGGTTAATGACCCAATATTTTTGGAACACAAATATATATTGGTCAACCAATTAGAAGGTAATTTTTTCAACTTCAATGTATTCCACTTGTTGGAAGATCAAGCAGATGACCAGCTCATTGGTAACTGTGAGTTCCCCATGGGTGAGTTTTTACAAGAAAACAACCAGACTGGTATTGTGAAGAATATCATGGAAGGTGGTAGAGTTGTGGGGAAATTGGAATTAGACATGAAGTACTTCCCCACAATGCAACCAATCGAGCTTGATGATGGAACTAAAGAGGTTATCACTGATTCAGAAGTTGGTATAATGAAGCTCACCTTACACGAGGCAAGAGACTTGGATATTTCCAAGTCTGTTATTGGGTTATTAAATCCCTATGCAGAGATATATGTCAACAACGAGTTGGTGAAGTCGTGTCGTAAATTGAGGCAAACTAATGAACCTTCATGGGAACAATCTTTTGAAAGTTTAATCACTCAACAAACTGAGACGTCGATTCAAATCCTCGTGCGTGACACTGTTGACAACAGCATTGTTGCCAACTTACAAGCTAACTTGCAAGACCTTGTGTTTGAGAGTGGAAGAGGCCAGCTGTGGATCACTTGTCCAGCACTCTCTGAGAATTCACCACCGCCTCAAATTCGTGTTAGTGCCAGTTGGAAACCTTTGGCAATTGATGAAGAAGCTAGTGCCAAGGTTATAACTCCTGCACCAGTCGGTGGTATTCGTATCCACTTGAGAGGAGCTAAGGGATTGAAAAACTTGGAGTCTGTTGGGTACGTTGATCCATATGTCAGAGTGATTATGAATGGTAAGTTGAGAGGTAAGACTGTTACTTTTGCAGAAACTGTCAACCCGCAATGGAATGCAGTTTACTTTTTGCCAGTTTCAAACCCACATCTGCACTACTTGTTGGAGATTATGGATGCAGAGCCTGAGGGTAAAGACAGGACCTTGGGTACTGCCGCAATCAATGCTGCTGACTTTTTGAGAAAGAATGCTGAAGGTTATTTCCTTGGCTATGATGGTGCTGAAGAGATTATTGAGCAACCCGTGTTGTTTGAAGGTGAGCCCTGTGGAACGCTTTTCTATTCTGTTTCCTTTTTCCCTACCATCAATGCTTACTCTTTGTCAGAATTGCATAATTTGGACGAATATGAAGAGCAAAAGCGTTTGAAGGAAAAACGCGAGGAAGAGCAGTACAAGAAAGATGAAGAAACTTTCAAGAACAACCCTGGACAGTATGAGTGGATTGAGACTGAGGAAGATGCTATTGCCGAACCACCAAAGATTAAGCTCAAGTTGGCAGATGCTGTTAAATACAGGGCTGGTGATATGGCGGTGCATCTTCTTGGTGGTAAGTTCCACAAGAATGATGTGTTTGTGCAAACGATTTTTGATGAGCATGCGTATCCATCGGGTGTTTCTCCAAAGGTTGAGAATAGACAAATAGTTACAAAGTCCACCGGGGAAACTTTTATTAGAGATTTGCCCAATTCCAAGGTTATCTTTAGAATCACAAAGAAGGTGGAGGTGACCCAAAAGAAGGACATTTTGGTTGAGAAGACCTTTGATACGATTGATCTTTACGAAAAGTCTTTTAAGAAACCAATCACACTTCAAATTGGGCCCAAAGATTCTATTAAAGTTCAGCTCGAGTACATTCCATCGATTGCCAAGTTGGCCCCATTAGACACCATTTTGGATGTTGGTATTTGCAAATTGGAAATCATTGGCGCTAAAAACTTACCTTCAGTTGATAGCAATGGTAAATCAGATCCATTGTGTGTTGTTAAATTGGACGGTATTGAGGTGTTCAAGACCGACAAGAAGCGTAGAACTTTGGACCCACTTTGGAATGAGGCTGTTGATTTCCCTATGATTTCAAGATCAAGACAAGTTTTGCTTGTTGAAGTGTATGATTGGGATCTCACACACGACTTGGAATTGTTGGGTATGGCCAATCTCGATTTGTCCAACATTCCAGCGTTGACAACCACCCCCTTCACAGTCAACTTGGACACACAAGGAACACTTGATTTGAGAGCAACTTTCTTCCCAGAATACGTCAGACCACCTGTTGAATCCAAGGAAGCAATCCCTGTTGATCTTAGCATGGTGCATCAAACTTCGATGAAGGCAGTAGGAAATGTTGCTGATTTTGCAACTGGCGCTGTTGGTACAGGTCTTGGTGCCGGTGCTGATGTTCTTGGTAAAGGTGACAGGTTTTTCAAAGGCTTGCGAGGAAGTAGGAAATCTAAGAAGGATGGTGATCTGGCTAGTAAGGCTGATGACGACAAGTCAGTTGCTCCAAGTCAAACTGGGGAAAGTGAACGCAGCGGTGTCAAGAGTGATAAATCACAGAAGCAACAAGATGATGGACAGGAAGGAGGACAAGAAGATATTCCGGAAGAGGAGAAAGAATTCAGAGAAGCTCAAGATGCAGAGATCTCAAGTGTTATTGCCGCACCAAACATTCGTGAAGAACCATTACCTCCACCACAAAAGCCAATTCTTGGACACAGTAGGAATGTTAGTAGTGCTACAGAGGCTTCTAGCTTGAATGGCCAAGGTGCAATCCCTGGTAGACTTACAATTGTGGAGGCAAAGGGTTACAATAATCCAACCTTGGATGTCAAGGCTGTGTTGAAAACCTCTACCAAGGAGAAGACATTGTTGAAAACTAGAGACGCTAAACATGATAAGCATACAAATTCGTACAAATGGAGCGAAAGTGTACCATTTAAGGCAGCTCCTACAGCACAGTTGATTCTTACCGTCAGGCAGTCCCATACTTTTGGAAAGAATGAGACTGTCGCAGAAGCGGTGGTCAATTTAAGTCATTACATCAATGTCAATGAGAACATCTCCATTCCTACGGGACATGGAGAAGTTGTAATTAATTTGAAATACTTTACTTAAGTAGTTTATTTTGTGTGCAAGTATAATAATTTGAGTTTCAGTAAGGGATCAATTGTATAATTAAGATTCTTTGAAAAGTAGAGAGCAAGCAATGACAAGTGTATTAATAGTTGAATTTGAGGTGTGTCGCAACAATTTCCATTGATATTTATGCAAAAATCAATGCAATTTATAGACTAAGCTAATCTTCAACAACAAAGTTTTACTTTACAGAGATAAGACTGTACTTGCGGCCTGCACAATCCTTGTAACTAGTATTCTCTCACATCTGGCACGGAATGAGAACCGAACTTCATTTTATTGTGCTGTTGAGAGAATGAATTCCTAACTGAGCTGACTATTGGGCCAAAAGCCCGCCAGTGGACAACATTTGAAGATACCCAGGCGGTATTTTAGACTCGTAACAATCCCAACAGCACTAGTTTGCCTCTCACAACCGAGTTTTACGAGGTTTCCTAAAAACTTACTTGCATGGTCGGTTGCAAAAATTGTATTAGGGCTTAGCCCTACTGGTGTCATGACTTGTTTCTCACATAACACAAACAATTTCATTTTATTTTTTTCTCGTTCAAACCGCGGGCACACTCGCGCGAGAAAGAATAGTCTCTCATGGGTATCTCGTCCCAGCGGCAAGGTTTTTTCCCTCCCTCTGTCGTGTGCGCCTGATTGAGCTATACACTCTTGCACTGTTCGACCCTTTTTGTAATTTTTTTTTTTTTCTTTCTTTCTTTCCAAGGTGAATCCATTTACAGAAGAAAAAAAAAAAAAAATTTCGAAATAGTCTACCATAGTGTTTCCCAATATCATACATTCATCAAGATCAAAAATGAGTTCAGCAGTATGTTTACAAGGTCCTATATGGACGCAATGGAGAGTCTGGGATATGCCACCTGGGAAGAATTCGTTGTTTGGTAACAACGACTAGGGAGAGCTTTATGTTATACATATTTCACCAAGGAGTGGAAGTGCACATATATGAGGGAAAGACCAAGAAGTTCCTGTTACGTCAGCAAGCGAGTATAACCTTAACCGTCACCCCATGTTGTGTTGCTGATTCTCAGAAGATGCACCCCCCAGAAGTCCAAGCCATATCTGTTTAATCTGTATACTAACATTTCATAATCTAGGCACCAAAGTGGTATCAATCTCAAGACGCTGCCGTCCCAAAGCAAACTAGAAAGACTTCTCGTCCACAAAAATTGCGTGCCTCATTAGTCCCAGGTACTGTTTTGATTTTGTTGGCCGGAAGATTCAGAGGAAAGAGAGTTGTATACTTGAAGAACTTGGAAGACAACACTTTGTTGGTCTCAGGTCCATTCAAGGTCAACGGTGTTCCATTGAGAAGAGTCAATGCTAGATACGTCATTGCTACTTCCACCAAGGTAAATGTCGAAGGTGTTGATGTTTCGAAATTCAACGTTGAATACTTTGCCAGAGAACAAAAGCCAAAATCCAAGAAATCTGAAGCTGAATTCTTTGACGAAGCTCCAGCCAAGAAGGAGATCAAATCAGAAAGAGTTGCTGACCAAAAGACCGTTGACGCTGCCTTGTTGTCAGAAATCAAAAAGACCCCATTGTTGAAACAATACTTGGCCGCTTCTTTCTCTTTGAAGAACGGTGACAAACCACACTTGTTGAAATTTTAAATTGAAAAAAAAAATAAACTTACATGGAGGGGTTTTTTACGATAGAAGGGTATCATGAGCTGTATACGTTTTGTCAGAGAATGAAAAATGTATAGAGGTCATATTTTGGAAATACTGTATTTTAGTTACAATTTATCCAATAAACGGATTCATTTAATGTAATATGTGTGCTGTAGGTTACTCTGTAGTCTGTGTACAAGAGGAGTTTTGGAGTTTATCGTGGTGTCGTGGTCTTTTGCATGGAGGAGGTAGTCACAGATGCAAGGGGGGAGGGGGTGGGCCCACGTGAATGCTGGCTAAAGATGCGAGAGATTCTATGAATTTCCATCGCATCATCTGAAAAAAAAAAATTGAAAGGCATCACAGAATTTCGGCATCACCCCATCAGATATTGAGAGAAATTTTAGACACTATACCATGTCACAATTAACTCCTATTGCTACTTATAACTTGGCACTTATGCCATTCCAGCCACTTCCAGCTATTGAAGAGGATTTCCCAGTAACTATTAGGCTTACTTTGGCTTCTTTGGACCCAGAAGCAGTGGATGATAATGCAGAACCTTCTACATTGAGAATATTGAAAAAGACAGTTTTTGGCGATGATGAAGATGAAGATGAAGATGATGAAGATGATGAAGATGATGAAGATGAAGAGGAGGACGAGGAGGACGAATTAGATGACGAAGAGGAGTCCACCAAGAAATCAAATGGTTCGAAGGATGATGAAGATGAGGAAGACGAGGAAGATGAAGATGTTGAGGGTGATGTTGAGGGTGATGATGATGACGAAGACGAAGACGACTTGGACGAAGACATTTCTGAGTTTGTTGTTTGTACTTTGTCCCCTAAACATCAATACCAACAAACCCTTGACCTCACCATTACTCCAGACGAGGAAGTGTACTTTGTAGTCACAGGATCGTACCCAATTCATTTGACTGGTAACTATATCGAGCACCCAGCTGACGAAAGTGACGAAGAGGATGAGGAGTATGGTGATTACGATGATGAATATGACTTGTCCCCTGATGAGGATGAGATTATCCATGGAATTGATTTGAACGAGGATTACGATGACGAAGAAGAAGACGACGACGACGACGAATACGATAGAGAAGAGTCTGCAGAGCCAGGAAAGATTCAGGAAATACAGGACGAAGAGGAAGCTACTGCCAATGGTGAGCAAGCCTCCAAGAAAAGAGCTTTGCCTGAGGAAGAGTCAAAAAAGTCAAAGAAGGCAAAGAAGAATGCCGCAAAGAAAGAAGAAAAGAAGTCTGTTCAATTCTCTGAGAAATTGGAACAAGGCCCCACCGGGTCCACCTTGGCTAACGAAACAAAGGAAAAGAAGGATGCAGGATCTGATAAATCCACCAAAGACAAGAAGTACCCAACAAAGACATTGTTAGGAGGTGTCATCACCGAGGACAGAAAAACTGGTTCTGGCCCCACTGCAAAATCTGGAAACAAGGTTGGTATTAGATACATTGGAAAGTTGAAAAATGGTAAGGTTTTTGACAAAAACACATCAGGCAAACCGTTCAGTTTCAAATTGGGTAAAGGCGAATGTATCAAGGGGTTTGATCTCGGAGTTACAGGTATGAGTGTGGGAGGTGAAAGAAGGGTTGTCATTCCCGCCAAAATGGGTTACGGATCTCAAGCTTTGCCAGGAATCCCGGCCAATTCAGAGTTGACTTTCGATATCAAATTAGTCTCTTTGAAATAGACACGAGTTTAGAAGAGTAGTGATAAAATCTTAGTTTTTGTAAAATTTGTTATGTTTTTAAATGTCGCCGTAATCGATCACTTTCTTTATAACTAGGCTGAGGGTTACTTTGAAAACACTCCCTATTATAGCCATTTCACTACTTTCTTCCCACTAGTTTTTGCTATCTAATCAACACATCCCCTTCAGCTTTGCTATTATCATTTGTTAACGCTATACGAGCAACGAATCTAGAGTGTCACCAGTATTGAGTTCACATCTCAGAGTAATATCGGGACGAATACGGGTACCACGACCAAGGCAGTCACAACGACCATTTTTCAACCACTGCGTATAATAAATTCAACTCCACCCGCACAACTACAACTCTCCGCAGACCAAAAAGATCAAAACCTAAACGAGGGACAGACACGTATTGAAAAAAATTAAAACGGGAAAAAGAGAAAAAAAAAGAGAGAACAAAAAAAAAAATAAAAAAGAGAGAAGTCGTTTATTTTTGTTGAGAAGAGAGAGGACCTGAAATTTAAAGAACAACCCTCCCACACTAAGCTCGGGCCTACAACATGCTACATTTCTTACAACAGGTCACTGGAGACTTGGCCAGGGCGGCAGCTCATAAACCTATTCATTTCATAGTTGTACCGGCATTGTTAGCCTCAATTGCATACTTGTCGATTATCGATGATTATATCCCTGACTTGTCATCGATCACTAATGAGAATGGACTCAGCTATTACCATGCACCAGGATCGGGACTGAAGGTGACAGATTGGATACCGGTATCACCTGCAGAATTGGACACTGAATACCAGAGTGCTAGCCATTTCACTTTGGTACCATTGAGGTTCAGAAGGTTCCACAACTCGATTCCAAGAGTTCCAGGTTCGATTGTGATTAGCGGGAATGAACAGGCCATTCTCGTGGACTCAAACAAAGTAGAAAGTGTATTACAGAGTACCAATAGGATTGACAACGATGGGATCCTGTGGAAGGTAAGGAACGATCACAAAATCGCTCGATTTTATGACAGTCTAAAGTATGTGATCTTCAAGGTTCAGGAGTCAATCAAAAAAGCTGACCGGTTTGATGTTGTGTTGATCTTTGTTGCTTACTTGGCAATGTGGTACACGTTGTTAAAGGTGTTTTATGACATGAAGCAGATTGGCTCCCAATTCTGGTTGGCTTTTTCCACTTTGGTATCATCAACATTTGCGTTTTTATTTGCATTGGTGGTTTCAAACAAGGTCCTCCAAACAAAAGTGTCATTTGTGAGTCTCTCGGAGGGTGTTCCATTTCTTGTTGCCATTATCGGGTTCAAACACAAGGTTTCCATTGCGGGGTTCGTTCTGAAATCGGCCACCGTATCTCCAGATGACGTGCCAAATATTGTTTCCCAAGCGGTATCATCACATACGTTAAGCATGTTCCGCGACCACATTGTTGTCATTGGAGCCATGCTTGCTTGCGCTGCTTATGGGAATCATCTTACCGGATTGAGGAACTTTTGCATCCTTGCCTCGTTGATACTAGCATTTGACTTGCTCTTGGTTTGCACATTTTTTTCAGCAATTTTAGGGTTGAAAATTGAAATCAACAGGGCTCGCAGAACGGATGATTTGAAGGAGGCGTTGGAAGAGGATGGAATTTCTTCATTGGTTGCAGCTAGAGTCGCAGAACAGTCGTCATCTATTGAGCACCCGAATGAAACGAATTTCTTTTCTTCAAAAGATTACTCAATCCTTTCATTCAAAGTTGCTATGAGTTTAGGTTTTGTTGCATTTCATGTGTTTTGGTTGGGAAGCTCGTGGTTGTACAATACCTCTGATGCTGGCATTGACTTTAACGCATTCAGCTCCATTTTAAGAGCATCGCCGGCTGTAACCGAATCATTAACCAATGAGATATCAATTGGAAAATATGGCACTGTTTTGACCATTCTTCCAACCAGATTTTACATGCCATCGGGTTTTGCAGCTCAGGTGGAGGATTTTATTTATTCAACTTTGAGTAAAATCAGTGTTGCTATACAAGATAGATTGTTGTCAAAGGTTTTGGCGTTCTGTTTTGGGGTGTCATTGGTCACAAACATATACTTTCTCAATGCTGCAAGATACCAAGTTAGTGCCACTTATAAGTTACTTGATAAGGAGATATCACGCCCGCAAGCTCGCGCATCAGTGTCTGAACCCGTTACAACTACAGTTGCTCAGATTGAGTCAGTTGAAGACGTGGAGGAAGTTGGTCAACCAGGCACTCAGTTGCCACTTGAGGAATGTGTTAAGGTATTGAAAGAGGGCAACGTCAAAAACTTGAATAACGAGGAAGTCACTTCCTTGGTTGTGGGAGGTAAGCTTCCCCTATACGCATTGGAGAAGCAATTGGCAAGCAACAAAAGGGCAGTCGTTGTGCGTCGTAAAGCAATTGCCAAGTTGGCGAATGCACCTGTGTTGGAAACGAATCGTTTGCCTTATGCGCACTACGACTATGACAGAGTATTCGGAGCATGCTGTGAAAATGTTATTGGCTATATGCCAATTCCAGTTGGTGTAGCAGGACCATTGATTATCGATGGTAAGCCATTCCACATTCCAATGGCCACAACCGAAGGGTGTCTTGTTGCTTCAACCATGCGTGGTTGCAAAGCTATCAATGCAGGTGGCGGTGTAGAGACTGTATTGACAAAAGATGGAATGACGCGTGGTCCTTGTGTTAGGTTCCCCACACTCTCCAGAGCTGGATCAGCCAAATTATGGATTGATTCAGAAGAAGGACAAAAAACAATCAAAAAAGCGTTCAATTCAACCTCAAGGTTTGCTCGTTTGCAGCATATCCAGACTTCTTTAGCCGGCTGCTTATTATTCATACGTTTTAGAACCACGACTGGTGATGCCATGGGAATGAATATGATATCCAAAGGTGTTGAATACTCTTTGAAGTACATGGTTGAGGAATGTGGTTACGAGGATATGGAAATTATATCCGTTTCAGGAAACTATTGTTCTGATAAAAAGCCAGCAGCGATAAACTGGCTCGAAGGTAGAGGTAAGTCAATAGTGGCTGAAGCCACTATACCAGCTGATGTTGTTACCAAAGTTTTGAAATCGGACGTGGATGCATTGGTGGAGTTGAATATAAGTAAGAATTTGGTTGGTTCTGCCATGGCAGGATCTGTTGGTGGTTTCAATGCACATGCGTCGAACTTGGTCACTGCTGTATTCTTGGCATGTGGTCAAGATCCAGCGCAGAATGTCGAGAGTTCCAACTGTATTACCTTGATGAACAAGAACAAGGAAACTGGTGATTTACAAATCTCTGTCAGTATGCCGTCTATAGAAGTGGGTACGATTGGTGGAGGTACTATTTTGGAACCACAAGGTGCAATGTTGGACTTATTGGGAGTACGTGGTCCACATCCAACCAATCCGGGCGACAATGCCAGACAATTGGCTAAAATTGTTGCTTCGGCGGTGTTGGCAGCGGAGCTTTCTCTTTGCTCGGCACTTGCAGCTGGCCATTTAGTTCAGTCGCACATGCAACACAACAGGGCAGGCGCATCGACCACTACCTCAACAGCAACCACAAGTGCTCATCTGAATGGAAATGTCAAAGAGTCAGATTTAAAAAGATTGAAAGAGGGCTCGGTCACTTGTATAAAGTCGTGAAGCTAAAAAAAAAAAAAAAAAAAACAGAAAAAAGTAATGTAGATGAAAGGTTTTCTTTTTGTTGCATTTTCGAGGTTCTTTATAAGGCTTGAAAGATTAGATGTCGACTCTATATCGAAGATTCTGTAGAGTGCTCTAGTTGTGTAGTTAGTACGTCAAATCCCCAACTGTGGTTTCCTTAGTCATGCCGAGGGAGAAAAACAAAAAACAAAAAACAAAAAAAAAATAAAATAAACAATTTGATGAATCACAGTCTCCATAATCCAAGCTATGCCGTCACAAGAAGTGGGAGTTCCCATACCCAATGTGCCTCATGCGGTGTCTGTAACGTTACCTACGTGGGAAGCCACTGTTGGTTATGAAGAAGGCGAGGACTGGGTCACCAGCAAGATGAGCTCGGGGTACCCAAGATTTTTCATTCATCAAATAATTCAAAAATTGTGCCGGAAACTAGAAGCAAAGTATGGTCGTGAGGGGGAAGCGTGTCTTGTGTTTCCGAGCTACAAGGTTGCAAAGAGATGCCGTCAATTTATCAAAGAAAAGTACGAAGGCGATGCGCATGTTAGAGTCTTACAGTTGAGCACAAGTGAACCTGTGAATGATTACGAGCGATTGACAAAAGTGGGTACAACAATTGGCGTTGTGTTTTTCCCAAAAGCTTTGTTCCCGTTGGCCAAGAATTACTGGCAGCATTCAGGGGAGGTTATGAGTTCAAGAATGGCAGAGTATGTGTTGAAAGAGTTGTTTGAAAATGATAAAAATTTGCAAGGCTTGAAGGGTAACTGGAAACAAGCATTGCAAGCGCAAAAGATTCAATCCAGATCGCCATCGATTACAGCATCTCGGGCTAGTGGGCGTAGCTCTGACAGTCAAGTGAATGAGGAAGTAGAAAAGGAGTTCAACACCTTTATCGAACAGAAATATGGACGTGTTTTGGATTTCAAATTTGCCAAGGAGGCAAAAAGCGCATTGAAGAGACGGATTTGTGGGAAAGTGGACAAAGATCAAGATCCAGAGTTGGAGAATATCGAGCACCTGAAGAGAGGAAAGCATTTGACCCCATCGGATGTGTACTTGTGTCCGTCTGGTATGGCTTCGATTTTCTTTGCCCATCATGCATTGTTGAATATTTCCCAAGCACCGGGAATTTCTGTGTGCTTTGGTTTTCCCTACACTGATACGTTGAGCATTTTGAAGAAATTCGGACCTGGTGTCAAGTTTTTGGGAATGGGAGATGACGAGTCTTTGAACCAATTGGAAAAAGAATTGAAAGATGGGTTGAAGATTATGGCATTGTTTTGTGAGTGTCCCTCCAATCCATTGTTGAAAACTCCAAACTTGAAAAGGATAAAAGAGTTGGGAGACGAGTATGATTTTGCTATTGTTGTTGATGAAACTGTGGGGAACTTTATAAATATTCACGTTTTACCGTACGCTGATATGGTTGCATCCTCATTGACAAAAGTGTTTTCAGGCGACTCAAACGTATTGGCAGGGTCACTCATTTTGAATCCATCATCGAGGTACTATTCGAAGTTGAAGCAGTTTTTTGATGCGGAGTACGAGGACTTATTTTGGGATGAGGATGCATTGTGGTTGGAGCGTAATTCAAGAGACTTTGTTGATCGTGTTCGTATCATTGATGCAACGACAGAAAAAGTGGTTGGTTTACTTGTAAAGAATCCCAAGATTGCTCGAGTTTACTATCCCACTATCGGTCCTTCAAAGAAGTACTATGACGAAATCAAGAACGAAAATGGTGGCTACGGAGGTTTGGTGTCGTTTTTATTCCACAAGCCTGAAGACGCTGTTTCCTTTTTTAACAAGGTTGATCTTCACAAGGGACCTTCCTTGGGTACGAATTTCACATTGGCTTGTCCTTATGCAATTCTCGCCCATTACCAAGAGTTGGACGAAATAGCTCAATGGGGAGTCGACAGAAATTTGATTAGAGTTAGCATTGGATTGGAAGATCCGGATGATTTATTAAAAAGGTTTCAAGATGCGTTAGATTAGTAAGCTCTGTATAGATAATAAAAATCTTTGAAACGGGTAAATTACGTATGCCCTGGGAATTTAACGTGCATGCACGGGCTTGGTGGGTCCTCACTAAGGAAATCAAATGTCAAGTCAACTTTCCCCACGTACCAGTAATCACGATGGGTTTCAAAATATTCTTGCCATCCCCTGATATCCTTTTGACACTCCTCTTTGTCCAATCCCCTTAAATCGTACGTGTATTCGTCAGGTTTCATGAAGCATCCCGTGACAAATACTCGGGCTGCGTCTTTGCCGACTAAGTTGTGATACGATCCCTTTGGGCCGTAAACGGCTCTATTCGACGACACATCGTATACACTACCATTTATTGCAAGTAGTATTGCCCCATTGTTTTCACCTGTGTATGTAGACAATTGGCTCAAACTGAGATGTTTATTGGGTTCTAATATCTTGTGGTGCCAAAACCTCCAATTGATATACTTGCCGTGGTATCCCCAAGTTGAGGTAGATGTAAACCAGTATGATAACACAGCATTGAAAAATAAGATGCCGCCAATTATACGAACGATGTCAAGGACATTGAAGTTCTCTCGTGCCATGAAATCTTGAACATCTACGCTGTGAGTGAATTTTTTTTTTTTTTTTTTTTTTCTTTATTTTCCAATTTACGCGTTTTCGAACTTGTCTACTCTATTAAAATGTCTAACCAAAAAAGACCTCGTCTTGCATCTGATTCCAATGGGCATTGTTACTGCTGAAATTTATTCTATCAGTAGAGTCTGTGCTCAACAAATTTGACCAGAATTCATCATTCAATACCATATATGAGTTTTCAAGTTGATCTGGGTTGGCGAGATTTGGATTGAAATTGTGGGGCTGAGGATTGTTGCCATTGTTGTTGAATACACTCTGACCCGTGTTTCCGATACCCAGAGCATTCGACAACAGGGGGATTCTAAACTGTCTGTAGTCAAAACTGCCCGGCGAGAGCCCTGTGTGCTGCTGCGTAGCATTAGGTTCAAAAGGATTGGTGGTTGATGAAGTGGCGACCGGTCCAACGCTAGAGTTTATCCCTGTGTCGGCGCTTGGCACGTGATTCAAAAAAGATTGATGTTGTAGCTGTTGCGAGGGTTGAATGACAGGTAGTTGCAAAGGCTGAAACGGGATTGAAGATGGCGGTGGTGACGTTACTTGGTTGACCGGGGTATTGCCAGCAGATGTAAAAGGTACTTGTGACCCAATTGGCTGGGGAACCATAGTTTGGGGAGTGCCTGGGTTTTCCTTTGACTCAGAAACCGTTCTTGGACGGTCACTTGGATTTCCTTCGCGTCGATATGATGCAGCAAAAGAAAGAATGTCCAATGGAACACTGTGTGCCTCGTCTCTCGTTAGGCTCAGTCTACCCCTCGAATCTTCAAAATTGGATGTGACTCGATTTAACTCCACCGTTTCTCGGTTATTGGGTTTGAAATTTTGCGGTGTTTCGCCATTCTTGCGAATCAAATCATGCACTTGTGTAGCATACGTTTGGATAAACAACTGCAAAACCAATCTTGTCTTTTTCAACAAGTGGTTCGTTGGGTGCTGATTATGTGCCTGTTCCACCAAGTTGCTCACTCTTTGAATACAAACAACTGCGTCACGGGGGACCAAGTCCTTCTCGATATGTGATGGAAGCGACAAGATTAAGAACCTCAACCTAAGCAACATCCCACCGGTATACATCACCCTTGACCCAAACGACAATGGCATTTGCGCAATTTGATCCGAGCTCAACTTGTTATACTCATTCAATGCTGCGAGACAAGAGTTGGTGCAATTTGAAATGGCCTTGACTGCAGCTGCGCTCAATTGCGACTCCTCTGGCTTGAAAATGTAGCTCAAATTGGGCTCATGCAAGTATGCTTCGACAGAATATAGATACGACAAGAAAACATGGTCATCATCATCGATTTTCTTTCTCAATTCGCTCAATTGACGCTGCAACTCCTGAATCATATACTGGGAACTGGAAATTCTTCTATCACTAACTTCAGGTGAATGAATAATATGATGTATTTTCTCCAATGCGGCGTTTATCCTGGCAAACAAGGCCAATTTTCGGTACTTCATCTCCGGGGAATTTTCAAGAGCTACACAACACTCTTCAACATATGGTGTCCACTTGATATATATAGCTCTTCTAAGTATGAGGCAAATGCTGACCGTACTGAAATATATGATCAACACTAGCGACTTGTACTCATCGCTGGTTTTCTGCTCCGGATTCTTTTTCAATGAACCGTCATTATTGTCAAATGAATACGAGGGTCTCGCGACTATTCCCAAATCGTGTAAAAGAGAAACACAAATGTTATTTAGCAAATGGTATCGGCGTTGTCGGAACAATTCTGGTGAATTGTAATACAATGTCAAAACTAACATGCTCTTTATCAACTCCACCGTCTTTTTACCCACAACCATTACTTCATCACAAACAGACCTAATCGCTTCATTGTCCACGAGTAGGGCATGGTCAATCTCTGACTGGGTCAGCGTGGTATCGACTACGTTACTTGCTGCCATCACTGCATTGAACAAAAACGGTTGCTCCTTGCGTAAAGTATCTGCGGTCGCATCGGCTGGGACGTCTATGAAGGGCAAAAATGAAAGGATTCTGCTTCTGTACAACTGTAGTCTTCTCTCTGCTTCCGGCAAGGTTAAAAACCCCTTGGAAACAACGTCTGGTACGACATCGCTTTTCAACATTCTTGTTCTTTTGTTTGCCAAGTTGTTGAGCTCATTTGTTAAATCAGTCAACTTTGACGACGTTTCAGCCAAAGTTGTTATTTCTTGTTCGAGGTCCGACTTGGAAACAAATGGGGGAGAAAACATTTCTAAAGAAGATTCTGGTTGAAAATCGGAATGTGTTTTTCTATGAAAATGATTCCTATGGTTCAATTGCGTCTCTAATGTGAGGATTCTTTGTTTCAAAGCAGCGATCTCTTCGTCCTTCAGTAAATGGGGTGATGACAAATTTGGTTGACTATTAGCACCATCGCTTGTTGATTTTGTTGGAGATGAATTTTGCGAACGAGGGTTTGCTGGGTTCAAGTTGCTAGATATGGGCGGCACAGTCGAGTTATGATTGCGATTTTGAGACGCGTGTACTGGAGAATTAGCTGATGTTGTTTTGGGGTTGGCTTTACCTCTCTTGTGTGATGATTTTTCAGAGTTGGTGGGAGCTCCAGCAGCTGCAACACGATCGTCACCTTCCTCCTTAAGCTTTTCTTCTGCTTCTCTTCTCTTTGCCTCAAGAATCTCGGACTTTTTTCTGCGTTTTCTTGTTTGGTTGAGATCTATTTCACACCTTCTGTTGGCGTTGACACATCTAATACAGGGCTTACTTGGGTCCTCGGGGTCAGACGGGGTGCATTTAACCTTCAATGCGTGACAACTTTTACAAGCAATTGACCTTCTTGTCACCTTCGTTCTTTTATTTGACTGTTGGGATTGAGGCAGGTCTGAGCCATATTCGTGATCTTGATCAAGATCGTCCTCATACTCGGATCCCTGACGTTGCAGTCTCCTCCTATTCTCCAATGGGGATGAAACCCCACTGTCATTCTCCTCGTGCGTGATATGAGAAATGCCGACTCTGTTGTCTCTGCTTATGCTGCCAGGCTGTGGCGAAGATGATGTATAGTCAACCGATCCTTCGGCGTTGTTGCTTGTAACCGACATTGTGTAAAAAAAAATAAAACAAAGACAAAAATAAAAAAAATTAAGCCAATTAAAATGAAGAGGTACACGGCTGAAAACCGGCTGGGAAATGGGAGACTTGGTTTGGTGGGTTTGAGTGGCAGAAATAATGGGCGGTGGTTACAGTTGGTAAGTGGTAAAGATTGGTAGAGCGAGCCTGGAGAATTGTGGTATATCTTCAGTGCGAAATGATTGTTGATGTTTCGTGATATCCAGTTAAAATAGCTCTTGTGTTTTTTTTTGTTTTTTTTTTTTGCTCTCTCTCTCTCTTTTATTTTTTTTTTCTTTGAGGTTTTGTTTTGTTTTGTTTTGTTGGATGGTTGGTTGGTTGGTGACGGTGGGTGGTGATTTTGTTGATTGCACGTGAAGAAAATTGTTGAATCTACATATATAACGTTATATGGTCAATTACATGACACTTTCCACTAGGAAGGAAATTTCAAATGAGGTAAAAAGATCGTTCAACTAAGAACTTGCCAACAACTGTACATCTGTCATTGTGATTACAGCTTCAACAGGTGACGTGGGTGTATTGGAAACAACTGCAACCAACGTACAAGCAATTGAGAGATCTAGAGGGTTCAGTCAACATGTGGTGAAGGGGAGATATCTAAAAGAACTAACTCTAGTGTCGACAATTGCCCGAGATTTTACCATGCCTGTTTGATGAAAAGGGCAACAGTGTCTTGAAGATCTGGTCAAACTTCAATCCGCCCATTCTCTTTTACATCGACACGGCAAACTCCCGTCATATCCCTCCTTCTCTCGTAACTGTATTGCTGACGTGTTGTTACTGCCATATTTATGGTAGCGTCGTGTTTAGTTTGTTTTTTTTTCGATAATTTCTCCTGTCAATAGTGTAAAATGATTGACCTGACCCACAAGAGTAAAACGACACATAACGTGAGAAATTACCGCTTATATTAGTACAATCTCGTCTTGGAACCTGTATTTATGGTCCTTACTTTACCATTGATACCCAAATTTATATCTCATAGGTCTAACATAACCACACAATAAACCCAATTTTGATGTCTTTGAATTTCGGTATCAGCAATATCTCGAAAGGCAATCACGATTCATACAAGGACAAACCGGTGTCTAAATCACTTCCACTATACTACAAAGATAAATCGCCCTTCCATCCAAGAAATCCGCACAGCAAACGAAAACAGAAGGTTTTTATGTTATTAAAAGGCTTCATTTATTCGCTAGGCTTGTATATTGTCTACTACCTAGCTAGAAATCATTTATTTCTGTCGTCAGACTCGTCACATGTGTTTCAAATATTCAATTCAGGGACACCGTCATGGAAAACTGCGCAACTGGAAGTTCGACAGGCAATGTTGGAGTCCTGGCATTCGTATGAAAAGTATGCTTGGGGGTATGATGTGTACCATCCTATCAAAGAACAAGGTGAAAACATGGGTCCACAACCTTTGGGTTGGATGATTGTTGACTCGATAGATACATTAATGATAATGGATTGCAAAGAAGAAGTTGAGAGAGCTAGAAAATGGATAAAAGATGATTTGGATTATAAATTTGACTACGCGGTGAATACTTTTGAAACCACCATAAGAATGTTGGGAGGCTTGCTATCGGCATTCCACTTGAGTGGGAATGATGATGTTTATCTTGATAAAGCTGTTGGTTTGGCCAATTCCTTACATGGTGTGTATGACAGTGCCACTGGCATTCCATACTCCTCAGTTAACTTGAAATCCGGCGTTGGCATTAAAAACCACATGGACGGCGGTGCGTCTTCTACAGCTGAAGCTGCCACAGTGCAATTGGAATTAAAGTATTTAGCCAAATTGACTGGGGAAGTGAATTGGTGGGAAAAAGCGGAAAAGGTTATGCAAGTTCTTGAAGCAAATAAGCCACAAGATGGGTTAGTGCCTATTTATGTCAATCCAGATACCGGGAAATATCAGGGCAACCTAATAAGGTTGGGTAGTCGTGGGGATTCTTACTATGAGTACCTTTTGAAGCAATATTTGCAAACAAGCGAGGAGGAACCCCTATATTATGACTTGTATCGTGAGTCTGTTGAAGGAGTTAAGAATCGCCTAGTGAGAAAATCTTTCCCCAATGAATTGACTTTTATTGGTGAATTGGATAAGGGTATTGGCGGCCCGTTTTCACCTAAAATGGATCATTTGGTATGCTTTTATGGTGGATTATTAGCTGTAGGAGCAACCAATGGGTTATCACTCGACGAAGCTAAGCAACAAAAGTGGTGGAATGAAGAGAGGGCTCTGGATTTCAAATTTGGAGAGGAATTGACCTACACATGTTATAAGATGTATCATGATGTTGCGCCCACTGGGTTGTCTCCGGAAATTGTTGTTTTCAACGAAGACACCACAAAGGAACATGACTTTAAAATAAAACCATTGGACAGGCATAACTTGCAGCGTCCAGAAACTGTTGAGTCGCTATTCTATCTTTACAGATTGACTGGGGATGCCAAATATCGTCGATGGGGTTATGAGATTTTCCAAAACTTTGTCAAATACACAAAGGTGGTAAATAAGCACGGCGAGGTTAGTTTCGCTTCCTTGAGCGATGTTACCAGCTTGAATTCAGACGGCTCGCCAAAGTACAAGGACAACACAGAAAGTTTTTGGTTTGCGGAAACCTTGAAATACTTGTACTTGCTCTTTGACGATGAGAACAAACTTCCATTAACAGAATACGTTTTCAACACCGAGGCCCATCCATTCCCAAAATTCCACACGAATGATCATTTGAAAACAGGCTGGAGAAGGAAGATTGATGAATCAGTCAAGCCAAAAATAAGAGAAAAGCCTGTGAAAGGAGGCGCCAAACCACAAATACCCCAAGCACAGCCTGTCGATGATTCAATTGAGAAGGAAGTAGAAAGCGCTTTAAAGGAGAACCCTAAGTTGGCTAAGGATGATAAAGAGGGAAAGAAGAAGAAGTTGAATGAGCTTGTAAAGGAAATGGAGTAGTGTCGTGTATTTATTGTCTGGTTTTGTTTGTCTGCGACACAGATGAGAATAAAAAATATTCTTACGTCATCAAACGATTTTTTTAATTCTCATTTTCTCTCTCTCTCTCTTTCTAACCAAAGAGTGGCTAATCTGAAAACAAAAGGAAGACTTGCATAAATCTGTACACGCCTTGTTTTTAAAGTCGATCTATTCTGTTCAACTTCCAAGCTTCAAAACAAGCAAACGGTGTTTCCCGAGTCTGTCTTACCAAAAGCTGTCGTCCCCAGATTCAACTTGATTGTCGTGCTTTCGTCTGTCTTTTTTTTTTTTGTTTTTGGTTTTTTTTTTTCCCTTTTCATTGTTGTTGTCTTTATTTTTTGCCTTAAGTTTTCCGATTCGTTTCCACTTGCGGATTACAAAGCAGAAGCCAACGGACTTACCTCGAGAACAAGATAAAAACATGTCCGGAGATGTACGTATTTACTACACGAGTCTTCTTATTTTCCATTCGGAGCGTACTAACGAGAGATAGTCGAGGTCAAACTTTGATCTAGAGCCGAATCCTTTTGAAAGGTCGTTTGCTACAAAGGACTCTTCATTGTCTTTGAGCACAACCGCAGGTCATCAGTCTCGTCATGAATCTAGCTCCGAGATTGATACTGCTGGAAATAGTTCGGCTTATTCAAACAGTAAAGCCAACTTGGCGTTCACAGGAATACAGGATCCACATGAACAACAAACACATGTACAACAACAACAACAAATTCAGCATCAACCTTTACAAAACCATCACCCAACTAAGTTACCCGGTATAACACCGCCATTGTTTACTCCTGGTGGACGGAGATTGCCACCGTTGGAGCCTACTTCGAACCCCGGCACACCCACAACCAATTTATGGAACAGTTTACTAAGTGCATCAAACGGCAGCACCAACCCCTTGCCTCAGCAAAATGGCCAGTTACATCCAGCACAACAGAGTTACAACCAGTTTGCGTCGCGTAAGACTGGGTTGACTCCAAATGAGTCCAACTTGAGATCCGGTCTAACTCCTGGAGGATTTTCTTTTGGTTTCGGAGGGCAGGTGGGGACTGGCTTGTCAACTCCTGGAGGTCTATTAAATGGGCCCATCACTCCCGGTTTGTCTAGCTTGTTGGGTATCCCATCGGGTAACAATAATATATTGATGGGGATGCCGCATGGGGGTGTACCCAATCCTGGGCCCTCGCAAATGCAACAATCGCAATCAACCCCGTCACAACATCAGTTACAATCGCAAGAACACCCGCAGCTGCAAGTTTTGCAACCTCAAGTACCACATCCAGACACACAACAACAGCAGCAACAGCAACAGCAGCCACATCAGCCACATCAGCTAACACAGTCACTTCCGCAGATAGGAGCATCGCCACCAGTGAACAATCAACAGATAGCTCTAGTCCCACCTTCCGTTTTACCCGAGAATTCGAAATTTCTCCAACAACCTGTTGAGCCTCCTGGTATGGCACTGCAAGAACCACTAACTACACAACAAGAACATCAACGTCCGCTTCCTACACTTACAGAGCCTTCGTCTATACAGCTGGCCCATGCATCCTCTCATCAAGCTTTGCATAGTCTGTCTCAAAACCCGTCACTGGAAGTGCTATCCACAGTCACGAATAGTGCCTCGCCCAACCCCACGAATCCTTCAGTTGCCAGTGACCTCAAAGTGAAATCTGTGGACTTATTGAAAAAGAAAAAGGGAAGAACTGCAGGGGTCAAAAAGCCCCGAGCAACCAAACCGAAGAAGGCCACAGTGAAGGTAAAAGAGGAGCCCGGAGTGGAGAAGAGTGTGAATAGTGACGACAAGGAAAATCACGCCAATGGACCTAGTGAAGCGACAGGAGATGGTGCAAAGAAAACCGAAATGAAGCAAGCAGGCGGCAAAAGAAAAAATTCAACTAATGAAGAAGAAAAGCGGAAGAGTTTTCTCGAGAGAAACAGAGTTGCTGCATCCAAGTGTAGGCAGAGAAAAAAACAGCTTATGCAGAAGATGGAGGACGAGTTGGCTTTCTATTCGAATGGATATAGAGAAACAAGTGCACAAGTTACCGAACTTCGTGCTCATTTGCAAAAAATGACAAGCATACTAATCGCTCATAAGGATTGTCCATCTTTGGCACAGTCGTGTGGTGGGATCGAAGATTTGTCGAGTATCATTCAAGAGGCTGAACATCTTGCCAAGGATACTGTGGAAACTGAGGATCAGGTGAGCTCCATTCCATCAACAATTCCAACAACGCTTCATTGAGAGAACAGAATGCTTGCATCGCACTAGATTTTATACTTCTTGTATACTCTGTTTAATTTACTTAATTTTTTTTTGGCTAAAGATTACCCTTTTGTGTAAAGTGCCCTGTAAGATCTAACATTCCCAACCGCTGATCATCAAACCTGTCGTCGCGTCGTTGTGGAAATAAAAATTAAATTCCACCCCACCCCCTTATTGCATCGCTACCGTGTGTGTTTTTATTTGGGTTGTACGATTTCACATTGCAACATTGACGATTCCCACTGCTATACGTCCTGTTTGTCGTCCCAAAGCATACTATGATAACACAGCATGAACAATTTCGAGACCTCGAACTACCAAGCTTACCTTCAAGTAAGTCGAGAAAAGGAGCCGTCACCGACTCGGGGATCATTCACCAAGACCAGCTTACACGGAAAAACTTGAAATCGGTTCTACATTTGATAACCCAGGAGCTTAAGAAAAGGGGCACGAGGACCCCTCATATATTTTTACCGTTTAGATCAAAGATTAAAGATTATAAATTGAATGAGTTATTACTGCAGCTTGCGCCTGGAGGAGAAATACTTCAAGATGCTACAAAATGCAAACAGATATTACTGACCACTGACGAATTCACTCTTGTTTGTAGTCTCAAATACTTTTGGGCTAGGTTGCCAAATAACGAGATAATTGGATTCAAAGTTTACCACGAGTTTAAAACAAAAGAAGCTGAGCAAAATTATCCTAAAAATGCCTTTTTAACAATCATGCCCAAATGCTTGTCCTCCCCAGCACATGCATCCATAGTTTACGACTTTTTAGATTTGATCTTGAGCATTACGTCAAATGCCCCCTATAACAATCTTAGTGGGAGGAAAATCAGCAAAATGGCTGGTCTATGGGCCTTCAATCCCAAATATTCCACCAGCACGTCCATTTTCTCCGACGACAGCGTTGCAAAAGAGTACGACTTTTCCGAGGGTATCAATAACTGGAAAAAGACAACCGATGCAATGTTTCACTTGGTGTTGGCGTTTCTCAGGGCAATGTTGCCAGAAAACAATGCAGAAACATTGAGATTGCCAAAGACGCTACAACGTTTGCTTGTCACATCTCAGTATCCGCCAGCATCGGGGCGCGACGATTCCAAAAGTATCACCATACCTTGTGTATGCGTCACGACTACAAAACCATCGGCCACTGCGTATGACTTGATTAGCAAGGTACGACAGAGCTTGACTTTTGAAAAAAGGGACATGTTTTCCAAAGAAAACTATACTATATTGAGAAACGTGTTTGAGAAGAAAAGTACGAGCGAGATTGTTGATTCATTTACTGAAGAGTCTAGACGGATTATCGAACGAATCACTGAGAGCCAAGTTGACAACAGTTTTAATTTGAGACCAGGCTGGTCTCATCCCACTATTAGCTCAAAGCTTTCAAAAAGCGATGTGCCTTTGATCTCGCGTATCAATATTAAGGATGTCTCGATCCAAGACTACTATATTTGGGCTTGGTTGTCGTCCCTTGCGAGTGACCAACCACCACAAGTCAAGCAAACATTTGGTAGATCTATTGTTGTTGAAGTGGAGGTTTTGGGTTTTCAAAAATGGATTGTTGTTACAGAAAAGACAATGGATGATGAGACGTATTCGCGAGAACGCAAACTCTTGCAGAAAGAGACAGTGCGCAGGAAGGATGAAAACACGCCTTTGCCACCCATTCCGACTACTTCCCGTTTGAATGAGAAAAAGCTGTTGCCATTGCCACCAGTTGAATTGTCCAATGGACGGAACACTACTAGCAGAGGTGCCTCACCGGAGCCGGTACTACCTCAAGACCTTGTTGATGTTTACGAACGATTTGAGCAGCTGTTTGGGGAGGATGATATTTTTTACCCCAACTCTGTGGATGCGGGAGAATTGATGCGCCAGGAACAGTTGCGTGGCTTAGGTGCCGAGATAAGCGATGTATCATCGAGGTTTACAAAAGTCACTGTGGGTGATATGTATGCTACTAGTAAGAGTGGTGCTCCAACTCGAAAAGCGCCACCGGAGCCAATAGAAGATGGGTTGCCAATTCATCGCTTTCCAGAGAAACCTTCTCCGGCTACTGAGATGCCTGGACTGTTTGAGACTCCAATGGAGCTCAAGCATGAGAACTTGGCTCTGAACGAGCTCAACATTGATGACGTGGTACACGCAACTACCGCTATGAATACCAGACCTGAATCAAATGAGACATTGCCGGTGAAAGAGACACCTTTGAATGAATCCCCCACAAACAAAATCAAGAGCATGTTGCTCGAACAGGATGCCGAGGATAAAAAGAGAAAGAAGAAAGAGAAAAAGCTCAAGAAACAAGTAGAAGCTGTTCAACTCGCAGCGGCCCAAGCTGCTGGATTTGATGGCCCCATTTTGCCACTTGATTTACCTCCTCCTGATATGGGCTCGTGGGACTCGTTGGCACCACCGGAATTGCATGACTCATTGGATCAACCTCAACCACGGCTAACTCCGCTACTTCCCAATAAAAACGCGTTTGTGGATAGTGTTGAGTCCCCCAATGTGGCTGGTAGGAACAAGCCGTTGCCAACTCCCGTGAGTGAATTCAATGGCCGTGACGTAGGATTGGCAAATCAAAGAAGTGGATATTCGGGAAAAACTAATGAGGAGACATACGCAAGTAGGACAATTGATGCTCCATTACCAGAAGAACATGATCAAAATCAAAATGCTGTTGCAGAAACACCTGTTGCGGATCCGGCGCCTTCTCGACAAAAGCGCTATGATCATTTTGACACTCTGCAAACTGCACCTAAACAAGAACCAGCTCAATCAAGACCGATCCTTCCAATTTCAAGAGGAAGGGCGCCATCACCGATGATTACTCTATCCCACGCCAGCCCTCAAATTGGTGATGATGCGTCTCCAATAGTTCGCTCCAACGGTGAGATACCTGCTCTTGAGCGTCGTATAGCCCCCGATGGCTTAGGTCCGCGTTTCGCAGAGACGAATCCTGCTTCAAGTTCCGATATGGTGCATGTGGATAGACCGGGGTTGGTGGAGTATCAGAAACATAACTCCCCGGGACCTTCAATGCACCTGGAACGACTGAGATCACCAATGCCACATATGCTGAATTGGGGAGATAATGGCCAACAGGTGAGGCATTACGCTTCTAGTAGATCGTCTGGGGGCTCCAACCAAGGCCAGCTCCCATCACCCAGATTGGTGAGACCTTCGACGCAGCCAATCCAACAGCCAATCCAACAGCCAATCCAACAGCCAATCCAACAGCCAAGCCAACAGCCAATCCAACAGTATTTTCATCCGCAACATATCCAACAACAACAAATGTACCCTCAAATATACCCCCAGATGTCTCCACAGGTCCCTCAAGCTCCATATTCACAGGCAGTGTATCTGATGTATCCTCCCAATGTGCACCAGGCGGAGTTTCTGGCAGTCCCACATCAGCGTCACATGCAGATGGCTCCTTCTTGGCGTCAGCCTCCTCCGCCGCAAGCAATACCTGGCGGATCTAACCATCATCATGTGGCCAGCAACATGTCCCCACCAGCTTCGATGAACATTGTTCCAGTTGGGGTCAAACACAACAAGAACCGTGCCGCTAACAAAGCCAATTTACGGCACGCATTGATTGATGGAAATTACGGAATATAGGAATAAGACACTTGCATTGTAAATATACAAAGATAAATAAATAAAGAAGTCAGTAAATAAATAGATGAAGAGTTTCCTTGCACATCTCTATTGATCTTTATGCATGCTTTCGATATCATTCAAATAGCAAAGCAAAGTGGCAAGGAAACGTTTAGTTTGGCGGTGTTTTGAGGCAACGCAAAACGAAATTGAATCATCTCTGATAATGTATCCAATACCGAAACCGCTTGCTGACACAGGTCCAAACCCAAAAAGACGCAATGCAGGATTACCACAATTTGAAGTTGATAGGATTGCATCGTTCAACTTATTCCAACCTGCATCAGCAAATATAGGTGGAATTGAACTAACAAATTCTGGTATAGTACCACCATACAGATCATTCAAGACACCTTGTTGGTATTGTTTCAAGAGTCTTGCCCATAAGCAGTGCAACGCATACAAGTGACGATCAACGCCCTCTCCATTCGAAGCCAATCTCGTTTGCGATGAGTGTGCTTTACAAGCTTCTCCAAGTTTTTCCAATTTCTCCTTGTTGGTTGCGTTGCGGTTGAAATAAGTTTCAACAAACTCATTCGACTCCTTGGAGACAGTTCGAATTGCCTCGGTTCTTCCGTGAAAGAAATGTTTAGTCATGGCTGGTTCATAAGTGCACTCAACTTTCCCATACAATGCATAGTAAGTTGCTTGGAAAGCCATTTGAACAAATGCATCTGGACTAAACCGCATACTCTTGATTTGGCTTGATCCATATTGTCTATACTCCAAATGTTGAATTTCATTTTGGTGAAGTAAATCCGACAATCTTGTCTCACCAAAACGTAATGCAAGAGACAAGTCTGGAGTCAAGTCCCATTCCAATTTCCTTGGGATTGTAATCAAATGCTCATTGGCAAAAGAAGACTGCGTTTGGTTAAAAGTTGCATTTTTCCACAAGGCAGGGGCATTTTTGTTGATTGTTTGGGCAAATGACAAGATGGAATCGGTGTAAATGTCTGAAACGTAGCGCAAGACGGTATGGCCGTCAACTCCGGTATGTTCAAAGTTGATTCCAGCTTTCCCGTTTTTGGTGATGATGATCTGCAACTTGTCAAACCATCTGTTGGTGCATGTTCCCACTTGAATACCCTTGTCTAAGATGGATAATCCACCCAACATGTTTTGTGCCAATTCGGACAAATCTTCCAATTCAATGTCATCGAGACAAACAATGAATAGGGCTGAATCAATAATGTACAATACCTCCTTGTTGACTTTATTAGTTCCAATCAAGTTGTTACGTATATTGGCCCACAATTTTCTATTCTCTGTAGTCAATACACCAAACGAGGACTTGGCCACGTCAGTGTTTGCAGTAGACAATGAGTCGTGGATGATTGAGCTAAAGTTGACATTCAACTCCGACTCGCTCAAGATGATGTTGTTTTGAGAATCAAGCACATCGAACCAATAAAACTGTGATTTGGACATGACCACTATATGGTTGGAGTTTGCATCGGTTTGCATCATGCATCCATCATCGGTGGGTATTCTTGACGCGCCAAATAACTTCGAGTACTGGTACATGCACAACGGTTTCCCATTTTTCAACTTGTCGACACTCAAAGTTTCATTCTTCAATGCTTGGATAAACTTGAGCGAGGATAATGTAAGAGTTGCTGCTCGTTTGATTTGAGGATTTGCCGAAGTAGTTTCATTTTGAGTGAATGGATCATCCTCCAAAAGGAAAAATGGATTAACATTCAACACCACTGGTGAGTCGTAATTCAAGTAAGCATCATACCAAAACTGTTCAATGTAACTAGGTTGGTCTTTGTCGTACTTGCGCAAGTAATCGTCAAGGTAGCAGCCGATGGACTGGGATGTAGCTTCACCATCGATATGGTTGCTTCCCTTGAGAAATAGTTCAACAGCAGCTTTAGTTCTAAGATGCTCTTTATTGGACTGCAATGGCTCTAAAACTTTCAAATATCTCTTGCATGTTTCTTCCAAGTCTGGGATGGGTAATTTTTTCAACAGGTCTTGGTATTGGAAAGTGGACATCTTGTGGAAAACACAATCAATACAGTTTATGTGGGTGTTGAAAGTGTGTTAATGTTGTATGAGAGTGATGACATGGTAGAGTGTAAACCAGAGACTTTATATATACATAGCTTAAGGTGTGTATATTAAAGGGAAGCTAATTTATTATTTATCAATCGAGATTGTGTATTAGTTTTTGTAACCAACAAGGGCTACTACTACTACTACAGATACGAAATCCTTTGATCCGATTGGTTGGAAATAACAACAAACTGTATTGGTAGCAGTACTGTTATTTTTTTGTGGGGGCAAAGAGGGACAAAAATAAAATTTCTTGTTTGGTGTTGTTTCGGTGTATTGTTCGGAGTACTTCTTTTTGTGTAATATTATATGGATAAGAATTGCGTCATTCTTTCTTTCACACTTTACCGCAGAAAGAGAAGTGTGAGTTACTGCTTAATTACCCATTATGACTGATATTAGTACCTGTATTTGTCAAGGATTGCAGACTGCTCATTTTTTTTTTTTTTTTTTTTTTTTTTTTTGCTTCTTCCTTTCCTGATCAAGACTACTTAGCCGCGTGATCTACCTGCATGGTCTACCTGCATTATCTATGAAAGTCTATACATCTAATACCCATCTGCTTCTCCTCGTTTTCTCCAATAGTCACTGACGCCCTGTAATGTCCCATCTTTCACCCGTTTAATCCCATTCATTGCTGTCAATGCTCCAGTCTCCAAAAATGTATGTTTCTTGCTTTTCAATTTATCTACTATATCAACTCCACTGTACTGTTTTGCAAATGTGGTCAAGTCTTCACTCATGACATTCTCTGGGATCAATTGATGGTGCATCCTTGGGTATGCTATTGTCTCTAAAAGTCCAGTTTCTCTATAATACAACCGCACAATTGCTTGAAGCACAGCGTTTGTAATTCTACTCCCTCCAGCGGCGCCAATAACCAAGTCGCTCCTGTTGTTGTAAGTAATGATGGTTGGCGATGTTGAACTCAATGGCCTTTTTCCAGGTTCAATGAAATTGTAGATGGATGGTGTCAAGTTGAATGCGTTGCTCACGTTGGGCTGACTGAAATCGTCCATCTCATCATTAAGAACAATTCCAGTAGCTTTGTCGTATATCATGGACCCAAAAAGTAGATTCACAGTGGTTGTCATAGCAACTGAGTTGTCGTCTTCATCAACTATAGAGAAATGAGAGGTTCCTTGGGGATCAACCATGTCGTATTTTGGATTGTAATTTTCCCATGGAAACGTCGTGTCATCTGAGTATCTCCCTTTTGTAAGAACATCGTTGATCCACGTACCTGCAGAATATTTTTCAGTCACTTTACTCCTTTTGGGTATGTCACCCAACCGAGTTCTAACAGAACTCGACCATTTAAAGCTTTCGATTAGCTTGTGGTTAAACATAACAGCATCCTCTGAGCCGTTGTACACTGCGTGGAAAAAGTTCAATCCTGCAACAAGAGATATTCCAGAAGAAACCCCATTGCTGGTGTAAAGTGTACGATCATGAATGGTTGTAGACAATGGCTCTTCCACATTCACTTTGTAGTTTGCAAAATCAGGTGGTGTAACGATACCTCCCCATTTCGCAATCGTATTAACTAATGACGGCACAATTGGTCCCTCGGGATCATAAAACACATCACTGCTTCCGTTATTGGCAATCACTCTCAATGTGTTTGCGTAGTTTGGACGTTGTATCCAATCCCCTTCCTTCACCAAGTCACCATCCTTTGTGAAAATAAAATCCCACATTTTCTTCAACACTGGCGCTCTTGACAATACCAACTCGTCTTCCTTGGCCACCACAGTTTCAAACACTTTTGAGCAATTCCATCCTCTTTCATTTAAATCGATAACTGGTTGAAACAACTGCTTCCAGGATAAGCGACCACTCCCATGCCTCTTATATAACTCGTCAAGTCCCTTGAGCTCACCGGGAATTGCAATAGCTAGTCCACCAATTTTGCTCAACACAAATGACTTTCCATACATGTTCTTTGAAGCCAAAGCTGGGGCCGTTTCTCTGGCATCTATGCTTATAACATCTTCCTTATCTACATTTCTGCTCAATATGAACCCTCCGCCGCCAATTCCGGAACTGTGTGCGTTGATTGAACCGATACATAAAGCAACCGTCACTGCGGCGTCGGCTGCATTTCCCCCTTTGAGTAAAATGTCCTTACCCATAGTAGAGCATATAGGAACATCGCTTGCAACCATGGCTTTGCTACCTTCGTGTAAGTGTTTCTTTGAAGGGTGTAAGTCAGGTTGACCAATTTTATCGTGTAGTGGGTCATCTGTGGCATGCTGGATGGTGATGTATGGATCTCCGCGAGAGATGTCAAATGGTATCGTTGAGTAATCTTTGGGAAGCTTGGTTATGGTGAGTAATAGCAAGAGCAAGATTGGAAGTAAGACCAACCCATATCTTTTGCCTTTGTTGTTGTTGTTGATGATTCTACCTTTCATTGCTGCAGATTGCAAAACTTATCAATAGATTCGAATTTCTTTTTTTTTTTTTTTTGGTTTTTTTTTTTGGTTTTTTTCTCCGCTTTGTAATCGCGTCAACTTGTTTGCTTTCTTTATCATTTACAGGCAAAACATATTACCGAATTACTAGAAAAAACTAATCTACTTACTGTTGCTCAAGTAATCTATTTTCTTCAGAAGGGTCCGTTGTTTGTCTATTTTCTGCCTCAATTCTCTCTAGCTCCTCCCTCTCCAACTCCTCGGCTGTGTGGTTCCCCACAATGTATTCATAGTAGATACAAAGAGACAAAAGTGCCCCTTGTAAACAAGCGGCAACCAAATAACTGACCCACGAGCTCCAATGTGACCCTTTTGTAAAGATTAACGTTGCCGCGAAAACAAACCCACCAGGGGTTTGAATGCACATCATGCCGATGGACAATGTACCGGGGTGTTTCAAATTGTATGTCGTGTAAATTTGTGGTACATATTTGACAACAGTCAAAGCAGCAGATAACAACCCGTTAATGTTTGCTATAGTGAATAGCACTGTCGTGGTGTTGAGATAGCCAATTATTATTTGGACAATCGACAAGAAGCCGTGAAAGAGAACCACTTTTCCAACCCTGACAATCCTCGTGTACTCATGCTTGTCTTGCTTGATGGAGTCTTTGGTGAGCAAGAGCACAAACACTAAGATCAAAATAGCACACACACATTGGATGGAGATCTGGAAAAGATTGAGCTGGGAACTGATGCAATTAAACGTGTTTAAAGCTCCAATGTAACAGCACTCTCTTGCTCGTGAACTGACCAAGATGATATTTGTTAGTGTGAATAACGAAGAGCTTGATCCAAGTAATAGGAAATCAGTTGAAAGCCCCTCAGAAGTTCTCTTGTCGTAGATTCTTTTGTACTGGGGAAGGTAGCTGATGAGTATCCCAATCGATATTAGAACCAGGAATATAAAGTTAGCCGTTGACGCTCCTTCAAAAACGGAGCAGTTTAGGAAAGGATCGTCTTGGTGGTCCCTTTGGAATGGGTGGTCTTGCATAGGACGATGGGGCGATGGGGCGATGGGGTGAAGAATGTGTGTGTGTGTATTGGTGTGTGTGTATTGGTGTGTGTGTTTTGGTGTGTGTGTGTGTGTGTTGGTGTGTGTGTGGGGGGGGGGGGGTTCGCGTAAAGCCCATTCTCAATTTCCATTTCCAGTTGTTGTTTTTTTTTTTTCTTTTTTGTTTCCTTGTCCTTGTCTACAGCAACTACTAACGAAGTTGATGATATGTCTAAGTGGGCCATTGATGCCACAAATCGAATCCGGAGTGAGGTTGTGTCGGGCTCTTCAAAGTATATTTTACATGAACTCAGTGAGCAATTTGAGTTAGCATCGGCAAGTATTGAGAACCATTATTTACGTGTCAGAAACGATGCAAACAAACTAGAATCATGGATGAGCAAAGTACTAGACCGGGAAGAGGAGATTGATGAATTGCTCGGGGAGAGTAGCTCACCTAAAAGAGGTCGAGCTCCAGTTCAACTGCTGCCGAAGAAGACAAGTATTGAGAATATTCTACCGTCGCCAAAATCAAGAGAAGTTACTATAAAGATACCGTTTCAGGGAGATGATTTGGATGACGATTGTCAAAGGGAGAGCATGACTGGGCAGGCAAGAGAGGGTGCCAAAGAGAATAAATTGATTAAAGAGTCACCGACCCCAATTGCTATACCGAAAACCAAACTGTCTGCCAAGTCAATGAGAATACGCATCACTGAGAGAGACAATTCAGTTGAATCACAGTCCCCAAAGTTACCAGTGACACCAAAACAATCTATCCATACTTTGTCTGATAGTGACGACTCATTTCAAGCAATTAGCGCAGCAATAAAACGAAGCGTCATGGAGAAGACGCTGACACTTGAAAGTAATACCAAATCTAACTCACAACACACACCTGGAAATTCAACTTCGAGGTTTGTCCCGCTACCTACTAGAAATCCAATAAACAAGCCAAAAGGCCTCATCCAGGGCTCAGGTGGCCCCTTCTCCACCATTTCAGTCAAGAATAGATTCTCACCTAGAAGGCTGCCGGTAAGAAAAACCTCCCCCCTACCAAAGCTTGTTAAAATGCCCTTGAGGCTGGAGGGTGTGATTATTCAAAATTCAAGATCAATAGTATCCAGTCCCACCCAGACCCCAAGTTCCGAAACTTCCCCCAATCATGATCGATCAGGTACGAGTCTATGGGATAAGATTGGAGAGTATAGGCAAATGTCTCCAAAGAAGCCACATACTCCAAACCCGACTATGTTGAGTGGAGAAAGCCCACCTCCTAAAGCAAGTGCGTCTATTGCAAATCGATCCTCAAATCCCAGAGTGTCTATTCGATCCTCAAATCCCAGAGTGTCTATTCGATCACCAAAATCCACTGTACCTATTGCAAATCGATCGCCCACTAAGCCAAGTCCCCTACGACAACCACCATTACAGAACTCTTTGCCAGCAAAGGTGGATCTACCACAACTCAAAAGCCCTAATTTGGATCGTCTTACAGCTCCTACGGCTGCTAGCGCCGCAAAAAGAAAGAAGCATGATGCCAAAAAAAATGAAAATAGGTTTCTTACTACAACATTGCAGAGATCACCTCGGAAATTTGAGAGAGCAAAGAGTGCAAAAGTGATGGACAAAGTGGTGGCGGAACAACCCGTACAACGATCTACAAAGAAATCAATGATGGAACAACGAAGTGAAGCGGCAAAGTCGAGACAAAAAATTGTTCTCAATCTTCGAAAGTCTGAATCGAAATCTGTACGTGATGCGACGCCGCAGACACCCAAGAAGTTCACTCCAGAAAACTTGCCTGAAGTGCTCTCTGATGATAACCAATCTCCGCGTTCAAAAGTGCTCCAGCCGTGGGGGCGCAGTCCTGAATTGTACAGGATTGCCAAGAGTAAGAAGTTTGATCCTTTCAAGATATTCCACAAGACCAACAGAGTTAATCTACTGGAGGTGTTCAACAAGCAAGTGCAAACTACACAGTCTCCTGCACCTACACCGGATACAAGTCGTGTGTCCAAATATTCCAAATCGATGGGGTTCAGCTAATTAGATACATCATGTCTTCTTTCTAAAGCAGCTCTTTTGTTCCATTGAGATGACCACTGGTCTGCCTCTGATTTAGGTACAACATACAACTTTAATGCGTCATCAAAAAGTGGAACTTTGGGACTGTCTCTCATCAAGGCTTGATTAATTTCTATCTTTTTGCCAATCTTTACCAATCCTCCGCTTGTAGTTTCCATAAAACAAACTAACGTCTTCACATTGAATTCTTTGTGTTTTTCGTCAAACCATTCCTTTGGTCTATTGAGTATCAATTCGAGTACTTCTAAAGGCGTACTTAGTTCGCTAATCTCGGCAATAAAGTCAAATTCATCTATGGTGGGGTACAATATTAATGCAGGAAAGATTAGCTGAGATTGATAATCAGTAGGGTCCTCAAGTCTTATCTTTGCCTCTTTTATAATTTCCGGAGGATCAATGCTCTTTACCACTTCAATGTGTCTTAGCTTCATAGAATTGACTAATACATCCTGCTCCATTTGTTTTTGTTTCGATTCGCGTTCCTTCTTTATCCTTAATGCTTCCTTTTCGGATATTCTCTTCTCAACATTTTTCAACAAACCCCTCAAGTCTGCATTGTCACCAAAGCTTAAACCGTAATCAAGGATTTGCTTAGCTTCATCGAGCTTGTCAATGGCGAAAAACGCTTTTCCGGATCTAAAGCATGCTTTTGCATTTTTTCCATCGAGAAGTAGGACCTTTTTGCAATCCTCAATGCATCGACGATAGTTCCGTAGTTCAAGGTTGCACGCAGCTCGATTCAACAACAAAGCTTTGTTCAAGTCCACCACTCCGCAATCAACTTCCAACCCTTTGGTGTAATACATCAACGCATTCTTGTACTGCTTAGCTTTAAAACAGTCATTACCTTGGTTTTTAAAGTTTGTTGCAATTTCATCCGGCTCGCCTTCATACGCCAACGATTTCAATGCCTCAAGTTCGATGTTTTCCCCACCTTCCCCATCCGTCTCATCCAACTTTGTCATGAAAAATGGTAATCGGTTAAGTTCTTGCATAACCTCATCGGCACCCTTGTTGGCAAATTGTGCAATCTGCGGAGGTAGTTCAGGCTCGCCATCCTTCGGTACATACTTTCTCCTCTCCCATTCTGCACCATAATTGTCACCCTTTGGTATCTCAATCTGAACCATTGCTTGATGAGGAAGCTAAATTAATAAAAAAAAAAATAAGAAAAATAAAAATAAAAATGAAAAAAGTAAGAAAAAAAAAATAAAAAAAACACCCCTTGCTTTTGTATATCGATATTGGGCCGCACATAAGAATTCCCTATTCAGGAAAGATATTGGCATTAAGATGTCAGACCTAATCTATAGACAGGATGGCTGGACTGTTTCGATCCCTTCTTTTCAAATGAGCTACACAAAGGACAACGCTAGTCCTTTTTGTTATCACAAATAGCGAAAATCTTTCTCCGATTAGTGTTGTAGAGGGTGGGTAGATGAGGAAAGGAACGACCCATACTTTAGTCCAAAACAGACTGGCTCTTGGTTTAAGTTTCTGCACCACATTAATATCCAGTTTAATCTACGTGTCTATCTAAATTTATCAAAAGAGAGTCGTCAAGACTGTGTTTGTACTCGTCAGGAGGGTTTGCACACCACATTGGTAAAGCCCAGCTTGCCATTGCGAGGGTACAGCACGCCGTCGAAAGCCACATGAATGCCATCCACGCAGGTCCTGAAGCAAAACTCACACCGAAATCACCCAATTTAGACTTGACTTCGCTTGTTGTGAGATTGATCAAGTTTGTTATTAGTGCCAGCTCAATAATGGAACTGCAAAAGCCCATCACAGAGAACACGGATATAACGTGCAATACTATACCTGGGATTCGACTTAGGTCTTTTGTGGGACCTCGATTTGAGTAAATTACCACCAAAGCTAACAACAAGACCACTTGTGCGCAGAGGGTAAATATCATTGCGTTAATGGCCAATTTGAACCTGTTCTCTCTCTCGGTGATGTGCTTTTCATATGTTGGATCTTTGACAAGACGGGTTTGATACGCGTAAGCTAAAATGGATTGAAGTCCTATCGACAAGAGCTGTGTACGATAGTCAAATGCAATCCCCTTGTTGGTGATACAAGTCAACCTTTTATTTCTCTGTTTGATTATCTCTTCACCATCTGTTCCGTTTACCAAGTACGTGTCGTAGAACCCTGAGCAAAAGCGCCAAAGTGATGTTAAACAATATTGCGGAGCTTGACCAACTTGCTGCTCTGCGTAATCAGCTAATAGTTGGATGTCACTGCTTGTCAATCTTGATCCCATGGTCACATAGTCGCCTCCTCCAATGTCCAATGAAGATGAGGAGACACCAACTGAGTTCTTCAACGAGTTGTAAAGCCCTTTGGAGACTTCCAAGTGGGAACAGTTTACCCTCGTGATGTAAAAAGATTTCACAACAACTGGGCCTATCAACAGCAACGCAATTAATACGACGGCGCCAAGTGAGCTCAACAACCGCAAGCTGAAAAGTGCCTTCTCCTCTTTGGAAAGGGTGGATATAGACGTGGTGAGCTTTAGGAAGGGCCTTTGTGGAAGCATAATGGGATTGTTGATGCAAACTACATCTTTCTATTTTCTTAACGTGGTAGCGTTTATTCTATATACAAAAAAAAGAAAAGAAATATACATATCTACTCAATGATTCTGGTAACCATTCCTGTACCAACGGTTTTTCCACCTTCTCTGATGTTGAAACGCTGGTTCAACTCCAATGGGGCCTTCTTGATTAAAGTTCCCACCATTTCAACATTGTCACCTGGCATAACCATTTGTGAGTGGTCAACACCTTCACCTTCTGGGAAAGTGAAGGTAGTGGTGACATCACTGGTTCTAAAGAAACATTGTGGCTTGTAACCTTCACTGAAGGGGGTGCTACGGCCACCTTCCTCGGCAGTCAAGATATAAATGGAAGCCAAGAACTTTTGGTGTGGAGTGGTGGTGCCTGGTTTGGCCAAAACCATACCTCTCTTGACTTCGTCTCTCTTGACACCTCTCAACAAGATACCACAGTTGTCCCCAGCCATAGCAGAGTCCAATTCCTTCTTGAACATTTCAATACCAGTGGAAGTAGCCTTGAATGAGTTTTCTCCAATAACTTCCACTTCTTCACCCTTTTTCAAAACACCTCTTTCGACTCTACCAGTCACAACGGTACCTCTACCGGAGATAGAAAAGACATCCTCAACTGGCATCAAGAATGGTTGGTCGGCATCTCTTTCTGGGGTGGGAATATATTCATCGACAGCGTCTAACAATTTTTGAATAGCTTCAACACCAATTTCTGGTTGCTTGCCTTCCAATGCACACAATGCAGATCCCATAATGACCGGGGTGTTTTCACCATCAAATCCATATGAGCTCAACAATTCTCTCATTTCCATTTCAACCAATTCCAACATTTCTGGGTCATCAATGGTATCAACTTTGTTGACAAAGACCACCAAGTTTTGAATACCAACTTGTCTGGCCAACAACATGTGTTCTCTGGTTTGAGGCATTTGACCGTCAGTAGCAGCAACAACAATAATAGCACCATCCATTTGAGAAGCACCAGTAATCATATTCTTGATGTAATCGGAGTGCCCTGGCAAATCGGAGTGAGCATAATGACGTTTATCGGTTTCGTATTCAACATGGGCAGCAGAAATGGTGATACCTCTGGCACGTTCTTCTGGAGCACGGTCAATCGATCCATAGTCCAAGAAACTGGCTTGACCCTTTTCGGCCAAGACCTTTGTGATGGCAGCGGTCAATGTGGTTTTTCCATGATCAACATGTCCAATAGTTCCCACATTCACGTGTGGTTTTGCACGATTGTAAGCGGCCAATCCTCTAACGAGTTGAGGACGAGCTGAAATGGCCAAACGTGGTAAAGATACGGCAAATCTTTTAAACATGTTGGTTGTTATCTGGCGACTTTGAAGTGAAAAATTTTTTTAAAACAGGTGAGATTTTTTGTTTTTTTTTTTTTTTTTTGCTATTTTGTTCTATTGGTTCAACAATAGTTATTCCATTTTGGGAAACTCGAGCCGCATTTATAGTGCAAAAGCCTCATCGCTACGACCATGAAGGAGCTAGAGCCACCGAGTGAGGAGACGCTATTGAATAATATCCTTCCCAGTTATGACATGTACAAGAGTACAATCTCCCTTGAGTTGGAGCCGCTGAACGAGAACTACACAGTTGATCCGCCAACTTACGAAGATCATACGATGACACCGGTTACTTCTGCAAGGGAGGCGGAGGTGCTAGTGGAAGAGCACACGGACGGAAATGGTGAAGGTTTGACAAAAACGATTTTGGAAAACATAGATTCGTTACCGACTGCAAGTTGTGACGGTCTCGATTTGAATATTACATTCACAGAGACTGTTGGAGTTGTTGGTACTAAGCCGCTGATCACGGATGCAAGCTCAAGGGAGTTCAAACAGGGTGATTTCCTACATGGATATGTCACTATAAAAAACAACACTGATGAACCCATAAGATTTGATATGGTTTACGTGCTTTTCGAAGGAATGACTGTCATCAACACCGACAAGTCACCTGAAAAGCACAGGTTTCTCACCATGGTGGATCTTTTTGCATCATGGAGCTATGCAAACATTGACAGGTTGGTTACCGACCAAGGAGATCCACACGATTGGTGCCCAGGGGAAATTGATCCATTCGATGGAACATCTCTTTCAATTGATGCAAGACGGCTATTCCAACCAGGTGTCACGTACAAGAGATTCTTCACCTTCAAGATCCCTCAAAAATTACTAGATGATCACTGTGAAAAGGGCTTACCACAGCATGCTGAGCTTTGTCCAACACTTGGTATAAACAGAGAAGAGGTACCGGCTAGTTTGCTACTAAGTTCCTCCAGGTTGAGGGATCTTTCAATGATCAACTCCTATATATCATACAGTGTCAATGCCATTGTCATAAGTCGGGCAAGTAATTTTGGTGTTGTCTCCAACAAAGACAGATACATTGTTGCCAAAAAAGAGAAATCTCCAATCAGAATGATCCCAGATCCAGCCTACTTTGATTATGATGCAAACACCCACTACCATGCTTTTGTTAGATCGGTTGAGGAATTGGTTAAGCCAGAGTTGACGCCAACAATCAGCTTAGATACTATCAAAGTGAAGCAGTTGTATCATCTGAGGAACATGGAAAAGACTGGGCATTACCAATGTGTTCAGCCGTTTAAGAAGAAGACGTTGACTGGATCGTCCAATGCAGGAGTCATTTCTATGTCATCCAAGAAGACTACATACTGCATCAACTACATTCCTCCGAATCATGGTGTTAAGTCTGAGGTAGTTTTGCCGGTTGAGCTTCGCTATTCGGGATCCCTGCAGACTCCTGAAATCAAAAAGGTTGATGTTGAAGTTGTTGCGTTGACAATACAATCAAAGCTGCATCCGATTCCAGTTGAGTTCACTAACGAGATGTTGTTCAATGACCAAGAAATCCTTTCCAGGCCCGCAACAAGCAACTTTGATACAATATTGGTCAGCAAGTTCAACAACTATCTACAAGAATTGAGCCAAGCGGTAAAGAATGGCGTCAAAATTGAGTACCTGATTTATCGTGATGTTAAAACACTAGCTTCACTCAGCACAAAGTATATCAACTTGACTGTGATGGATCTAGATTTTGTCCAAGAAGACACCAAAGTGAAGCTTAATTCTGTACCGTGGAAGCTGGAAGAGGGTGATCTTGTCAAAAAGTTCTCTATTGCAATGGATCTTAGTAAATGCAATTTAAAAGGTGTGAATAACACCATTAAAGGGTTGGACAAGATCACTTTAGTTCCCAGTTTTCAAAGCTGCTACATTAGCCGGGTGTATTATATGAAGGTGGTGGTGAGAACTAATGGAGCCACACTTTCATTGAATCTCCCGCTTCGTATAGAGAGGTAGGATTATGGTAGAAAAGATTAGGTTAATTCTTTTAAAGTCCGGTTTGGAAATTGTCTTTTTACAGATTTGTCTATTTTGTGTGTGTGCGTTTTAGGATACTTCTTCCATGTCCTGAGATACATGTTTACTGGTTGTTATTTTCACATTTGGTGGATTGTTTCGAACCTTACACTCTTGAATCAGATACTGTCAAAAGCGCAAGAAAAGAAGGCGCATTTGTTCTGATTGTGTAACAAGGAATTTTGCATCAAAGTTGAAGAAATTCAACATGAGATTCAATGGCAAGAATGCAGCTCTGCGGTTTTTCTCAGCATCACTTTCTGCAAAACCATTTTTGCTGGCACTTTTCAAAAAAAAAAAAAAAAATTCCAACTGTTGAGGGTCTATTTCGAGCATGACTTGGAATAGAGCAGAGGGGTTCACAGATCCAGATAATCACATTGATTGGGAGTTTGGAAAGGAGCGGGCTGGTTGTGTTTTACAAGACAGAAATTTGACATTTGTTAATGTCTACAATGCCAGTCACATGCTTCCATACAATGTTCCAGAGATTTCCAGATCGCTGTTTCAATTTGTAACTGGAACAGACCAAAAGAGAGACGGCAAGATAGTCACTAC